GGGGAGGCTTTGGTTTCGAGCTGACGTGAACACAGCCACAACTCCGAGTGAAACAATTCACACTGAGCCGTGTCATCCTCTTGCTTTGTGGAAAACCTGTGTGCGTTATCACCACTTATTATTATTATTACCACGACTACTCCCCTTTATTTAACCAGGAAGCTTCACCGAGATTTAAATCTCTTTAACAAACAGTGCGCGAGGCTAGGGCTAGAGAGAGGGGGGGGGGGCAGGAGGAGTGGTGTTTGGTAGTGGAGTGTGTGCCACTGCGTGACCCGGTAACTCCGACAGTAAACATCCGCTCGCCGCCTCGACGACGTCACCCTCCTGCCGCTGCAGCATCGGGAGGAATGGGAGGTGGAATCCATGGCAACCGAATGTGAAATTTCGTCCTGTCCCATTGGACGAGGCAAAGCGAGAGGCGTCCACTCGGGGAGCCCCGTGGCGAGTCGGCACAACAACCTGAGCTGGCATGCTCACACGTGGTGGTGGTGGCGATGGCGGTGGTACTGGTGCTGGTGGCGGTGGTAGTGGTGGTGGCCGTGGTAGTGTTGGTAGTGGCCATGGTTTCCACGGGTGAACTCAGACGCGTTGCTCTTCCCCGTCTGACCGGCCACATTCACGTCAATGAATGTGGCCGGGCACATTCACACGGGGCGCCGTGGTGGCGAGATGTTAACTACCTCGCCTGGTACACAGGAGGTCGTGGGTTCGTTCCTGACCCTGATATCTGCTGTATATTTGGAGTTTGTGTGTCTCCCCCCCGTGGTCGTCCGGATTTTTCTCTCCGGGCCCTTGTTTTTGGCTGCTACACCTTCTCGCATGATAAGCCACTTTGTTGAGCTATCATTTGTGACCAGGATCGCCTGTGAAAAAAGAGCTACATAGCTCAGTGGGCTCTACCTGGAAAAATAAAAAATTGTTTAGTTTAAGCGTTAACTGCAGCGGATCTCAGCCCGCGAGGTCGCGCCAGGGCGGAGAGCGGCACGGATACTATGCAGGAGAAAGCGTCGAGTTGCGGTGACAGCACACCTTGAAAACACAAAACACAAAACTGCCCTGCCACTGCATCGGCGAGAGGCGTGGATGTGCCATCTCTCATTATTTGTGGCCTTAAAAATCTGGTAGGGGGGGGCTGGGGGGGTGGAGCAGTGGACTTGATTGGGGGGCCCCAACACCAACAGTGTGCCCATGCCTAAAGCTCCCTTGCTGCACAATTGATGCACAGTCAATGTCCGTCACACCGTTTAAACCCCTCGTGGAAGAAAAAAATCTATCGGTGCACTGCACAGTGCTGCCACTCTCCCGCGTGCATTGCTCTCCGCCTTCCCCCGTCAACGCCGCGCGCTGACCGGCGCGCCGAAGTACGGTCAAACAGCGCCCACTGATCATCCGCACAGGTGCGGAGGGGCCTATGGCCCGGCAGTGTATGGACAGTCGGGGTGCGCACGGCGTGCATGTGGCAGGCGTGAGCCGCGGCGTGGGATGAATGCATCAAGGTGCCACGCGTCACGTGACGGAGCTACGGGGCCAACGCGCGTACGCAGACCTGCTGAGCGACCGCAAGGCGCCGGCCCACGTGCAGTCTGGCGAGGCCGTTGATCGTCTCGATGCATCGTCTTTGCTGGCACGGGGGGCAGTCGTGCTGGCTGCGCAAGAGCACAGGACAGTCATTGCCTGCTTGCAGGCCTAGCTAAACCATCTAGTCTAAACCAAACTATTTATTTAACAATAGCAGAAGCAATGTGGTTCAGGAGATAGATTTCATGCTATTACCAGGTAAGGCCCACTGAGTTGTCTAGCTCTTTTTCAGAAGCGACCTGGCCACAAATGATAGCTTAACGAGAAGTGGCTTTTCATCATGTGGTAATGTATAGCAGCCAAATACTCTAAAACCCGTGATGTTGATTCTAAATGTGGAGGGGACAACTGGTTGTCTCGGAGAAAAATACACACGACCACGGGGAGAGAGACACGGACAATTTACAGCAGGTGTCAGGGTCGGGTTTGAACTCACGACCTCCTGTATACCAGGTGAGGTAGTTAACTTCTTGCCACTGTGGCGGCCTACCTGCATGTGCAATCAATCGATGTTTATTAGTTACACGGAAGGTTTGCAGGGCTTTTAATAGACGAGCTGGGAAAATCGGTGACTGCAGGGACACACACGGGCACAGCCTTGACAAACTCAAAAGCACACGATCGAATCGTCGCCTCAAATCGTGACTGCTACCTCCAGTAGCACGAGTTTGGGGAGGGTTGGAGGGCGATGGTGGTAGTGGGGTGGAATCGTGATGACCAGAGAACGCACGTGGTGCCAACTCTAAAGGGGCAGCACTTCACCCTGAGGAGGAGGAGGAGGCGGAATGGAGGAGTGGAGGAGGACTCCAGTCGTGGTTAGGGGGTGGGGGGATCCACGGGCCCCTGCACGTAAACTCATCCTCCACCAATATGTTAGAACCGTGCCATGCAAATCGGAATTAGGTTGATCTGCAACCACGAACTTTGTAACATTTAGTTTTCATCTGTGATAGCCACAGGGATAGTGTTGTGGGGGGGGGGGGGGGGGAGGTTACTGATAAATGTGCAGAACCAACTGTGGGATGGGATGTTGGCTATCAACAACAAGGCAACTCCTATGACTAATTGGGAATGGGACGCAAGCGTAGGATTGATCACCCTGTCGCTGGCCGCCTTTGGGGAGGGTGTATAGTATGAAAGGCCGAAACACCCTAGGACCCAAAGGTTCACTACTGACGATGCGCTCCCCAAATTTCACCAGGCTCACTGTTCGTGAACTCTTGGAAGTGCTTGCACAAAGGAGAGCGACATCTCATCCGGTGTTCTTTGGAATCCGAAGTTATCGCCTCGCTGCTCCAGGCGTCTTCGGGCAGCAACCCAGCCCTCCCCGAGGCCAGGGCTTCTGTCTAACTTGTTTCCCCGAGGCCTGTGTCCTCGTTTCTCTTCCATTTGTTACGTTGTGAACCCTTTGTGGACTTACGAAATCGTCACCGTTTCAGCCGTGGCTGCGGATGTGCACCACTGACACATTTAATTCCGGCGTATTTTTAGAAACCTGCAGACTCGGCTGGAAACATCCACCCAGCAATTAGACATCAAACCATCATCCCTGAATAAATAACACCTTCCCAACGTCCGTCTCTCCACATACAACATAACAATAATTGTTACGCAAATCATTGTTCGCACGGCCTTCTGGGAGTGCATCTTAGCAGCAGTAAACTCTGGGCCGGTTTCGGCATTCTCTTTCTCATCAGCGGAATCAAAAGCAGACTGTTACGTCTCAATCGAGGCAGTGCTCACTCCTGTTTACAACCCTGAGCCAACAGTGCAATTTCCACACCCTTATTTGCGGGGACGAGTCGACCCATTGGAAAACCACTGTTGACTTCCTCCATAAACTGGAGCACATTTTTTCTTGTGAGCCGGTAGAGGGGGAGGGATGATGGTATGTGTCAACCCCCAACCAGGATTTGAACTCAAACAACCTTCCGAGTGTGGTCATGCAACCCAAACTACGGACCGTGAACCAGAATCACGATCAGATGTTGATTTCCCACTTGAGTAACTCGGCTGGCCAGCCACTGGAGTGAGTCTGCGGTCCTTCAACGGAGAAGGCGCGGCGAAAACCACGCCAACTCTTGATGTTCCCGAAGCCCTCTCGTTGCGTGGCTATCAGACCTCGACATGGCCATAACTCCCTCGCCCTGTACGCAGGAGGTCGTGGGTTCGATCTCGACCCTGCCGCTTGCTGTATATTTGTAGTTTGCGTGTCTCTCTCCACTTGGTCGCGTGGATCTTTTTCTCTGGGTCCTCCGGTATTTCCCTCCACATTTAGAGTCAACACCACACGCTCAGAGTATTTGGCTGCTGTACACTTCCACGTGATAAGCCACTTCGTTGAGCAATCATTTGTGGCCAGGTCTGCTTCTGAAAATTAGTTGAAGAGCTCAGTGGGCCTTACCGAGTAAAATAAATGAAAACAAATCTAGCTCCTGGACCACATTTGCTGCTGCTGCTGCCGCATGCGCGGCAAGTCGCAGAAGTCTTCCGCTTCGCCTCGCGAAGGTAGAATCGGCAAGGCCGCCTCCTCGTGGCCACCCTTGGAACTGTGCGCCCGCAGAGCCCAACGCGTGCTGGCATCGGCGTCATTCATTATTCTTGTTGCGATTTCACTTCTACAAACTCTGTTGGCCTAGTTCAACCACGCGAAGGCTGCCGAGATTAATTATCACTCTTGGAGTGGCGGCGGGGTGAGCGGGGAGATCTGGATGGACAGAACGAACCGCGGGCAGCCGTGGTGGTCACCTTTTTGCTCGGCGGCGCTGGTTGGTGGTGGTGGCATTGCACGTTGGGTAGCGGCAGCGTCGTGTGGCGGTTAGCGCCGCGCTGCCTAACGAACCCAGCGACTCGAGTTTGATTCTCTATGTATTTCTTTGGGTCTGTATAGGTGTCTATGTACCTATATAGGTCGCTATGTATCTCTGTGGGTCTCTGCGTATCTCTATGGGTCTGTATGAGTCTATACGTATCTCTATGGGTTTGTGTGGGTCTGTGTGTATTTCTGTGGGTCTCTGTATCTCTGGGTCTGTATAGGTCTATGTGTATCTCTATGGGTCTGTTTGAGTCTTTGTGTATCTCTATGGGTTTGTGTGGGTCTGTGTGTATTTCTATGGGTCTCTGTATCTCTGGGTCTATATAGGTCTATGTGTATCTCTATGGGTCTGTGTGTATCTCTCTGGTTTTATTTATATGGTCCATAGTGTGAGTTGCATGGTCCAGTTTTCATATTTGAGATGACAGGCGGTGTAAGGCGCTACAAGTTTGTCAACTATGATTGTTATTACGCTTTAGAGAGCAGGGGTGGAGGCAGTGGCAGCCGGTTGGGAGTGACTGCGACGATTGTGATGCTGCCGCCACCGCCGAAGATTCCGATGCTGACGAAGCCGCCTCTGTCCGCCGCGTCGTTTCCCCCGCAGTGACAGCCCGATGGTGTGCGTGCGCGCCGTGGTGATGACGCGCGACGACTCGAGTGGGGGCTGGGTGCCGCTGGGGGGCGGCGGCCTCAGCAAGGTGGGGGTCTACAGGCAGCGCGGCCCCGACGATCCGGCCGCCACGGCCGCCACCGCCACCCCCGCCGCCACCACCGCCACCACCACCACCACCACCTTCCGCATCCACGGGGAGCGGCCCAGAGACAACCTGGTGAGCACAGCACCAACACCGCCACCGCCAACCACGGCCACCGCTACCACCTCCGCCACCAATGCCACCAATGCCACCACTGCCACCAACTGCCTTGGCCACAACTCTTGAGACCGCCACCATTGCCACCACCGCCACTGCCATCACGAACACCACTGGCACCACCAAGCATCTCCACCCGGGGTGACAGCTCCCACGCTGCACACACTCACCGAGTCCTCCACTATTGCTACTGGATACTGATTCATCTCATCCACCACACTGTGCCCAACCACCACCAACACTGCAGGTCGCCACAACCCACTCACCCACTCATCCACCCACCCACTCACCCACCCACTCACCCAACCACTCGCTCATCCAACCACCCACTCACCCAACCACCCACTCACCCAACCAACCACCCACTCACACAACCAACCACCCACTCACACAACCACACACTCACCCAACCACCCCACTCAACTAACCACCACACTGCAGGTCACAACAACTCACTCACCCACCCAACCACCCACTCACCCAACCACCACACTGCAGGTCACACCACTTCAGTTTCTGCTTCCAGGTCATATTTATTTTTAGGCGGACTGAATAGTCCGGCGGTCGGCATTCTCACCGCCGTGCCAAACTGAGCGGAGTCGATGATGCAATGCCTGCCAATGTCGCTCATGTCTCCGCACACTTACCAGAGCGTGCTCTTCGTTGTAAAAGGGGATGTTGAACACCCCGTAACGTCACTGTGTTCTGTTTCCCCAGGCAAACTTCCAAACCCCAAATGTAAATCTATACAATGCAACTAGCCTTTGAACAAACCGAATTGCTCGTCACACGGAGGCCTCCGAGACCAGTAACATTTATTTTTTGGGTTAAATGGCGAAAGTAAAATGTGTGTCGCAAACACTCCTCCACCCGACACGGCCGATGAGTGAAGTTGTCACGCGATGACCGAGCGTAGCCAATCTCGTTACGTCTTCAGCAGCACCGCCGGCCGCTGGTGGTGTCGTCGGAGAGCGACGTCACGACATTTCAGAGCTGGGAGCTCGCGGGACGTTTCGCTGGTAGTTACAGCCAGCATCGTCAGGCGGCCGCCAGACGCCTGCCGCTCTGCAGCAACGCCGGCCGTGCTGCCCAAGTGGCCGTGAATGGGCCACGTTTTGTTCACTCTCGCAACTTCACCTTTGGGACCGCGTCGGTTGAAGGGAGGTTTTCCACGACACCCGACCCAAAAAATGAGTTGTACGGAACCCAAACCTCGTCGCTCCTTGCGCAGGAGGGTTGCCGGGCGCGGTGTCGCCATTCCCGAGCGTCGCCCGGGGAGTTCGGGAGCTTTCCCCTCGGGCCTGGACGGTTTACCACAACCCGCCCCCCCCCCGCTCGCGACGCCAGGGCGGGGGGGGGCGTTGAACCCTCGTGGAAGTAGCCGCCGTTCCGCCGGCTTGGTCAGCACGAAAGTTGGCAACAGGAGGATTCTTGACATTCTTCTCGGCTCGTATATTTTTAGGTGGTCCCCCCCCCCCCCCCACGCGTACCGACGCTGGAGGCACAGTCTTACCGGCAGCGATGTTGATATCCACACAAAGGGTGTGATTTGTGGTGTCCACTCCCATTGGGCTGCACTGCCCCCCCTCCCCGCTCCCCCACTTCCTTCTGGTCCACACCTGCGCTGGGGCCAGAAATTCCACATTCCCGTGTCGTTGGCGAGCGATATGGGGCCACTCATGCTGCTTGAGTGGCCCCATATGGGCTGTGGTTGACTTAAAGCTGACATGTTTTGATATCAGTGCTCGTGTATATATAATTATTTACTCACCGACCAGGTGGCTCAGCGTTTGGAGCGAGCGGCGCGCTGTCGGAAGGTTTGTCATTTAAATCCTGGTTTTGGTGTTAAATCAGCCAATCAGCCTTCCAGGATGGATAAAATAAGTACCACTTTGTTGTCAATGAAAACTGTGCGATTTACAAATTCTCAATTAATGCACGCACTCCACGTGCATTTGCATTCAGAAACGTGTTTCCTCCGCAGCATGGCAGCAAAGCGGAGCGTGCAGCCGCTGCAGCAGCAGCAGTGGCCTCAACGGCTACAACACAGCGAGTGATCTACCTCGGGCATAGTGCGTGCTGCTTCAAGTGGCAGGGTTGCTCAGAGATATTAGGAGTCAGGTCCTCTGCCATTCAGGGGTTGATCATGAACCAGTTATGTGACTAAAATTTGTACCTGGATTCCAAACTTCTCGGTCTCCAATTATTTTTTTGTTTCAAAAGATGACTGGTTGGCTCAGAAGAATAACACCGAGTGCCTCGTTTCAATTCCAGGGCGGTCTTTAGAAATGAGACCATGTTAAGTGAATTATCGATTCCATTCCTCTTATACCTCTTTTCCACTCGCAAATCCGAGCCGTGCTAGGGCAGAGCCAAGCCAGCATGGCGCGGATCAGGAAGCACAGCTCGCTTTTCCACTGTAAAAACCGGGCCGTGCCACTCACGTCACCACGCACTTTCACACCAGGACGCATGCAGATGACGCGGTGTTTGTGTTTTCCAATGACTGACATCGCGCGTGTCTGCAGCCCCGCCAACCAGCACGGCTTTGACCCGAACCAGATTCTGATGGCGTGCGAGGCCAGCGTAGCACGGCTCAGTTCCTGCTCGGTGGAAAAAGCCACCCCACACCGTGCCGGCCTTGCCCTCCTGCCACCGGCGGCGGTGACTCGGAAGCGCGAGCGGAGAAACGGTTTGGCGCGAGAAACCGCGTCGCGCGCGAGAGGCGACGGCGGTCTGAGGTGCGTTGCGGTGCCGCCCTCGCAGGTCATGCTGGAGTGCCTGCTGGACCAGGACCTGGTGTACAACAAGGTGACGCCCACCTTCCACCACTGGCGCATCCACCAGAAGAAGTTCGGCCTCACCTTCCAGAGCCCGGCTGACGCGCGCGCGTTCGACCGCGGCGTTCGCAAGGCCCTGGAGGACCTCAACCTCGGTGCGTGCAATGGAGGGGAGGCCCACCACTCTACCCCGTGCCCCCCGATCCCCCCCCTCCACTGTCCCTGCTTTCTCTGGTCCCCCTGCTCTTTCTCCGCCCCCCCCACCCCGCCCCGCTCTGTCTGCCCGTGTACCCGGCGGAGGGCCCTGCCAAAGTTTTTTTTTCGCGGAATTGTTGCTCTCTCATAATTCACGTCCAATGCTTTGCATCCTCGAGGAGACATTCTATGACGCGCATTGAGACGCGATTGCACGCCGTACAAATGAAGCAGTTGTTGTTTTGTGCATGCAGGGGCCCCCACGCCACCGGGCACCGTGTCCAGCGAAAGGGACGGTGGCTCCGAGGATGAAGGCTGCAATGTGAGTGTAATTGTTGTTGTTGACATTTTATTATTGTTATTTCGATATGTTTTTTTGTCACTTTTTAATGAACGAGTTTCGATCAAACGGATCGTTGGTGGCTCCGCGTGCCACCGGCGGCAGTGTCGTCGTAGATTGCGCAGCGTTCGGAGGCGGTTGACCCGGCGACGCTGCCAGCATTGGGGGCCTCGTGTGCCGTGCCCCCCACCCCCCGCCATCGGGCGCTGGGGTTGGGTAACGCTGACCCCACGATTAAACATTCTGGCCAATCGTGCCCCTGTGTGTGTGTCAGATACTTTAACATGGGCTCTACATAACAAATGGAAACGTCGTGTTTGTAGCTAAGGATTAAGATAGGGACTCATTTATGGTGGTTATTATTATTATTATTTAGGGTTTGCACACCGAGCTTGCGGACCACCGGACTTCTAATCCGGCAACTGAAACAATGGCACAAGTTACATTTCTTGTTCTCCAAAGTATATATGTACATATATGTTGTGTTTTTATTGCAACTCGCTGTGAGCCCGGTACAATACGGGGACGGAAACAAAAACTCCACGAACTGCGACCCGATTTTGGCGTGACAGGATCCTACGGAGGGGGGGAGCTTTTGGGCTCGCTGGCCCACCCAAGTGGGGTCCGTGTGGGGGGAGGTTTCCCGAAAGTATTTTATTGACAGGGAAATGACAAACAAACAAAAACAAGGGGAAGGTTACAGCATGTACGGTCAGATGGGGCTGGGTTCGGGGAACACCAGCGGTGGAGCGTACCGGAGTCGTAACACCAGCGAGCGGGTTGGTGTCCCGCACAGGGGGAGGTGAACGTTACATGTGGAAGAGACGGAAGTGGAGAGGCGATGCTTTGAGGAGCGATGTCGCACAATCGTTTTTTAAATCCCCACCACCATCACCGCCACCTCTGAGCACCCAGCAGTGGCAATGTTTATAACCACAGTTGGCCGGTCGGGTGCGGTGGGCTAAAGTGCGGGCACTACCGCTTCTTCCAAGACATCTGGGCCGTGGAAGAGTAGGCCAATCACTCCTCTAGGTGGGGCTCTGCCGATCTCCATCTAACGGAAGGCCCAGCCGCCAGCGGCGGCGTAACCGAGGAATTGCCTGCGATGGGACTTGGAGGTCTGCGGGTTTCTTGGACTCCAAGGCTTGAGGGCGGGTGCTGGGTGGCACGGGGACGCCTCCCCACCCAAACCCCCAACGCGAATGTCGCGGAGCTCACGGTCACGGCATCGCCGGTCAGCGTCGGTGTCTCCAACCTGCCGTGGGCTCGCGCGTCAATACCGCGTATTTCGTGGCGTTGAAACCCGTGTCCACTTCGATACGCGCGCGGCTACGTGGCGATCGGTGTCGCTCGCGGCCGTCCGGATGGAGGGGCCGTTCTTCGCACACGGAAGCGCGGCGTTCTCGGTTGCCGTGAAGGCGGTGAGTGGGGGTGGCTTTTTGTTGTTGCTGTTCCGATCGGCTGAAATGCGCTCCGCTGCCGTGACCTCAGATCGTCAGAATGCACGGCGAATGGATTTGGAAGGCACGTTTTCCCCGCTGTTCGCTACTAGATCTGGGGATTTCACACCCGCACATGTCATATCGCATTCTTCTTAAGATACCGCCTGCTGCCTGGAATCAGGCCTTCACTCGCAAGCGGAGAGCAGAGTGAGAAGTTCCTCGTGGTCCAGCTGATCGCAGCCCTCACGTTCGATCCGTTTGTGGCGATTATGCCACGGTGGCGAGATGTTAACGACCTCACCTTGTATGGGTTCGATCCCGCCCCTGACGCCTGCTTTGTATTTGAAGTTGTTCTCCGGTTTTTCCCTCCACATTTAGAAACCACATGCATTTAGATTATTTTAGATGCTATAAATTTCCACATGAGGAGCCACTTGCCTTGAGCTATCATTTGTGGCCAGGTCGCTTCTGAAATAGGGCTTCATGCCTCAGTGGGCCTTACCTGGTAAAAAAAAAATAGTTGCGTTTAAATAGTTAATGCATGGCTCGGAGCACTGAGCGCTCGAGAATTGATCGGCGCACGCAATGACGGTGATGGAGATGAGAACGCCCAGATCGATATTTTGGTGGAGCAAGGAGAAACGATTCTACGAGGCACAAAGAAGTGGGATGACGAGAGAAAGGTAGCGTTGTCGGTGGCAAAGGAAGCGGAGCAAGAGGAGACCTGAGATGTTGGAACGCGTCACCAGAACGTTGACACACCACGTCGTGGGAAGAACGCCCGGCAACGTGACAGTTGAACGAGAGGACACGGTGAGGTAGTTGGCAAACGAGGATGTGAGAGCGTGCGACGTTGCCGTGGAGATGGCGATGAGCCGTTCCGATTGGCCGGAAACCCGACCTGCGTTCGCGGGAGATGCCCGTGACCGTCTCCTGGAGCTCCGTCGGTCTGGCATCCCGGCCCTCGTGGTGGCGCTATTGTGGATGCGCGTGGATCCCTGGCGTTTGTCGGGCCCGACTGGTATCGGTGTGGCGCACAGAGGGCCCCGTTCATATCTCGGTAATAGTTCGAAGCTAGCGATGCAAAGCTTCGGGGTTCAACGAGAGCGCAGTGCAGCACGTCCATTGGCTTCAGTGGCCGGTGCGCTCATCGCCGGCACGTTGGAAAGAAACAGCACTGCAACGCCGCCCATTCACTGCTCGTGCTGGGGGATGGCTCGAGTGGGGTGGGGGTCGCCGGGGGAGCGCTTTGTCGACGCTAAAGTAGTGGTGGCGTTGTGCGCCTCCAAACAGGAAAAGAAAAGCAACGCAATGCACACCAGGGAAGCATAAAAATCGGAGACACATTGACGCGGAAACTAGACGGGCTTGGACTGGATGCGTCTCCGGACGGGGCCGACGGGCGGGCGAACGAGGCTAGCGACGGAACGGCAGCAGAACGTGCCGGGGAAGGGAGCCCGCTCCGGAGATGGAGCGACAGAATCCGAATCTTTGTTTAAATATCCTGAAGAAATACGATGAGCTACAAAGCTCTTTCTCACAGACGTCCAGGAGAGAGGTGGGGTCAGCGACGAGGTCCCGCGTGTGCAGGGTCGTGACACGGACGGTCGTGGCACGGGACCCGGGCGTCGCCAGGAGCCAGAGCGTCGTTCCGCTTTGCCGGTAGCCATGGCACCGCACGAAGACGTGGTCGCACCCCCGGACCCAGGGAGTGGCACAGGCCGAGTGGGGCGGCTACGCGAGCCCAAGCACGACGCCCCCACGCGTCGCTCGGTGCAGCACGGTACAGGGGCGCATCGCCTCCTCTGTGTTATCATCGTGGGGTTGATGGTCCAACACAGGCGTGGGCTTGAGCCAAATATTGTTACGGATGTGATCCAGCCAGGCAGATGATGAAATCGTGAATGATTACATGAATGAATGTGCTGTCATCCCTAACCCTGCAACACATCTCTACCCCCGCCACCCCCCCCACCCCCCTCCGTGCGCGTCTCCGCAGGCGGCGGACAGCGGCACGTCGTGCTCGTCGCACCTGTGCGCGACGGAGCGGCGCGAGCAGATGAGAAGGCAGGCGAGCCTGGCGACGGAGGCATCCCGCGGGCACTACCACGTCTCGCCGCACGAGGCCTACACGCGCCACTACCCCTCCGACTGCCTGCACCAGGTGAGTGGTGACGGCGCGACGCCAGGGTGGCGGGGTGGCCGGAGCAGCCGGCGGGAGCGCCGATCGCTCCCATCGGTAATCTCGGCGCCGGCTCCGCATCCGCTTTCTCCCCCCGTCTCTACCAACGGTAGCGGTTTCCGTGATGCGAGGGTCATAGCACCAGACTCGCGGTCCAGAGGTAGCCGGGTTCGATTGCAACCGTCAGCGTGGCGGTTGGAACAACGTGGTGTAAATGTTCACCGCGGTGACGTCCATCGGCGGGTCGCGTGTGTTGGGGTAAAGTGCGGGTACTTCAGTCTCTTCCGAGATGTTCCGTTCAGTTTTTGAAGGTTCTCTCGTGGCTCTCTAAAGTTCTCGCAAGTGGAGGCTTCAACAAGCACTTGCAGGGCTGCACCTTTACCTTGGACCATGGTGTTGTCTACAGAAAAATGAGAAAATAAGGGGAACATTTCCTTCTCAGTAGAGACCATCCTGCCTGCTGCCTCTGGGGCAGCACGCAGACAAAGACAAATATCCCCCCTTATAGCCTCAACAGACTGTTGGGGCAAGTGCTGTTAGCATGCACCTACGAAGGCCGGGCACGGCACACGAGGGGTGAGTGACCAGCATCACGCCCGGTCGCCTTTGTCTTCCCAGTTGCAATGTCTACATATCACTCATTTGAGGCTAGGGGAGGCCCAAAGATGGATCAGATATTCATCACCGCAATCAGAAAATGTATTTGTCGTGGAGGAATCTGACGGGCATGCGCTCACACACACTTCACATGCCGCGCGTGGTGACCTCACCGACGCACGCCGTTGTTCCCGCACTCACTCACACACGCACACACGTACGCACGCACCCACACATGCACACGCACAAACACATGCACACGCACAAACACATGCATGCACACACGCACACATGCTCGCTCGTACGCAGGCGGCGCCGCCCCCGCGCCGCTTCTCGCGCCACGTCAGCTTCCTGGACGAGGCGGAGGCGGCACGTGTGGAGCCGCGGCGCGAGGTCTGGTTCAAGGGCTACGAGGACTACCGCTACGCGCTGGCGCTGCGCCGGCAGCTCGAGCACCACCACGACGCCGCCGCCGCCGGCGCCACCGACTCGTACGTGCACTTTGACGACAAGGCCGAGTCCGGCAGCAAGAAGCACGACTACAGCTACCCCTACCTGGAGGGCGGCCCCTACAGCACGGCCAAGGACGGCCTGGTACGCACGGCGAATGGGGCACGGTGTGGGGGCGGGGGGGGGGGGCGGCCGTTAAGATAGCGAGGTCGGGAATGAAATCGCCAGCTGGATGATAATAACAGTGGTATTGTGTGGAAAAGCCAATAGGCTGAGAGAGAAAACAAATATTTCCACTTACATTTGTGTCCAACGATTTGGTATGAGTCTGGGATGATAGTGTTTTGTCTCCGTAGCGTCCCGTTACACGCGCTGTCGACGTAAGCGGCGGCCCTCTGAAAATGAGCCGGGTGGCTCGGCGCTAGAGCGAGCGGCGAATTAAAATCCTACTTGGGGGTTGACTCAACCCTCCGGGGTCGATAAAGTGAGCACCACTTTGTGGGGGAGGTTAATTGTGTTTGTCCGCTATGAATAAACTTGCTGTCACTTGAGGAACGTGGGAATTTCCAACAATGGCTTTGGGCTGTAAGCAGAAGATGAGAAGGAGTCCGGGTTGGCCGGCATGTCGGTGGCCGGCGTGTCGTGGACTGACGTGTCGTTGACTGACGTGTCGGTGCTGTGGGTGTGCGTCATGTAGTCGGTGGTGGTGACCCAGCCATCGCCGGGTTCCAAGAAGCGTGGCGGCGGTGGCGGCAAGCCACCGCCCGAGGACGTGGAGCGCCAGCGCTGCGTCTACTGCCGCGAGATGTTCGCCGCGCACGACAACGGCCGCGGGCGCTGCCCCGACGCGCCGGACCCGGTGCGCGGCTGCATCCACCGCGCCAGCTGCCTGTGGTGCGCCGAGAGCGTGCTCTACCACTGCATGTCGGACCCCGAGGGCGACTACACCGACCCCTGCTCGTGCGACCCCACGGACGATTCCTTCTGCTTGCGCTGGCTCGCGCTCTCGGGCCTGTCGCTGCTGGCGCCCTGCATGTGCTGCTACCCGCCGCTCATGCTGTGCCACCGCTGCGGAGAGCGGTGCGGCTGCTGCGGGGGCAAGCACAAGGCCATCAGCTGATGAGGACGTGGGGGGGGTGGGGTGGCGGGGGGACGAACGCGAGTGGAAACCGGCCCCCGGCGGCGGGCAGAGGGGGTGCGGGCGGCGGCAGTCGTGGCTATGCAAGGTGCAGAGACGCACGCGGTGGCGGCGCTGGCGACGACGACGAGTCTGCGGACGGTGCCCAGGCCCGCGTGGCTCGCGATGCTCGTAAGACTGCTCGTCGTAGAGCCGTTGCGTTTGGAAACGTGCGTACGCTACGTGCGAAAGTGCGCGCGTGTGCAGAACCTAGTAACGCAAACCTTGAAACGCCAGGTCCAGAGCGCGGACCTGCGGCTTGCTCTTGCACATCTACATTCCTGACACCGGATCTCTTTAGTTTTGCGCATCCTGGCTTTCAGTCCGATTGTGTCACCGTGATCTCCGTGTCTGTTCACACTCGTGTCGCGTGCCCCTGCACCGGCCTTGAGGTTCCCAGTGGCACGCAGGGGGGCGTGGAGGGATGAGCTGCCATCGCGTTGAGTTGCGCAGGGAGCGGCGTGAGGGGGGGGGGGGGCGTTGACATGTAAAGTGGTCGGTCTTATCAAACAAAAGTTAATCCTGTGTTCATTTTCCAAACCGCGTGCATTTGACCCCTAGATTAATTTGTGGTGCGAAGGGGATGCCAACAAGGCTCCTTCACGCAGTCGGCTCCACCTCGGCGCGTCCATCCCGAGCTAAACCTGCTGCTCGGGTCCCACGCGCAGTTGCCAAACGCGCGTTGGTCACGGTTTCCAGACCCTGGGCGTGATGCTGCGAGCCGGGCGTCCCTAGAAGCGGCGCCGGTGTACCACACTGATTTGGGCTCATCGCGAAAGCGCGAGATCGTCAGCAGGGCGACGGGTTGCTGGTAGGGGGCTGTACGACACATCGGCTTCGGGCTCCCGCCCCTCCCGTCCCATCCTCCCACCACCCCCTTGGCGCTGCGCTAAGACCACGGGGGAAGCGCAAAGCCGCGGGACGCCCAAATAGAGCGTGAGCAACAGACGCGCAGAAATATCTTCCTGGCTTCCACGTGTGCCAGGGGTGGGGCGGGGGTGGGGAAAGTGGTGCCAATCTGTCAGCTGGCTGAAATCGGCGGGCAGATGCGAGAGAGTCCGCAGTGCATTGCGTGGCATCGCGAGCTCAAAGTTAGCGGCCCCAGAGGAGGGAAGCCGCGGCGAGTTAGGTTGAAGGGTGAACGATCGCGCCTCGCGATTCCTTGTCGATTTCCAGCTGCATAAATGATCTGGCCGGATTTGCATCAGTTAAGGCCCTACGACGCTGCCGCTCGGGTGGAAATGTCACAGCGGTTACGCGAGTGTTTCGGTTCACGCCGTGACGGCGAAGAACAATTCTTAGAACGAAATTTTACGGTTTAGGTACGCGACGATTCGTATCGAAACTAAAGGTCGAGCGTCGTCAGGACGAGATCCAGGATATCGGGCCCATGGCGCTTGCACGCCTGCAGCCATTCTCTCCACCCTGGTAATCGGCCCGACAGGTAGCAGCACAACATCGGTGTTCTCCGAGCCCCATTGTTTAATCGCTTCCTCTCTTAACCGGGCGAGCACCCATTGAGATTCAGTCTTTTTTGTTGTTGCAAGGAGTGTGTGGGGTGGGGGCTCGCGTGACTGGCTGTGTAGGAACGTTACTTTTTCATTGTGATGAAGCCGAGATCAAGTTAACGTGCGCACCTTGGGGTACGACACCGTGGTAAGCGTGAATGGAGACCCTCTGCGTATTTCTCATAGAAATATCACTTGGGCAGCTGCCGCAATTTTAATTGCCGGCTCCGTGCAAACTGGCTCGGCGGCGAGTGTTGCCACAGCGGTCAGCTGCAGTTTGTCGTCCAGCAGGAAGCGACTTGGAACTACGCCTTGCCTGCAGATGGGCAACCCGGAGACGGTGTCTTTGGTCCTCGACGCCACAGGCCTAACAATGGCTGATCCGGTATCATCCAGGGTGGCCGATGCTCACGATGAATTCCTTGCAGCGTTGTTACCTCCTAGATCACACTGATGTACGACAGCAAGCTCGCTCGTTGGTGTTTATGAGACGTGTGTCATTATTAGGGTACTGTGGTAAATTTGATAGCAAAGTATCATTTTGAAAAAAAAATCAAATGCAATGTGAAACATCCTCGGAATATAACAATAAATAGAACGTGTTGTCTATAGAGCAGTCGGTATTGACGCTAAGCTTTCTGCACACGGGCGTGGATACTGCCCACGGTTTGACGCTGGTAGCATTCGTTACCCTCAGTGGTACTGATCGCGACCCCCTTGGCTCATGGGCCGCATATTCTTCATTTAACTGGGGGGGGGGGGGGGGTTGTTGGTGGTGGTGCACAGGCCCTCGAAGCCTCGTGGGAGGCACCTTTCCCCAGAGGCCCTGCGTTGCCAGGGCTCGCGCAGCCTCCCCGGGGCCGTGGTTAATTCGCCGTGGCGTGTCTGAGCGGTTTGCGCGTCACCGTGCCACAGGGGCCGGTGCCGGGCTGCTCCTGGCACGAGGTAGGGGGCCCTCCCAGGCCCTCCCGGAAGCTCTGTGTTACAGAGCCTGTGACCCGTTTTTATGCAGCTTAAAAATGTGGGGCCGGTGGGCGCACGGCGGAGGCAACGGAGTGACCTCAGAAGCGTTTCTCACCACCGCTTCCCCCGTGCTCCTCCACCTGCTGCACCGCTCGCTCCGCCCAAACAGAACCCTCCGTGGTCACGGCTCCCAAATTTAAACACGGGAGCTAAACGGTTTCTAAATTGCGACACTAACTGCAACTCTAACCGCGCTGGCGACGACGCACCGGTACACTTGTTTAAACGAACGCTACCACAATGCTGCTTTCGGAGCAAGTCGTAAGCCAAAATAAGCAACGGCATCGCTTTTCTGTTAAATCTTTTTTTTCTTTTTAAACATCAATTTCCCCAAGAGCGTCGAGCTGACGGGGATGTCCCTTGGCGCGCCGTCCGCTCGTCTCTTGAATCTCCAAGCGGAGGGCGCGGGCACGGCCACAGGGGAGGCGGGGGGGCGGCCACGCGAGCGCGGGCACCACGCTCCTGCAGCAGCTGCAGTTCCCGCTGGGTACCAAACTCCGACGAGGTGCTGCCGTGTCCCCCTTCTCGGCCTCCATGACCGATACCCTTACGGCTCCTCCGCTACCGCCCCCTAACTCCCCGGACCCTTCTTTGGTCTCTGGCACGTTGCCCCCCACCCGTCCCTCCCTCCATGCCCCACGCACGCCCCTCTTCATTCTTCGCCTCCTCACCGTCGTGTCGCAAGTCCAGGCGATTGCCTTGGCTCGTCGTCTGCAAAGTGCAGAAGTAAAAAAAACAACCTCCGTACCAATTCCAGCCTAACTGCCAAGTACGTTCTGTTGTTTTTAATCAAACTTTCTCTGTGTGTGTGTCCCTCTCGCAGTCGCTGTCTCTCCGCGTCCTTTCTCTTCGTCTCACTTTGTATTTGACGCTCTCCTTCCTCCCTCCACCACCACCACCCCCCCCCCCTCGCCCGCGTGCGCCCTCCACCACCTTGGTGCCAAGCGTGACGCCGTGTGGTGGGGACTGGCGGGGGGCGTCCGTGGCGTGCTCACGAGGAGGAGAGGGCCGCTTCGTTTGATGAGGGTACCGCGTGCGCGCGTGCGTGTAGAAGCTGCTGCTGCTGCTGCACAGATGTGTACAGGGGACAACCTTTTTTGTTTTGTATTTTTCTACATTTCAGATTTTCTATTTTAGCAGTGCGGAGTCGCCGGCTCTCGTACGTTTTTAATGAATACACTCTTTGAGATGAACGCGCAAAGGTTTGAGGTAAATATCGCTGCACGAATTGCAGTATTTTTAAAATAAAAATAAAAAAATAAAAAATAAAAACACCCACACTGGGGATACCCATATTAAAATATTATATATAAAGACGACATCTAAATTGAGTTAAACATTGAAATAGTATTATTATTAAATGTTTCGTCATATGATTCTATATTTTTGACGTAATACAGATTTTATGTTATTTAATCGTGTGATATTTAGCCCGTTGGTTGTTGTTGTTTGTGGGTGTTGACCCTGCTGTGTGTGGTACTCGGAGGAGGGGGCAGTGGTACGTTCATTCGCGTGCGTCGTCACCATGGCGACAGGGGGGGGGGGCAGCCCCTCGTGACCTGGAACTAAACGGACAAGGTTTATAATTCATGCACAGCACCACCCATCCTCGCTTCCATTGACACCTAACGATCCACACTACAACCATTTACGGTACACTTAGTTAATTGCGCACCCTTTATGTGACCATATTTTACCGAGCGAGATGTACGTGTGTTGCAACCGTATGTATCCGTCCGTGCTAATCGGTATTGAGGGGGAAGGTCAACAAACTAAACACAAAAAGTCGTTCTAAAGAAATGAGTTTTCAATTTAGATTGGAAAGTGCATTGCTCCAGTGGCTTCCTAATATCGGAAGGAAGAGCGTTCCAGACTGCCGCAGAAGCGCATTTGGAAGCGCGCGATGCAGTGACCGTCTTTGTCCGATGGTTAGCCAGCAACAAAAAATGTATTCTTCATTGCAAGAGAGATTTCAGGGGAGCTGGTTTAGACTTTTTAATTGTGAGAAATTTCAAAAGTTTGGCTATGGCCGTGACGCTGTGGTGCAGGCATAACGCAAGTGATGTCACAGGGTCTTTAAAGAAGTCCCCCCCGTCTCGCAACAGAACGTGGTGCCTAATGCGGCGGGACCCCCCCCCCCCGGCCAGTCCGCCAGGGTACCCAGCCGCCGTGATGCGCGTCGATGCACGGCGCTCGCCACTCACGACCGTTGGCCGTGGAATTCTGGACTGTACTGTGATAGGCTACTGCCGTTACGGTGGGGTGCGTGAGGGTGCACTGTGCATATGTAAGGCAGGGACGATGCAGTGCGTGCGTCGTTGGAGGCGGGGTGGGGAGGAGGGTGCCAGAATCACACCGTGGTATTTCCTGTCGATAGGTCTCTTGTCGCGGAGTTGTGTACTTGTGCTCTTATCGGTGTACAGATGCTGAGTGGTGGAAAAAACGTGGAGTGTTCTTGTTTGGGCATTACGGTTGACTTGGGTTTAAATTGCCTTCGTTGAAATTGTTGAAAACTTAACATAATTTTCCCCTTCAGGGGAACAAAATATCCAGTTGTATAATGCGCCGCAGAATGATCATCAGGGGTTCAGCAAAACATCTTAAGGTTTAAAATGTGTTACAGCCGAGAGCCCCACTGCTATATACCGAAAGCGTTTCCACATGCAGTCGCGTGGACTGTGCCATTACCCTCCGTGAGATGGACTTGAGTCCACACATGTGAGCTGCCACTCAGCTCATTCCAACTCCCCTCACCAGCTCTGGGCACTCGTGAGATGGGCATCGCCGCCGCGCTCTTTCACTCCGACAAGAACAATCAATCTGGAGTGTCGTCAAGCCATTCGCCTCCTTAGCGCGACGATTCTGATTGGTCTTCACTTCCTTTTCGACGTCGTATATTGGTGGTGGTGGTGATAATGTGAGGGTTTTTTTCCCCCAGAATAAATGCGACTTTTTATTGTTGTTGTTGTCCTCGTCGTTGCCGGCCGTAGCCAGGAGGAGGCACGCATGATGACAGACTGAGTTGCAAATGCCCCACCATGCTGGCCTCTGCGGCACTGCACCGGAGTCCGTGAAAGTCTCCCGTGCTCGTCAAGAACCGTGGCACTCCTGGCACAACCAATCGGCGATGCATCACGGCGCTTGAGCCATTGGCCAAACAAATTCTCTTATCGGTACCATCCCGGGTGACACATGCTGATGTTCATTTTCTTGAACCAATTGAATCCTCTTAGATCACAGTTATTTCTAGCGAGGTGCACGAGAAAGAGATGGTTAAGAGAAGGTACCGCTGCATCCGTGTGTGTGACAGCGAAGATCGTTTTTGGGGAGGGACAATTTTTTTTTTATTAAACGTCTCGAGAATATAAACGTGTAGAAAACACGGAGTGTTCGCTCTGCCAATAGGTGTCTAAGGAGTAGCATTTGCCAGCCCAGGTGGTACCGGTTAGAGTTGCTATTGGCGCTATGGGCCGGTGTTATTATTTCCAGAGATTTACACGCGAGTGTGGCGGGGGCGGGCGGCGGGGGTGCGCTGTGCCGCGCGGTGGGCAGCAGAGGGACGTGCAGTAACGCGCGCTGCTGCCCGACGGAGCGGCGGATTCGCGCTGCAAAACTTCAGCTCCCCCCACCCCGCACTAAACCAACCAGCGTGGCGAAGTACGGTCGAAATAAATCCCCACGGCGCACAAGGTGTGAGGAGGCCCTCGTGTAGCAGTGGATTGACACAAAAAAAAGGCTGCAGCATGCACAGGAGTTTTAAAGGCCAGCGAGGGCAGCCACCTGTGGCGAGTCGGTATCGTTCGTGTGGTGCAGCAGCAGCAACAGCAGGGCTTTCTCAAGCCCCCATAACCCACGTCCCCGCCCTGTTTCTACCGGAATGAGCATTGAGGCAATGCGCATCTCCTGTTTACAGCCCCTGAGCCAACGATGGGAATTCCATATTCCCATGGCAGGGCTGAGTCTATTCAGAGAATAACCGATGTGTTTGTATGTTGAACTTCTTTCGCACCGTATGTAGCCAACTACGCTAATCGGAGGTGCGGGGGAAGGACAACAAACTAAACACAAAAAGCACTTCTAAAGAAGGAGGGATGAAAGGCTGAGTCGATCCTAAGCCACGATCGAATTCGCAACTTTTCCAATTGCGAGCCTGCTGGCTGTCCCGCTGAGCCACCTACCAATCATCAGATATCTTGACCGTCTCATTGATGCGCATTCAAATTGGTGTGAACAGGTGTAAAAGTGGACACTTGGTGAGGCATGAGCACTGGGGCGGAGGGGGGGCGCGCTTGGGAAGTCCTCATGAGGGGAACCCATGTGATCAGTGGTGCGTTAAAACAACTAGTTGTGCTGTTGCCTACATGGGATCGTGTGTTGGGCAACATGCAGGGGAAATTAACACGCAGAAATAACGACATCGGCTAACGGCGCTCGTGTCTGTGCCGCATTCTCGACCAAGCAGAGGATCTGTGCGCGAGGGAGATTGTAGCGAGCCGGGCATTCTGGTTGTACCCTGCACACCGTACGTTTGCTGGTGGACATTTCTGGGCAGTTGTGAAGTGAGGTTATTGTATCACCCATTGTAACGTTTGGACACAATGGAAGTGACCTCTTGTTGGGAAATGCTGGTCATGTGATTCGAGCCGGGTGTAGTCCATGAGCCCAGACCAGACATCCCATTTGTCCATACCACCTGAGATGGAATCATCTTCGTGATTCCAGTTTTTTTTATGTGGCCAATAACTATGGTTTCTGCCTGACCCAACCAATGAATTTACATCTGCGTTCTGGTGGCAAGAATGGAATTTTATCCAAGATCTGGTGGCATCGTGTCAAATATTATTACGAAATCCTGCAGTTTTCATAGACGTGGGTTGACCGATGAGTACATCTGGGTTTGGTCTATGGAAAAAGTGGCGACGGTACCATTGACACTGAATCGAGTGATAACCTTTTGAAATCCGTGCGTTATCAAACAGTTCACTCTTGTTAGCCGTAGTGAATTAACCGGTCGGAAAGTTTCGTCTACCTTGAACGGGACCGGCTTCTGCTCTGGCCCATGGACGAGAGCGTTGTGCGGCCCCGGGCTGAATGGGCTCACAGCCGCAAGTGCTGGGCGAGGGGACTCACGCTTTTGTAGAGAAATTCTGGAGACATGTCTTGGCTAGAACCCATTACACCCCCCACCCTCTCTCCTACCACCTGTGCAGATTTGTTCTGTGTGTAAAACCATTAGTAATTGTTGTGGACAACCGCTGCTTTCCGACTCGCGAGCCTCCGTTTTCAATGGCCATTTTGGTTTCTCTCCAGCCCCACACTGAAAGCGGTGCACGTATATGGAGGAGTTTAACCAGGTACGCGCTCACATTGGTACACCGACTACTTGGACGCGGGCCGCCGTCTCCGAACGTGAAACTTAAATGGCCGGGTTTTTTAAACGCATTTTCACGAAAATAAACGCACTTTAGAAGGAAGTAAACGTTCAGTCCGACACACAGCTCAACCGGAACTGTAACGACGTGAAGCTGCGTTGAGTCGATGCTTTGGGTGAAATATTTGACGAGGATCGAGGCAAGTTTTTTGTTGTTGTTCCGTGTAATTGTACCGGGCAATGTTTTTTGAGAGTTGAGATCCGACGAAATGTGTGTCTATTAAATGTTGGCGCGTTGGCGGCGGCGTCGCTCGCAAGCCCGTTCCCCCGGGGCTGCTCGCTCCTTGCGTTTAGGGGTTTTGACCTGTCAGGGGCTGTTTCTCGGGTCCCTTATAACTTGATGGTAAATGTCGGGACTTTTCTACGCGTTGTATATTTTCTACACTTTCAAGGACGAGGAAGAGCGTCTGATCCACACACCGTGCATGTAGCACCGGCAGTGGAGCTCGTGTCGACCGAAAGGACTCTTACCATATGCAAAAGTTAAATAATGTACTATTTGTATTCAGACACAGGTAGGGTGTCGTGTCTGCTGTTTACACCGAGGCTTCTCAAAAGCTTCCTGTGTGCTCGTGAAGCCGTGAGGACATTGGGACTCGTGGGAAGCCGATGGGAGCAAGATGTGAGATGTCACTTTACAGAGGGCCTTGCCTAAACTCCTTCAGGTCGTGATGTGGCACCACCAAGTTTGTGCGGGAGGGAACTAGGCTGCAGGGTTTGCGGTGGCAGTGAGAAAAGCGCCCAAGTCTCTGTGCTCAGTTGCCATCACACCGAAGGTTGTCTTACGTGGTTGCCAGAATTTGGACAGGAAGGAGAGAAGATATTTTCTTGAAGCTTCAAGCAATGTCGGCGTTCTCTCCAGTGATTTGGTTGTGATGAAGAGTTAAAGGCAGAGCTGTACAAAGGGTCCTGGAGCCATTTTATATTGGTAAGATGTAATCTATGAAGAAGACTGGGCATTGCTAAATTGTTATAATTCGTGCACTTGACGATTTTACGATAAAAAAATGTTTTAGTGAAATACGTTACCTAATTGCAGGGTTGCTATTTCACACAGTCATATTTGGATACAAGAAATGTCCGTACCACGTAATGATTGCACCATACCGCACTTTAAACGTGGTAAAACTAATCAAAATTGCAAGTAATTCTAAATCTTATAAATAGCAAATTGCTCTGATGTCACAGCAAACTATCTTCACTGAATTATCATTGGACAAGGAACCTTTTCGAACACCGTAACAATGTGATTTCGGCCCCTGAGTCAATTTCCTTGATGTGACTTCGTTTTGGGTAGAGCGAATGTGGCGACGCAAGTCAAATCGAAATGCCGTGAAGTGAGGAGTTTCATTTGTTCAGGCCACAGGTACCTGGCGCCCCCTGCAAAGTGACGTGGACTGTGATGTGCCGTTTGCACAAAGTGGGGATTTTGGTCGGAGTGACTTGTTTTTCTTGGGCAGCACCAATTGTGAGACTTGTGGATGGCCTCACCAGGGTAGCAAACTCAATGTGTTTTATTATTGGTGCTGGCTTCTTGATAAGCACCCACAAAAGCTTTGCTTCTTGTAGAAGAGATGAACAGACACTCTCCTGGCAGCACTTACGTGTTTCGCTGTATGAAAGCTGGGGGTAAGGTTCTGGGCGTATTGGCCTAGGCCGGGGGTCGGCAACCTGCGTCTCCCGGGGGCCGCATGCGGCTCTTTAAGGACTGCTTCATGACGTTATTCACATGCATTGTGGCCCTTGAAATATTGATGATTTTTTGTTTTTACCGAATTCGAAAAGAAATGCTCTTGTTATTTTGTTTGCCGCCCCCTCCTTGGTCGAGGCTGACCAATATTCGTGGGGCGTGGTGCCTCCGTGCCGCCAACAACATCGCTCGATTTATACTAAGGAGGCCGCGTTCTGCAACATGATCTCTCTTCGGCATCGCCCTGCACTCCACCTCCACAGAAACATTCTCTCGCTGGTTCACGTCACCCCTGTCCGCTGGTTGCTGGCCAATACGCCACCCCCCCCCCCCCCTCTGTCAGTGGGAGGAGCACTGCCGAGATGTTTTTAATCTGCCTTTGTGTTTTTTGAAAGACACGGGACTTGTGTAGCACCAGAGCGAACGGTACCTTTTGAAACTGATAACACTTTTTTTTTTAAAGAGCATTGTTGTTAATAGCCTTTAAATTGTCTATTTTAAAAATGTTAATTTAAAATATATAATAGAAAATTGTGCAGTTGCAATCAGTTGTTTGTGTGTCCTGCATTAACATGATATTAACTGAAGGTGACACACTGGGGGTATTGTACATGCCGTTTTCGCGGTGGTGGGAGGCTGTGTTGTGGAAGTGCTCCTTCCACAACACACTGAGCTGCGGTTCACGTGTTCATCGCTGAGTGCTCAACCTAACATTCCCTGGCGTATACAGGTTACTCTCCGTGCCGTGCGAGCGGGCAGCAAAGAGCATTTAATTATCCACGTTTGCAGCGTCAGGTATTTTGTGAGAATGTCACCTTGTTTGTATATTTACCCGCCTATTGTCTTACACTAAGCTTACTAAAAGGTATTTGAAAGAACTAAATATTGAGAAGCAGGGGACTGACTAACTTAAATACACCTTTTCGGACATTATCTCAAGCACCAGTCTTGTCAGTGTGTCTGAAGAGCTTTCAGACAATGATTTATCATTGCTCATGCCCATGGCTATCGCCATGTTGTGGTGACAGTTTCATCAAACTCCACGCCGTTTGTTTTGCGAGCTCGGCGTCCGTTCGTGTGTCCCAATTATTTTCGTATTGTGAGTTGAATAGCTCAATTGCAACGTTACACGGAAATTTAAAGCATTATAACATGGAAACAAATTTGATGTGTCCGCAAGATATGTAACTGAACATTCTTAAGTGTTATGCAGCCGTATCATAAGTCTTTATATTTTAGTTGTGCCTCTGTATGAGGCACTTGCGTATACCCCCATTGAAACCATGACAGTGTAAAGTCGGTGCAATTAACGTGTTGGGACTGTGACTTTTATTTGGTCAAATTCAGTGGTGAGGACTGTTCCAAAAATTTTGGAACAAACTCTACGATGGTAAATCTTATGGGATAGCCTAAATATCTATAACAGTGGGAGACAATTGTGCTCAATGAACGTGATTATTGGTCATGATATACATATGCTGTATAATTATTAGGAAGTGATAGAAAGGCCACTTTACGAAATGTTGCACTATCTCTGCAATTCTTGGCTAAAATTCCACAGACATGTCATGAATTATTGGCCGAAAATTCTCACCAGATTTCCATCACTGGCGGATACACTGTGTAAATCGGGCAGTAAAACAGATTTTGGTAACAAGTGGCTAAAAAGGTCACCAATGCTCCGATTAGCACGGTTAACTCGTACGTTGCGAAATAAGTTCAACATGCATACATGTTTGAAGCCCCGTCTGGGTACCTATAATAACAAAGCCAGCCCCTTGGCTTCAAAGTAAAATAGCTGCGAGATTTGAATTTCGTTTTCATTGTCTCAAAACATTTTGAACATCTCTTAATGGTCTTTGTGAATCTGCCCAACTTACACCAGTTCACAGGCCAGGGATCGTGCCCGTCTACGTTTCTCTCACAGAGCTTGTGAACACGGTCGATGGTCATGACTCCAGGTGCCCTAAACAATCGCTGCCCCCTGACCTTCAACCACACCAACTCTTGCACAAGCTCTCCCGGTCGTGTCACTTAAGCATTATGGCAACAACGAAAAAGTAAACCGTGGCAGCGAATACGAAAACTGTCGATTCACTTGAAGGACGCAAAGGGACAGGCAGAGCATTGTTGTTAGGGGAGAGCACTTTCTCATAATGTGTGGTACGAGATTGCAACTAAACTATGTTTCCTGCTTTAAAATGCATTTGTAATGGCTTGAGATTCAGAAATGCAAATTGAAAGTGTCCCCTACATTTCCCGCACAAAGTCCAATTTGACGCTTGATTTGCAGTAACCCCCAGATTCCCTCATTTTCTTGCGTCCTACACATCTAACAAAAGTGCCTCGGTAATTAAACCATATGGAATATTTTCATTTAATCCAATATTTTTGCTTTAATCGCATAGCATTTTTGTATTTTGTGAAGCATTTGACTGCTGTGTACAGGTACTAAGTGTATGATGTATATTTTATTTTGTAACTTTCATAAATACTGTTATAACCACGTTATCGAGTGTATAATGTACTGTAAATACGCAGATAATACCAAACATTATTAATGTCAAATGAGTATAAAGATGTTTTTTGTTTAATCATACTTTCAACTTTAAGCATATCGGTTGACTATTAAATATAATAAAAATGTATACCTGCTAGATTATTGCGTTTGTCTTCTTTATGTATCACAATACTAATACTGGTAGGAACCTCCTGGTTACACCAGCCCACAGGGGATTATTGTTTTCCGTCTGTCGTGCAGGGAGGGGCTGGGTGGGGAGGAGAGGGTGGGGCTGGGTGGGGAGGGGCTGGATGGGGAGGGTGGGGAGGGGCTGGGTGGGGAGGGTGGGGCTGGGTGGGCTGGGTGGGGAGGGTGGGGCTGGGTGGGGAGGGTGGGGTTGGGTGGGGAGGGGCTGGTCACCCCGTGGTGCCTTTATAAAACTCAACGTTTAACCTACTCACGCCGGCTTGTGCCCGCCCTCACAGTCGGGCATATTTGCGGAATACACCACGCCGCCGTTGACCCTGGCCATTGACCGAACAACCTAACGTTTCTACCAGCTCCCTCCGCAGGAATGTGTTGTAGTCCAATTATGCTCCCTGAACTTTCACGTGGTTAAGCATAACGACTCTTTAAATCACATCTATAAACTTCTGGTTCTCTGCCATACACTTCATTCTCAGCTTCACGCGTTATGAATTTTGAGCCATTACATGGCGTGTGGAACTGCTGAGAAATTTAAAAGGGGAATGTTTTCTCATGATTATGACTTCCATAGCTCAATGTTGTATGACACACTGCTTCTATCCCTCGCGTTCCTGCAATGCCACAGTCTATGCTGCTGTTGCGCATGAGCTGATCTCACTCCACGTCCATGGTGATCATCTTCTGAGGCGAGCGCTCTCCTTTAGCTATCCTTTTTACCAGTTTTGCTATACGACCGTCAACCTTTTCCTGTGATGTGTCCTGCTGAAGTTAACTTTTAACAGTCAATATTATGTCTGTTTTGTATGTTTTCTGATCCATATGCTTGTTTTCCTGTTTCGCAACTTAATTATAAACATGGGTCTCTCAATGCTTATTTGCACAATCTTGATTTGAAGCTTTCGTGACTGCAGGAATCCCTACTCTTTGGTTCTTTCGGTAAAGTCATGTAGGTATCAAATAAAATAAATCACGACGTTTCGGGCACAACACAAGCGTCCGTCACTTTCCCACCTGATGACGGACACTTGTGTTGCGCCTGAAACGTCGTGATTTATTTATTTGCACACTTCAGATTTTGTAGTATGGCATTTTATTTGTCACTACCTAAGTTTATGATCCTTGTCATAGACATGCACTTATTTGTGCATTTTTAACGAAGATAACGATGGACACCGATCATTACAATGACGATGGGCAGTCTTCCCCTTACCAGGGACGTAATGACTGTGGAGCTGATTGCTGTGAATACGAAGAGACCCTGTGATGATCGCTGCTTTAGCAACACACACACATCGATTCTCAACTCCTCACACTTTATTCCAGCACTGCATCCTGACGATGTTAATATTTACTTTCATACATTTTTTTACCAACTCTAAATACCTACATTGAATTCAGAAGACTGATGGGTGGGAAACGTGTGTAGTATGGAGAAAAACACAGCAGGCAATTTGGAGGTTAGAAATAGAACGTGGTAGGAAGGTGTTGTAGATGTAACCATAAAGAGGGGGTAGTGATGGGTGGGGCACATGTGCAGGGTGAAGGAGGACAGGTCACTGAGACAGGCATTGAAGTGGCACCCAGAGGTCGGCAACCAAGGGAATCTCTAAAGCCGAAGTTTAATAATAATCAACAATTAAGTAAAGCCTCCCTCTTCTAAAATGCGCAACAGTGCAATTTACACACTTCAGTGGCAAGATGAAACACAAAATAATAACTGTTGACTGCCCTACAAAGAGAGGTGCCACTCATTTTATTGAGCACAACGAAGGGATGAGGATGATGACAATGATGATGGATTTGCTGAGGCTCCTGAATCATATTTTGGCGTTATTGCTGCTGATGCTATTGCTGCTATGATGAAGATTTTCTGCTTTTGGTATTGCTGTTGATACTGATGGTGGTGGTGCTACTGCTACTACTGACGATGCTATTGATACTGCTGCACCTAATGCTGTTGCTGAGGATACTGATGCTCATTTATTTTCTGCTGTTACTGATGCTGATGGTGGTACTAATGATGATGTCGATGCTATATCTGCTACTGCAGGTGCTAATGATGATAAATATGGCGGTGATGCTACCAAAGATGTTCATGTTACTGCTGACACAGCTGAAGCTGATGGATTGAGCCAATCCACATACTTGCATTTGAACTCGCGACGTATGACTGAGTCAGCCCCTCTGATCGAGTCAGCTTTGTCCTTCCACCAAACTTTTAAAACGTCATCACCGTCATCATTACCAACATTGTCCTTTGCACCTTTAAAGGGGGCCACGAGCACAACTGCATTATCACGGCCGTTTCCCCTTTCCCCATGCCGTACGCTGCTTACGGCGTTGTGTCTGGCGACGTTGCTTTGCCTCCTCTTGTTCCTCCGCTTTGGTGGTTCCATTGGTTCGTGTTGGCCTTTTGGCCCCGACCTGGCGTTCTGATTTCTCCACTGCCTTTCCCGTGGCCCTGCTGGGCTCTGGTGTCTTGGACTGTTCGCTTCCTCTTCAGCGTTTCACCAGATTCTGTGGACTGAGGACAGGGGAGTTTATTTTTTTAATAATTTCTGCCATTTTAACTCAAAATTTTATCCCGATTATATTATTATCAGCATTATGTCTTGATAAAGTGAAAGATACACACTTGAGAAACCAGTTTAATCACGTTTGAGTGGCTGAAACCCAAATACGAACCCAGGAACTCATTGGTTCTGGCTCAGCATCTCTGATCTCTGGCCACCTCAGCTGCCATACCTTTTTGGATGATGATGTTCTTCCTGAATATTCCTTCTGGTTCCCATCATCCGGGGTCTCATCTTCTTGCACTCTGAGTAAGTCTGCCTTCCTATGAGTAAAGTGACATGCAACAGAGCGACGCTTAGTGAGCAGTCGGTAAACCATCATAAGTCTTAAGTCAATTGCTAACCTCTCTCATAAATATAGTGCTAATTGTGATTGGGTTTACATTGGTCCAAGAGCTTTCATCATCAACTGAAGGAAATTTATTTTAAAAAATCAATATTGTCCACATTTTGAAGACGGTGAAGGCAACATTGTGGTTAACTTAAGACTGGACTGTGATTCAGTGGACAGATTTGAGGACTTGAGTGATGTGATTTTATTTTTGAGATGTGAGGACTGGAGTGATGTGGCCCAGTAGGCCAGGGCAGGCCACACGTGAGACCTGCAGTAGAAACCATGGGGCAATGGCTAGGACTCACAGACTATGGGCAGCAGAGATTGTCAGAATCCTCTTTCCCATAATGTTGGGGCTCTGTGCGGCCAGACTCCTCACAGCCTGTATGCCCCACACACACACACCAGGTTCATACATCGATTCATCCATACAGTGCAATATAATACCAAGTGTTTTATTATACAGGCCATAATTAAATATGCGAGTATTTTGTTTTGTTTACATTTAGCCAAGTTTTACAATGACGCTGGCACACATTGCCTGCTCCGATTTGAATAACATCACAAATTTGACATCCGGTGTGATGCAGGCTGCGCATGAAATATGGTTTAATACGCCTGTATTAACCAGTGCAGCCATTTGGTTCGAACCGCAAATCTCTACAAAAAGCAGCAAAACAAATTACCACTCAGCCATGTCACTGCCCAGAGTTCTGCTTTCAGCCACATCATCATCATCAATAGAGTTATATGAAGTAGTACACTCAGTTTGGTACCTTAGTGCTGAACTGAGGTGGCTTGAAGCCTTCAGGAAGGTATCTCTTTGTGTTGGAAAAGCTCTGCAAAACAACATAGCAGTCTAATTGAGTGATGTTTCATTTTAGACTTATGTTAGTTAAGTCTAGGTCTGTAGATTACATTTTTTCATTCTTATAATACAGTCGACTGAAGCACTCAAAATGTAATCCACTCTAACAATTCAATATTGCTTTGTTGCATTGAACAGAGCCCCATAGTTTAGATGCAGTACTCGTGCCAATAACGTTTGGTAACAAAGCAGCCTTGCCATAACATACCTGACCACTGGTGAAACCCAGGTCAAAACCAGTCCAGAGGTTGCTTGTTGAACAAATGGTGCTTGGTTAATATTAAGTCTAGAAAGCCAATAGGCTAATGGATTAAAACATTCATTTCTATATATGTGGAGATGCCAAACGGAGGTCTGCTTATAAATGCTTTTGACAGAGTAATGAGATCAGTTCTTGTGCAAGTGTGCAGTCATTGGTGACCAGGCTGAGACCATAAAGTCAATACACTTGAGAATCTGGTTTAATCACAGACGGCTGAAACGCGGATTCGAACCCAGAACTTCAGTGGTGCCAGCTCAGCACTTTGACCTCTGAGCCACCTGGATAGCATGGGTTGTGATTGATGATGAAAGGATCACATTTATTGATGATGAGGACGATATATATTATTTATGTCTAATAGAGAACTCTTTACTCTGCAATGGAATCGAAGGGATACCTGTGTTTTTCATATTCTCACAATCCTGTACCTGGCGCACTAACAGAAATCCGCATTTTTATGTAAAAGTATACCAATATGCATTGCGCTTTTTTATATTCTCTAGGTAATAACGAATATTTTGGTAGGGAATTACATTAATAGGACAAATTGAAAGGTTAGAGCAATTTTAAATGAGTCGTGTCAGTCTTCTATATTCGTTACCACCTCTTTGGTGTCGCAATCTATTAAATGTCTCACAAACGTTTTCGCTGTTTTGGTGGCAACGGCCCACAGCCACTAACAATAGATTATCATTGGGGTGGGGAAGAGCCCAGCGAGTAGCCACTCAGGAAACTCGAGGCATAGAATTTTTTTTTATAGTAGTATGATGAAGAGGATGATGACAATGATGGAGACAGGTGAAAATTGTTTTTTTACCCTTTTATCTGGCAACAAAACTGACACCTTTTTTACAAGGAGTCATGTTTGCATTGACCACAATACGCCTTTTGGCATCATCTGGTCCAACACCATGTGAGACTTGGCTCTAAAGAAAGCTGTCTCGGGTGTGGACCAATCAGTTTCAAGGACAGTGCATACATTATCAGAGTTATGTTTTTTGTTTGCATTCCGACTGCAGGTATTGTGGTCAATGCAAACATGACTCCTTGTAAAAGAGGTGTCAGTTTTGTTGCCAGATAAAAGGGTAAAACACTATTATCATATTTCGTTACTGGCAAATGAGGTTCCAATGATGGAGACAGGTGTAATTGATGACGATGATGATGATGATGATAGTTGCACACCCACCTTGTCGGGTGCTGTGAAGAGTCCGGCTGGCAGCAGTGGTTTGAATGTGGGTTCCAACTTGTACGTGGTGCTCCTAGCTTCAATATACTCCAGTACAATATCACATATGCTGTACAGCTTCTACATACAACACACATAACAAACCCACCACCCATGTGAGTCTATGCATTTCCATGTGAGCTTGTTGATCTTTATGTATCGGTGTCGACGAGTCACCTGGTTGAGCTTGACACTGTTTGGGTGGTGGAGGTCATGAGTCTGCTTGATTAACGCCAACATCCTCCACATGTATGCGTGACTATGGTTCTCATCCGAGTCCAGTAGCACATCCAGTACCAGATGCACACTCCTGGAATAAAGAGACAGAGGCTGAGACAACTAGAAGAGATGATGGCTGGCGGTCGAGAATAATGACGGAGTGGCAGCGAAAAAAGGATTTGATAACTGAGTGTATCCACCGAGAAAATTTACTGATGAAATTGCTCAGGGCCATTGTTCTAAATATTTCCTTTTAGTTATAATAACAGTTATTTTGGGTTATATCGCATATGTGTTGTTAGCCCACAACCACCCAACACAGCCAATTAGTAAGGTTTATTACGTAAACAAAACAAACCAATGAGTTACTACTTCAGCACACCAGTTGTGAAGCGTATGTGTTAAATTTCATTTTAGGGCAGTGCTATCAGAGTCAGTAGAACTGACACGACAAGCAGTGAGAAAGTGGGGCCTTCTCTCTATCCTCTTCCACCTGTGCCGCCCATTCTCACTCGTGGATATCGAGCAGCTGGTTGACACTGTCAGGGTCTCTAAAGTCAGGGTCGTGAGCCAGGAGGTGCACGGTGAAGGGAAGCATGTTCTCAGGCAGCAGGGTACGATCCACATCTGTGGGGACATGAAGCAATGCGAGAGAGGGGAGAGGCAGATACAATGGTCACAGAATGCTGTTAAGTTTTGATTTCCAGTTCTAGATCTGTTGAGATGGAGTAAATTTTTGAGATGAACACAGCCATGCACATACCCGTGAGTGTGGTGCTACTAGTAGCACTAACGCGCTGGTGCCACAGCTGGCGGCGCACTGCGACGTTGTGCAGAAGGCAGTGGTGCGCGTGGAGACGGCGTTCAGGCATAGGGTCGCGTGCGCATAGCGCAAACGCCGACACAAACTTCAGCGGCAGCCACAGCCGAGTCAGCAATTTATGCAGCTTCACTGCAAAACGCTCGCGCACTTGGAAACACTGGTCCTGCATGAGGAGAGGATATGGGGAAATAAAAAGAGGGGGAAAGAGAGAGAGCAAAAAGAGAGGAGAAATAATGAGGGGAGAGAGTGAGGGGAAAGAGACGGGAGAGTACAAGCAGCTCACAACAAATATCTAGGCCAATGGTTTTCAAACCTTTGCTTGTTATGGACTGCTACAAGCCTGTCTATGTACACTTAAATCTTGATTTGAAGCTTTCGTGACTGCAGGAATCCATACTCTTTGGTTCTTTCGGTAAAGTCACGTAGGTAGAAAAATAAAATAAAAAAATAATATATCACGACGTTTCGATCGCAACACAAGCGGTTGTCCTCAGGCGGAAAAAAATAATCCAGCAGTGGAACTGCTGAACCAGGAAGAACACGGCGAGAGAGGTGTTACAACAAGAGGTTATATATGTGGCGAAGGGCAAACAGGCGGGGTCCGAGCTGGAAAGGAATTCCATCCCCGCACGCAAGCACAGTCAGTTGTGTTAATGGGGGAGATTAGGGAGAGAGAGATTAGGGAGAGAGATTAGCATGAAATGAGCTTCCGTCGCCGTATCGTCTTCGCATATGCGCACAGAGCAGTGTTAATGGGAGATTAGCACTATGTTGATGGGAGAGAGGCAGAGAGATTAGGGAGATTAGCAAGTTAATGTCTTGTCTATGTGTAACACAAGCTGCGGCACTGCCAACTGTGCTGCGAGAGGCAAGCGCGTCAACGCAAGAGAACCACCAACGGTGGTCGCACCAGTGAGACACATAGACCATCACACAGCCAGAACCATCGATAAATCGAGGCTAAGGGAGCAGAGGTGGCCATGTTAATGAGACCCCAGCCCTTTAATGCAGAGGCACCCAACAGGGCAATGCAACTCAGAGAGTCGGAGATAACAGCCAAACGGCAGGAAGGATGGAAGCACCACAGCAAGTTACGACTTTGCTTGGTTAATAACGTCCTTCCAATGATTGTTATACCCATCTTCTCGGTGTAAATTGTCTCTGTGTTTATATATCTGGATAGCTTCATGGACAAATCTCTGCCGTGGCTGATCATTGTTATAATGCAGTGGGCTCGCACGATATAGTTTTTTTCCGAGACCAAGGTACTCTGCAAACCTTCGTGAGTATAGTACCCTTGAAGTGAATGTTGGAGAGATTGAAAGGTGGTGGGTGCTGTGGTGTTGGTGATGGGTGGTGTGATGAAGGTGATGCCTGATAGTGTATAGGTTAGGGGTGGGCTGTGTGTCGATCCTCACATTGATGACGAGCACGCAAAGCTGGAAGTGGCGGTGGGAGAAGACATCTCGGTAGCTGGGCTCCTGAGCCAGCTTCAGCATTGCTACCGCGGCTGCCAAACGCAGGTGAGATTTACTCGCCTCACTGAGGGGACAACACCATATTGTCAATTTTGTAAAAAAATAAATGGTGCCCAAAATATTTTTTATCAAAGCGCCAGCGACATATTCCAAAGAGCAGTAGCACATCATCCACTTGTTCGAATCCAGTAAACTGCCCTGGTTAATACTGCGGGTGTATTAAGTGGTAAATGTGCACCGTCTGCTTCACAGTGGATGTTAAAAGTTCCATGATGTCATTTGCAAAGTAGGCCATTGACGTGGTCCAAATTCGCTAGATTTGAAAATGTAATTACAAATTACCTCATTGGGAAACATAGCAACCATCACCTTCTACTGCGAAGCCTTGACAGGACCACCTGAAAAAGGGTCTTGATATTCAGTGAGACTTTCCCGGGTAATAAAACGTTAACAAAGAGGAGTCAACGACTATGAGTGGATGAAAATTATCAAGTGTAACGATGTTTACGACTACCCACTAAATATCAAAGCATGACTGAGTTTCAATTAACGAATCTGAAAGAAGATTCAGATTGAGATCCACCTGATGCTGCCATGCCCCGATAGGTCTCCTTCTGCAACCAGGATTCTGCAGAGCAGGTTCAAGGTAGTGGGGACGAGAGAGGAATCCCTCACTCCCAGCAGCCACCTCACCAATAGTTTCATGCCCTGCATCTGAGACAATGGGGTTGAGCGTGACAAACCTACGTGTCAATTAAATCGCTACAAATCTTAAGATGATCCAAAATGCTGCTGTCAGACTCCTAACCTACACCCATAAATGACACCACATCACCCCAATACTCCAATCCTTCCACTGGCTCCCAATCGAATCCCAGATCAATTAAAATAATTTTATTAAATATCTTATAAAGTTCCTCAATGGACTTGCCTCTGACTACCTCTCCACTTCATCTCACTCAACTCCTCTCTAAACACTCGCCTACCTATCTCCTCTCATCTCTACTTTCCTTAGCTTTCCTGTCCACGACTCCAGTCAACATTTACTCAGTGAGACATCACTCATTCTCCTCTACTGCTCCCATAGTTTGGAATGCCTTTCTCCCAGCCATCCATGCTTCCTCTCCACCCATCAATTGCATTTGGTCTGTTTTATCTTACAACTACAATTGTAGCCTGCCGGACTTATAAGAAATCTTAAAGAGCATTTTCTGTACTCCGGCCCCAGGACTCAGGAAGAAAAGAAGGGATGGTATTTCTTCATACCTTAGCAGTTGTTTCAGGAGACACTTCTTCCTTGTCAATCCACAATGCTGGTGTTCTAATTTCTGGAAACTGACACCAAAGACAAAGAGTTATTGTATGGCCTACACAGGCTGCTACAATAATTGTTGTTAGCGATCTATTTTGGCCAGAATGACACGACGGAATCGTGTGGTCAGCACCATTCCTGGTCGTCCTTGTCTTCCCATTGTTAATGTTTACACACCACACCAATAAGCAGCGTTGCCAACTCCTTAAAGAGGAAAGTCGCCCAATGTACCTCAATAACCAGCTAGATAGACCTTCTAAAGTGAAAAAAATGGCAATGGACAATGTTTAAATGGTAAAACAAAGGAAAAATGCAGACCTGAAAAATCTTGCTTATGCCACTCCTGGAGGAAGGGCATTAACGAGAAGTAGCTCTAGAGAGCTCCGCTATGGTGTATGTTTGGCTACTCTTCTACACTGCTCAGATGCTATGAAAACCCCAAAAGTTACTAGATCTAGCGACAATATAATTAAGTTGGCATCTAGAGCTGGGCTACCTTATTATGTCAGTAATCGATTACCTATTACTAATTGTTTTACTCATCTCAGTAGTTTATATTAAAATAGTTAGGGGAAAATAAAAGTCTCACTTCTTTTCCCACATGTGCTGCTGAATGGGAGGTTATGGATGAGGCTTTGGTGATGCCATGGACATTATCAGCAGCAAAGTCACCCTGGTCCGGCTTATAGGATGTTTCACGCCTTCGGGAAGCAGGATGTGAGGTGGCTTCTGTCTATAAAGAGGCCCAAGTAATCCACCACGCTTAACATGTTTAGCCGATTAATCGACTTAGCTAACTCATTGTCCCAGCTCCATTGTAGATGCTGCTAATGAGATATGGACCTCACCCTGCTTCCCATCAGCAGCTCTGCAACAATGAAGTCATCCACCAGGGGGGTGACAGAGTTGGAGAATTCTTCTGGTGCCAGCAGGACCACAACACTGACGCAGGCCAGCGGCCCCAGAAGCTTTTCTGGAGCAGTGTCAGCTACCAGCTTACTGTTTGCATGCTGGAGAGAGAGACAATTTGGGGGCTTGTTCAGGATGTAGTTTAAGTGCAATCATTAATTACATTTAACCAAGGTTACTTCACTTGAAAGCACTCCAGAGGTAGCTCTTGTGATATCTGCTTCTACGGTTCGATCTCCAAAACAGGGGTTGCTCTGCTCTATGAAAGTTCGAAATGGATTATTCATTGAATGACATTACACCAATGGTGCAATCGGAATAACACTGTGGAAAGAGATCAAAAAAGGAAGAGGAGAAAAAGTGCTTGAAAAGACAGTCAGAAATACTCATGTGGATTTTGGCCTATCTCCAATGGAAAGGAGGAAGAAGAATGAAAAGGATATAGCCTCATCAGTGGTTATTAATGTTCTCCAGAAGGTAATGGTGATGCGACTTGGTTTAAAACAAACAGGGTAGAAAGAGAGAGAGAGAGTCTAAGGGAGAAGTGGAAAGATGTAGTAAAATAAGAAATGAAGACAGTGGATCTGACTAGAGATGAGGAACAAAATGTTGAAGCGCATGGAGAAAAAATATCTAAGCAGCCATCCCCAATGCAAGTGTCTTTTTGTTGCTTCAAAGAAAAAAAAAGTTAAACAGGTCACCTGGAACACGTGAGCAAAGTGGCGCTGCCAATCAGGGATGGCACCATGCAGGCAGTGCAGGGCGTGCTTGACTAGGCCGGGTGCACCGTGGCGACACACAGACAGCAGCATGGGTACTAGCTCCCTGCCACACACAACAGTCAATTTGGAACCACTCTCGAGTTTTCTTGTGTTGAACTGATGCTGGTAATAAAAGTTCAATCCCAAAAGGCTGTGTAGCCATTGGGATGTGTAAAAATATTCTTAAATTTTTCTTGTGGAGAGAGCGATATGAGAATGATGTGTACAAATTAGCTTTTTGAATGTTATTAATTCCAAGACTCATGCCAAACTGACATATTGTATATTCTTAGCATTCATTGATAATGTCTGAGACTCAGAGAGCCAGACTAAGACATATTTAGCGATGCAGCATAACAATCCTAAAGTTCAAGGCTCATAGAGCCAGACTGATAAATGTTTATGATTGTTAGGGTTGCTTGTTCTCTAGGGCTCATAAAGCCATATTAAGGCTGCGTCTTACTTTGGTGTCTCCACACGTTGTGCGAGCATTCCCGGGGCTGTGTTGCGCAGAATGTGCAGAGCGGATGAACAGATCTCCGCGTACTTCACTCTCACACACAGCAGCACAGGCTCCAGCACACGGGGAGAGAGGAATGCATCGGTGTGCACGAAGGACAGCACCTGCCCCACAGCATCACACACACATGCACGGAGAGGCTCGTGTCACGTTCCGAAGTTTTTTCCATACTTTCAAGGACAAAAACACATTGGAAAGTGTTACAGCATTGACGTGTATTTGCATGACTTTTCTTCCTTGTTTAAATATTGTATGTGTTAAGGTATTGGATTGATAGCAGTCTGATCTCGCTCACTCTGAGTAGCTCAAATGCTGGTCTAGCATCCTGCAAAATGGGTGCCAGCAAGAGACCCTCTTCTTCTTCCATCGCAGCGCTCAGAGGCTCCACACTCCTCACCAGCACCCTGTGACAGTAGGTGGTGGGGGGGGAGTTACAGTCCAATAACCTCCTCAGCAGAGTAATACACATGCATGTGCATGTATAACGCTTTAGTCAATCTACTGCAGACTTAGGACATCTCCATACCTTGCGGGTTGTGGAAGATTATTGGATCAAACTTCATCAAGCTGCTCAGTGTGAGTTGTAAAGGCAAAAAGCATAGACGTAGGGGAAGAGAAATACAGTACAACAAATGATTTTGCTGTACTGCCCCCTGAACAACCTGCACTATGAAGTACGGTCAAATAACCTCTATGACCATCATGACATAGTGAGGCCCTCATCCACCACTGGATTGCACAAAAAGGCTATACATGTATATTAATACTTTATATATCTCAAGCGATGATGGCCGGTTGGTTCGAGTAATGATGGAGTGGCTACCAAAGGCAGGAACACTGCGGAAATTGAGCGATGTCATCGCCTCATTGTTGCATCGCGAGATAGAGAGATGGTGATGATGTTGCGAGGCCCTCATCCAGCAGTGAATTGACATGTACTGTGTGTTGAAAGCCGTGTTTTTCTCACTCCACGGCCTCTGCATCGATGATCAGTGGAGCCACACGTCCCAGCAGTTTCATCACAGAGCCAACCATGGGCTTGGTCACCTGCTCTCACCATCTCCAGCCTCTGTTGTGCTTCCCTCTGTGAAAATCCAATATTGTATTCACCAGATTATAAGATGCTCCAGAAAATAAGATGCACTCAAAATCTGTGCCCATTGAAGTTACAAAGCTGGTCACACACCTACCAGATTATAAGATGCACTCTATTGCACTGCCCTGTGGCAGTATAATCAACGAGACACCCTCCCCAGTGACAGCTGTCCACGTGTAGCACAAGATGAACACATCACCAGCCTCAGAGCTTCTTAAATCACTCTCCCTCTGTTCATGCAGCAGCAATGTAGTAGATCAGTAGATCATGTCTGATGAGGTGAAGCATGGGTACTCCCACTTTTTCTTAGACATTTGGCCAGCATGTAGAATTAGGCAAAATATCCACTAGTATGGATTCTCTCGTGCTTCCTCTAGTGTAGGGCCTTTTTCCAGTAATTGCGTAAGCAAGCAATTGTCGGGCTGCACCGTTACCTATTTACATCAAATATAAACACCATGGCTCACCAGGCAATGTGCTGCTGTTTTACAGCAGCACTCTGGGTCCACAATGACTGCCACCAGCTTCCGCATCTCCGTGTCAGAGCGCAGCAGTTTGGTAAATCCTCGCAAACATTTCTCTGGGGTCCCGTGGTCTGGGAGGCAAACTAGCCACGTACATGAGTGAAACAATGAATCGATGTATGTTGAACTTCTTTCGCACCATACGTAGACAACCGTGATAATTATCGGAGGTGCGGGGGAAGGACAACAAACTAAACACAAAAATTAGTTTTAAATCTATAATTCCATGCATCATCATGATCAGTTATGATTATTCCACGATGAAGATGTGGAGGGGAAAATGATAGATGAGTAAACACACCTGCAATGGCCGTTTCTGCTTCCAAGATCTCCTTGTCCAAAGTGCTTGTCTAAAACAACAGCAGTAGCCATTAGTGTTGAGCTGTGAACAGCCACTGTTAACCTGACCTCCAGTGTATACTGTCCTGTGATATAGGTGCTATAGGGTAAGGTAAAGAGTAAGGTATAGTGTTGACCTGTCGTCTGTACTGCACTCCAGTCTGTACTCTGTGTACTAAATATTCATATTTAATTATTTCAAGTCTGTAGTACCCTGCAGTCTATTATGTTGCCAGTCAGAAAACCCATCATCTCTGTACTGTGCTCCAGTCTGTAATGTGTTCCCAGCTGTACTGTGTTCCAGTCCATTTGAATCTCTCATCATCCCTGCCCCACAGTCCAACCCTGGTTTGTGAACTGAAACTCAAGTCAGCAAGAAGCTTCACTCACCCTGGACTTGATAATGAGCTTCAACAGAGCCCGGAGCTGAGCTCTCAGTGAGCTCTGACTCTTCCACATCTCATTTACAGCCCTGGGGCACACAGAGGGGCCTTAAAATTGGATAATTAGCATACAGCGTACAATTCACGTGCAATTAGCATACCATTTACAATTCTTACATTCAGTAATTGGCAGAAATTGGCAAATAATACAAGTTAGTATTTCATTTGTAACTAACATCCAAAATTAAATTCGTGTACAACATGTAAATAGCCTATACGTAGCATAAAATGTCCCAGTAGTATACAGTATACAATTCTATCTTCCGTTGAAGAGTGGGTTGGAAAGTACTGCCCTCTACTGTGTGGATCAGAGGTCACTTGATGTGATCTCAGAAGTCACTTGAAATGATCTCCGAGGTTACTTGAAGTGATCTGCTTCTGTCAGCTGTTCTCTAGCACGAGGGGTTACACTGCTCTTCGAGAGTTCCAAATGCTTTCTTCATCTCATGACACAATGCAAATAACACAATCAGGATAAAATTCGGGTAAAGTAAACAAATTGGGGTGTTATTTAATCTGGACATGCAGCACTGTGGAGTGGACATGGAGATGATGGCCCAGGAGAGGAAATAGGTGAGAAAGAAGAGTAGAAGGTTCACATTAGTGGGGGAAATGTCAGGAAGAAGACATTTGATTTGGGAAATGTTTTGCTCGGAGGACAAAATTACCGGTTCTTGATTGACATGCAAAAAACACCCTCAGCAGGAAATATACAGACATATATAGAGATGCCTATATTGTTGACATTAAGAGAAAGGATAAGGCCAAACACAGAGCCCTGAGGAATTCCCTTAAGAATGCGGGTCCCATCAGATGATGTGTTATTGACAATTTGAAACCAGATAAGTAGTTGCAAATCCACTTGATTGCATTATCTGAAAAAAAATTGCCATTTTAGCCTTTGCAATAGTATAGGATTAAGACGAATATTGGGAACCAATACCTAACAGGTATCGTGTTTCACACATTAGGGCCCATCTCACTTGCAGGCGCTGGGTGGGAGAGAGGAGTACAGGTGCAGGAGCTGGTTCATTCTCTCTTCTGCCTCCAGACAGTATGGAACCAGATACTGTGTGAACATTCGCTCTACCAAGAGCCTGGGAATAAATATCAAGATCAATATTTAATCATGGCCAAAGTTACATCATGCTCAAATAGGTTTCTCGACAAATATAGTAAAGACTGCTTTAAAGACGAGGAAACAAATATTTCAAAGTACTTCATAAGCAAGTGAATGTACGCAAGAATAAAAACACATTACTGTATGTGAAACGGTTAGATTTGTGAAAATCTATAGAACATGACAGTTAAACCATGCATAAATACTGCAGAGGGTGGACATGGGATATAGTGTAATTTAATCTATTAACCGTTGAAGCGCCTGTGGTTGCCCCATGATCAGAAGAGCAGTACGGATCGGTAAATGTATTCCTTTGTTGCTGTTCACCTGTCCTCTAGACGGTTGCGGTAGTAGAAATGTAGCAGCACCGAAGGGATCCAGGAGACAGCGTCCGTGTCCTCGTGCTGGCACTGGTGGTAGTACAGGCTGGCGAGGCCACGTATAGCTTCATTACGAACACTCACCTGCACAACCACGTGGCAACACCACTATCATCACCAACAAAAACACCACCATCGGCACACCCATAATTATTGTCAAGACCGCCACCATCATAAATCATCATCAACGCACCACCAACAAAATCACCACCACCATAGCCAACACTTTCAACAGCAGCATTTCCATCTCAACCAGGGATTCATTTCAGCCAGGTCTATCTGGGTAGGTTGCCGTCGTGGTGCGATGGTTAACACACGCGTTTGTCAGCCGTAGCAGAACGAAGTATTCGGGGAAGTGCATCCCATTGCAACAGGGATGGCTCCAGCTTCAAGGCGGAGGACACGCAGCAGACCAGCTGAAAGTGCACCGCCTCCTCAGGGTCACGGGATCGGCCCTCCAGCGCGTCTGTCCTCATAAACATTGCACACGCATATATACAAGTACATACACATGTATACAAAAACAAATATCGCCTGTATGAGCTTTTAGTAGGCTGGCGGGGCAAATGCTGTTAGTGAACACCTACGAAGGATGGGACGGCACACGAGGAGGTGGGTGCCAACACCACGCCTGGCCACCTTTGTCCCTCCAGTGCTAATGTTTACACACCACACCAGGTATTTATTTTAAGAATAGGTTGACTTAGGGAAGGTAAATTACTGGTTCAAATATTCGCCGTTGTTATTAGTCATGAGCACGACACTACTGTTCCTCGGGCAAAGACAAAAACAAAGATCTCTCGTATAGCCTTAACAGACTCTTGGGGCAAGTGCTGATAGCGAGCGCCTATGAATATGTGAGCTCCTCGGGCTCACATATACACACACGTATACATACATATATATACAAACATATTCACCCACTAGGGATATGCTCCCAATATTAGGATGTTTTGAAAATAAAGCCTAGATATAACATTTCAGACAATCTTAAAAATAATAATTCCGAATCCATCTGGAAACCAGAAGTGATGTCTCTTCCTAATTTTTCTCGCCAAAAAATGGTGTTACATGACATCATGTGGACATCACTACTGTAAGCACAAAGATATTTACCCCAGTACGTATCGTAAATATTCCATCTAAATAGCAGCAACTGACCGCACAGGTCCTTGGCAAGCCCTGGGTTGTTCTTAAGGCAGCGAGCAGCAAACTTCACACACCGCAGCCTCACGGGTGCACTCACATCCTTGAAGCTGTCCAGACACAAACACACGCAGAATTCTACAGTGATCACACTTTTACACCAGGGTTAAAATTCTATGGGGGTCAAAATACGATTTCCTCACAATGATGGTGCTCTCACCGTCTCACGAAACAGCGCCAAAGCCTTGAGTTTTTCAAAGCCAGCTCCGATCCAGCGGCGCCAAACATTTTGGCTAGGAGGGAGACGGTGGCGAGACGCACAGAGGCATCTTCACTCTGTGGAAAAGGACAGATGGGAGACAAAGACACAAGACACAGAGACACAGCCAGCAAAGAAGATACAGACAGGACTGGAAACAAGAAATTTGCAGTCTTCTGAGATAAGAACACTTAGACAAGAACCTCTAAGACAAGGAACTCGTAGACATGGATGCTTAAATAAGACCTTGAGACGGATAAACTCAATAGGAGAGTTTATGGGTCTATGTTAGTCTAACTGGCTTCATGTAGGTCTATGGATCTCTATGTAAGTGTACTCGTCTTCGTAGACCGATGGATTATGCAAATATGGGTCTATATGCATATCTCCGTCATAAAGAATCATAGAATCTCACGGAGTACAGTTTCATATATCTCAATCATTGTAATGGCGAGGGAACAATAGAGAATGTAACAGCTGAAAGCCGGTGTGGTGTAGTATGGGCGGCGACCGTAAGCTTCCCCTCGAGCTGAGGCAGGGTGGAGAGCAGCAGTGAGGCGTCGATGGCGTAGAGTTCCAGGAGAAGCTCCCCCATATGTGTGGAGAGGTCACTCACCTCCTCCCTACCCAGGATAACCACCTGATTGAAGAGCTGAGAGAGACAGACAGAGAGAAATATAGAGAAACGTAGAAATACAGAGTGAAATAGACATGGAACTTATTTTTGTGTTAAGTTTGTTGTCCCTCTCCCGCATCTCTGATCAGCACAGTTGGCTCCATACGGTGCAAAAGAAGTTAAACATACATACATACATAGTAGCATGATCGTGATGGTAGCAAAGAACACAGCAATGATGAGACGGCAATAGCAGACAAGGATAACAGACTGAATTACCATCTGTTGTAATGATTGTGATAGTAGTGTAATGCGAGCAAGGATTGAGGGGGACGGAGTCTGGGTCACGTGAGGAGAGGGAGGAGTTAGGGTCACGTGGGGGAGAGGATTTAGGGAGAGAATTCGAAAGGGGATCGGGGAGTTGAGACGGAGTGAAACGGGAGGAGGCCACGCTGGGCAGTACGGGGAGGGTGGCGCGATCGCCACGTGTTGGGAGACCTCGGCACCGTCGGCCATCGGTGTCAGGGCGCAGAGGGCTAGCGGGCTGTGGAAGGCTAGCTGCAGAGCGGAGCAGCAGGGTGGCTGCAGAGCGGAGCAGTAGTGTGGCTGCAGGGCGGAGCAGCAGTGAGGCTGCAGAACGGAGCAGCAGGGTGGCTGTGGAGTGATCGACGGAGGAGACGCGGGCCTGAGCGAGAACGCCGTGGGAGCGAGATTTACACGAACCTAAATAAAGGACAACGGAGATCGACACTGAGAAAGAGTCCTTTATTACAGTAGTAAGAGAGACACGGAGGAGATAAAGTGATGATGAGAGTTTCTAGTACTGAACTCATATCTATAGTATCGTTCGTGACAATGATACACCATATAGCCTAAACAGACTGTTGAAGCAAGTGCTGTTAGCGAAGTATATCATGCCACACGATGACGTTATAAATAGTAGCAGCAACAGAGACAAGAAAACAAAACAATGACAATATAGTGTCTGTAACAATGACCATGCCAGTCGAACAGAGACGTGAAGGAGATAAGGGTTAAGATCAGGGTCTGTAGTTACGATAAAGTGTCTGGAGTTTCGTCTGTCATGGCAGCAGTAACACAGATGAGGAGGCAACAGAAGAACGACATTCAAATTCCTGTCATAATGATGACTACAGTAGCAAAGCGACAATAGAGTGTCTCTCGGTAAATGTAGACATACGTTTGTGATGGACGGCTCTATGACTTCGGTTGTCTTCTTCAGAAGATCTTTGGCCAGGCTATAGGATCGCTCATCAAAATCCTAAACAAAAAAGCCCCATCACCACCATAGCGGTATTACAATGTGCTGTGCTGCAGATTAACTGATTTTTCACCATAGGAATGTGGAATATCTGCCATTGCCTCAGGGTGGAACAATGGAGGTGAGAAATGTGATCCTGATCATCGTCATTGATTAATGATCAGGATAATTATTGTTTATGATTATGATTAATGGTTATAATGTTGTTTATGTGAATTCTAATTATGATAATCACGATGAGCATGATAATGATTATGACAATGATTGTGAAGAATATGACCATCATTATGAGTGTGATGCTGATGAGCCTGATGACCATGATTATGATGATCATAATAATGGTGATTATGATAACCATCATGATCATGAAAATTACAATATTGTAATGATGACGATGTTGATGATGATATGCATGACCATAATAATATTGATAATACTGGTGATCCTGATGACCGTAACGATTCTGATGATAATGATGATTATGTTGTTACGCACTATGTAGTGTTTGTTTTGGTGTGCACTTTGTTTTAGTTACTATACACTATGTGTGTCTTTGTGGAGATCTGTAAGTACTGCTGTGAGTGGGACACCTCGCTTCTGATTAGGTTGTAAAGGATAGAGTCAAGGACTGCGGTGCTGGCGCCCTTGGCCTCCATTATGATGGTGCTCATGAGTGTCACACTGTGCCGGTGCACATTCTCCACGCTGTCCCGCCTGAAACACCGCAGCACCGGCAACACCGGAATCATCAGCAGCACTAACAGCAGCACCAATGGCATCATCAACAGCATCAGCAGCATTAGCAGCATTTTCATTGCTTTTAGCAAGACTCAGCCCCCCTGGTAAATTAATTTAGTTGACATGTTTGTACAAAAAATACCACAATTAAGCAATGGGTGTACCAGCCTTTCCTCATACACAGGAGGTAAGAATTAGATTAGAATGCAAGTGAGATAAAAGCAAATTGCATAGTTAGCATTAACATTTGTTTAGTGTGCCAAACAGTGTGTATTAATACCCCCCACCAAGGTTTTATATGCCGCCCCCCCACCCTTAAATAAGGTGAATCTACAGGTCTGTCTAAGCCGCACCTAACGACAGAGAATAGAGTCCTGAAGAGATGAGTGAACACCTCGCTGCTGTCTTCCAGCTGCAGGCAGAGCACGTATGACTCTACGAGGGTGACGCTCTGCACACACACATGTACAGATACTCGCTCACTCACCATAGTTGCTTAGTTACTCACCTGCTCACTCACTCACATGCTAGCCTCACTCGTCTCTCATGGGCTCACCAATCACTCATACAATAACCTCATTCTCTCACTCACCTTTCGTTAAATCACTTGCTAATGCCCTCATTCACTCATCTTTTCTCTCATTCACCCAATTACTAATACTCTGCCCACTTGCTCATCCTCTCACTCACCCACTCCCTTGCCATCTTAATCGTTTACCTTCTAACTTGCTAACTTCACTCATTCACTCTACCACTCTTCTGAGATCCCCTCTGAAATCCCTTCAAGCGACCTGTGGTCCACACAGTAGAGGGCAGCACTTTCTTACCCACTCTGCCACATGAGAGTAATGTGCGACACATACTTGGTCAAACCAGTATGTTTATTCTCGTTGCTGAAATTTATCCAAATTGATTGCTTTTTATTGCTGAACGGGCTGGTACACTTGAAAACCCGTTTAAATGGCAAGTAAATTTGTGTAAGTTTATGAGTCTCTATGTGATTCTATGGGTCTCTATACAAGGCTGTGGGTCTCTATTAGAGTCTATGGATCTCTATATAAGATAATGGTGACTGGGCTGAGCGTATCAACTCACTACAATTAAGAACCCAGTTTAATCCCAGACAGTTGAATCTCAGATTTGAACCCAGTATCTCAGCAGTGTTGGCTCAGCACTCTGAACTCTGAGTCACCTGACCACCTCCTCTAGTTTTTTTTCCCTACTCATCATCACCTCCAGCAGGTAGTAGCACTGTCTGTACTCATATCCAGTTGGGTCAGCCAGACCTTGTAGCTGCTCTGTGAAGAACATGAAGATTTCCTAGGAGTAAACAGACAGGGGTGGGGAGGAAAGAAGAGGGGGAGAGGAAATAAGGATATGGATACATTTGGTCCTTAAATGCTCCAGCATCTCAAAGCACCATATATTACATATCATGTCAACCATCAATGCCTAGCTGTAGCTTTTGTTTTTGCCGAGAGAACTGCCATTAACAGCTGTCTCTGTGTAGCACAAGGTCTATGCAGCACTGGCAATCAACAAAGATTCGTTCATGAAGCCATCTATATATACAGACATAGACACAATTTCAACCGAGAAGATGGGTACAAATTTAGCAATCACTCGAAGTACGTTATCAACCATTTCAAGTCATAACTGGCTGTAATGTTTCCATTTTAGACCTGGCAGCCCTTTAATTGGTGGAAGCCCACCACCAGTACCATCATTACCCACTACTACCATCACCACTAGCAGCAACCTCCACCGTCACAGTGTGATTGTGTAAAGCGAGGTGCAATGATTACCTGGCAGCCCTTTAATTGGTGGAAACCCACCACCAGCACCGCCGTTACCCACTACTACCATCACTTACATTAACATTAGCTGCTCCTCCCATGCTGCTAACACTTGGGATACGCCCATTTTAAACCTTTATAAACAGTTTGCCTTGAGAGGCTAACCCCCCTTTTCCTGATGACGACCGCTTGTGTTACGATCGAAACGTCGTGGTTTTATTGCATAGATTTTTTTTAATTCACTTTATTTGTATGATTACTTTTCTATCTACGTGACTTTACCGAAAGAACCAACGAATAAGTCTACATTATAGACTGCCAGTATGCTCACTCAGGTTAAGAACCAGGCTACAGTCTACATTATAGAGTGCCAGTACACTCACTCAGTTTAATAACCATTTCTACAGTCTACATTATAGACTGCCAATACGCTCACCAAGATTAAAAACCAGGCTACAGTCTACATTATAGACTGCCAGTACACTCACCAAGCTTAAAAACCAGGCTACTGTCTACATTATAGACTGCCAGTACACTCAGTTTAATAACCATTGCTACAGTCTACATTATAGACTGCCAGTACGCTCACTGAGGTTAAGAACCGGGCTACAGTCAACATTATAGACTGTCAGTACACTCACCGAGGTTAAGAACCGGGCTACAGTCTACATTATAGACTGCCTGTACGCTCACCGAGGTTAAGAACCGGGCTACAGTCTACATTATAGACTGTCAGTACGCTCACCGAGGTTAAGAACCAGGCCACAGTCTACATTATAGACTGCCAGTACACTCACCCAACTTAATAACCATTGCTGCAGTCTACATAATAGACTGCCAGTACACTCACCAAACCTAATAACCAGGCTACAGTCTACATTATAGACTGCCAGTACACTCAGATTAAGAACCAGGCTACAGTCTACATTAGTGGTGTTTGTTTTTTATAATTTACATTTTATTTGTATTATTTGTATTTTTATTCACGTTATTCTTTGGTTTTTTCGGTAAAGTCACGTATAAAAATAAAATAATAAATTAAATAATAGCATACGACGTTTCGATTGCAACACAAGCAATCATCATCAGGTATAATGAAATAGCGACATAGAATATAACCAGAAAACTATAGACAGACATATAAGCAGACAGATATCACCAAGATACATAGAGAGAGCAACCCAGGTACAGAGAGAGGTGATCGTCTCTGTGGGGTGGCCTTAAATAGACAGAGGGGGGCGGAGGCAGAGAGAGGGAGGGGGTAGGGAAAACATTTACATGTCAATGAGTACGAAGGGAGGGGAGTAAGGTAAGCAGGCTTAGAGGGAGACAGAACACACTAAATTAAATAACCTAGCAAAGTATCGAAATGTTATGTAAAACGACACAGAGAGTCGGTCAACACACAATTAACGCATTGCCTGGTCGATTACGTATTTCAAAGATTGCTAAGTTAGAATTTAAGTGTGAAAATTCCAAAGAAAGACAAAACATAAAAAAAGAGGAACGGAGACACACAGACAGAGCAGAACCTAAGAACGATACAAAACGAGTTCCAAGTTTGCCTTTTCTCTCTCTCTGGGTTTCTTGTTCTCTCTCTCTGCCTGTATATTTAGTGTAATTTTCTCTGTCTACACTCGTTTTGTATCGTTCTTAGGTTCTGCTCTGTCTGTGTCTCCGTTCCTCTTTTTTTATGTTTTGTCTTTCTTTGGAATTTTCACACTTAAATTCTAACTTAGCAATCTTTGAAATACGTAATCGACCAGGCAATGCGTTAATTGTGTGTTGACCGACTCTCTGTGTCGTTTTACATAACATTTCGATACTTTGCTAGGTTATTTAATTTAGTGTGTTCTGTCTCCCTCTAAGCCTGCTTACCTTACTCCCCTCCCTTCGTACTCATTGACATGTAAATGTTTTCCCTACCCCCTCCCTCTCTCTGCCTCCGCCCCCCTCTGTCTATTTAAGGCCACCCCACAGAGACGATCACCTCTCTCTGTACCTGGGTTGCTCTCTCTATGTATCTTGGTGATATCTGTCTGCTTATATGTCTGTCTATAGTTTTCTGGTTATATTCTATGTCGCTATTTCATTATACCTAATGATGATTGCTTGTGTTGCAATCGAAACGTCGTATGCTATTATTTAATTTATTATTTTATTTTTATACGTGACTTTACCGAAAAACCCAAAGAATAATTCCTGCAGTCACGAAAGCTCCAAAATTAAGATTTATTCACGTTATTTTTATTATTCTTTTTATATCTACGTGACTTTACCGAAAGAACAAAATAATATTAATTCCTGCAGTCACGAAAGTTTTAAGTCGAAATCCACAGCATCAACCAGAGTCGTCAGCAGCTTGAATTGTAAACCTCTGCAACAAGTAGCAAACGCGCTATCTCATGGCCATGTAACAAACAGGTTGCCTCATGGGAGGGCGACCAGAGCACAAAACTGAGGGGTGCCGATAATGTACAAAGTGAAGCGCATTGATAGTTTGCATACAAGGCATTGATAAATGTAGATATTTGTAATTACAGACACAGAGAAAAACACTGAGAGTAACAGGTAGACACACAACCAGAGCCATTAACAGACACAGAGGAAGATACATTTAGACACACTGAAACATAGACCCAGAGAGGGACAAAAATACATGAAGAAAGTATGTTGAGGTAAAGAGAGTTTCATTGAGTCTTATTGTGTTGACTTATTCTCAGCGAGTCTAAGTGAGTGTCGGTGAGTTATATTTCCTCACCCTGCAGTAAGTGTGAGGAGGAATGAGTTCTTGGTGAATTTCTGTAGATCTGACCCACCCTGGTCTGAGTGGGTGAAGAGGCGTATGGGTGGAGGGGGAGTTTCACCCTAATATAAGCATGCGATGAAGAAGGGTTTAAGATAAATATGGTTGGTGGGGAACGAGTATGTGTGCGGAGTCTGCTAATGAGCGGTGTTTGACAGTGCGTCTTGATTTCCGTCTCAGTGAGAGTTAAGTCAAGTAGTAATGCTGTGAGATCGTCGGTGAGTATGTGGCACCCCAAATTGATGTGAGCATGTCACACTGAGGAAGATGCCTATGATAAGCATGGGTGGTGTAGAGTATGTTGGTGAGCGATGAGTCTCAGTGCGTGTCAGTGAGCCTCAGTAAGTCTTGATGTGTGTGAGTGTGAGGATGTGAAATGTGGGTGGTTACGTGTCTCACCTTGATGTGAGCGTGCGCTGATGATGGCGAGTATGAGGAGTATGGGTGATGTGGAGCGAGGATGCGGAGCATGCTGGCGAGGCAGCAGGCCGTGAGGCGGCGCACTGCGCTCTCGGCGTGGCGCAGGAACGGCGCTGTGGCCAAGAGCCGTGCAAGCGGTGCCAGCCACTTCCTCTCTCCCGACGAGTTCTGCTCCAGGTCCATCAGCCTGCGTGCCAGCAGCTACACAAACATAACATCCACCATCTACACAACATCCACCAGCCAGCGTGCTCGGCAGCTACACAACCACAATATCTCAAGATAAACTATAAATAACTTTTATTTGACCAAATAAGCCCCAATGAGCTTTACAACTCTTTTTCAGAAGTGACCTCGCCACAAATGATAGTTCAACTTAGTGGCTTATCATGTGTAAATTTATATCAGACAAATACTATAAAAGCATGTTTCTAAATGTTGGGAGAAACATTTTTCCATCTCTCAAACACAACATCCACCAGATTGACAAAAACATTTATCAACTACACAACCATAACGTCCATCAGCTAGACAACCACAACATCCACGAGATACACAACCATAATATCCACCAGTTCCACAACCACAACATACATCAGCTAGACAACCACAATATCCACCACCTTCACAACCACACCAACATCCAACCACCACTTGCTACATCATAACCACCAGCCATCGCCAGCAGCTACACAACAATAAGAACCATAACATCAATAGCATTTAGATAGCAACAACACATCAACAACCACACCATCCGTATAAGTCATCATTCCAACATCTACACAACCGCAAAAACACAACCAAAACAACCACACAAAATGATATCCACGAGCCAGAACAGCAGCAGGTTAACAACAGTAACAACAATAATAACAACATGGGGAGTGGAGGACGTAGGGTGAGATGAGATGGCAGAGATAGAACGATGTGTGGTTGTGAATAGTGTGGAGAAGTAAATGATTTTGGGAGGTGAGAGATGTGGGTAGGTGAGGGATTTGGTAGAGAGGCGGTCCCTGACACAAGGGATGTGAGGAGATGCAGTCGTCGAGAATGGGATGTGATGAGGACATCGATGAGGATCTTGACAGCAGATACCTTGAGTCTTTTGTTGAGTTCTATACTCGAGAGATGCTCAGATATCTCCTTCAGCCCCTCCGGGTATACAATGGTGTCATCGGCATCACTGAAATCCGAGCTGAGGTCAGGCATGGCTGCTGATCCTGTGGGGGAGCGGTGGCACAGTGGTTAGCGCACTACACCACGAACACGGCACTTTTGCCATACACTGCGAGTGCCTCAACCCCGGCGTGGGGGTCGTGGGCGGTCAGAATCAGAGTCTTTATTCATCCTGGAGAAATCCGATGATCTGAGCTCTTTTGCACGTATGTCCAAGTCGTGGGCGGTGTTCGATCATACTTCACCACGCTGTTAGGTTATTTCGCTAAATCTTGAATTTGGAGCTTTCGTGACTGCAGGAATTACTCTATGGTTCTTTCGGTAAAGTCACGTCTAATGTTAAAATAATAAATTAAATAACATACGACGTTTCGATTGCAACACAAGCAATCATCATCAGGCATAAATCAAATAGCAACAAAACATTTTTTAACCAGAAAACTATAGACAGACATATAAGCAGACAGATATCACCAAGATACACAGGGAGAGCAACACAGGTACAGAGAGGGGTGATCGTCTCTGTGGGGTGGCCTTAAATAGACAGAGGAGGGCGGTGTCAAAGAGAGTTGGAGGGGTTAGAGAAAAAATTTACATGTCAATGAATACGAAGCACGCCTGGTAAAGTAAGCAAGCTTGAACATTAGGAGAGAGGGAGAAAGAACACACTAAATTAAATAACCTAGCAAAATATCGAAATGTTATGTAATACAACACAGAGAGTCGGTCAGCACACAATTAACGCATAGCCTGGTCGATTACGTATTTCAAAGATTGCTAAGTTAAAATTTAAGTGTGAAAATTCCAAAGAAAGACAAAACATAAAACAAGAGGAACGGAGACACAGACAGAGCAGAACATAAGAACGACAAAAAACGAGTGGAGACAGAAAAAATACACTAAATACACAGGCAGAGAGAGAAAACAAAAAACCCAGAGAAAGAGAAAAAGATAATTTTGGAACTTCACCGTAGAAGTGGTTCAATCTTGAATTTGGAGCTTTTGTGACTGCAGGAATTACTCGATGGTTCTTTCGGTAAAGTCACGTCTAATTTATTATTTTATCTTTAGACGTGACTTTACCGAAAGAACCATAGAGTAATTCCTGCAGTCACGAAAGCTCCAAATTCAAGATTGAACCACTTCTACGGGGAAGTTCCAAGTTTATCTTTTTCTCTCTCTCTGGGTTTTTTGTTTTCTCTCTCTGCCTGTGTATTTAGTGTATTTTTTCTGTCTCCACTCGTTTTTTGTCGTTCTTATGTTCTGCTCTGTCTGTGTGTCTCCGTTCCTCTTGTTTTATGTTTTGTCTTTCTTTGGAATTTTCACACTTAAATTCTAACTTAGCAATCTTTGAAATACGTAATCGACCAGGCTATGCGTTGTGTGTTGACCGACTCTCTGTGATGTATTACATAATGTTCAAGCTTGCTTACTTTACCAGGCGTGCTTCGTATTCATTGACATGTTCATTTTTTCTCTAACCCCTCCAACTCTCTCTGACACGGCCCCCTCTGTCTATTTAAGGCCTCGCTACAGAGACAATCTCCCTCTCTGTGCCTGTGTTACTCTATCACCAAGTTATCTTGGTGATATCTGTCTGCTTATATGTCTGTCTATAGTTTTCTGGTTAAAAAAATGTTGTTGCTATTTCATTTATACCTGATGATGATTGCTTGTGTTGCAATCGAAACGTCGTATGTTATTATTTAATTTATTATTTTAACATTAGACGTGACTTTACTGAAAGAACCATAGAGTATTTCGGTAAAGTCACGTAGGTAAGAAAATAAATACAATAATAATAAATGAAAATACCTAAATTAAATCACGACGTTTCGGAAGCAACAACAAGCCTCCGTCATCAGGTGTAAAATTACTGGAGCAGTCTACACCTGATGACGGAGGCTTGTGTTGCTTCCGAAACGTGATTTAATTTAGTTATCAACATTTATTATTATTTTATTTAACTATTATTTTACCTACGTGACTTTACCGAAAGAACCTAAGAGTATGAATCTTTGCAGTCACGAAAGCTTCAAATCTAGAATTTCACCACGCTCTTAAGTGCGGGTTGGTGGATGTGGGGGACTGTGGCGTTAAGTTAACACATTTTGAAAATCAATGCGAGATCAATTTTAGTTGTGAGTTTTAAACCCAGGTTCCGATAAAATGTATGTGTTTACGATATGTTTAATTTACAATATCTGAGGGTGAGTTTAGTTAAATGTTAAGGGGGGTGATTTGTACGCGAATGAAATGCAATGCGGACACGGAGCTCATCCACTGAGGAGATGGAGCGATGAAATCTGCACGTGTGAAGGTGGATTATTATCATTATTATTATCATTATTATCATCATTATTATTACATCGCAGTGATGATGGTGACGTTACAGGTAAAGAGAGCAACTGCTGGTGCAAAGGCCCTCCCTCTTACGAGTCCAGGGGGGGGGGGGGGTACATTGGTCTACTCTTCCACACCTGCCATTAGCACGACAGGCTACGTACAGTGCGCGAAAGGAGCTTCAAGAAGAAACTTGGAACAATGTTTCAGCTGCCGCGCCCAGAGATCAACACGGTGACACTCTGGGTTGTAAAACTTGCGAATTTTAGTGTCAAATAGGTACTCGACACGCTTATGAAGTGGGTAAAATGAATCATAAACGCGACGATGTTACTGTAAAACATTAATAGCAGCTGCCGTGCGCCACAAGTGTAATTAGTGGCACAGAAACACTCCCGGATGAGACGCTACTCGTGTCACCTAAAAATAACAACCCCCCACCCCTACCGCGTGATTTTAACAAATCCAAAGCAAGTTGTGAACGCGAAACACGGCGCTTGTGTTTATAAATGTAATGAGTGGTATTAATTAAAACACATTAACGAACAGCCAATGCACCTGAGGCGAGTGGAAGCTTTAACACTGGTGACGTCACCTCCAGGTGACTCCTCCCCCCTCACGCGCGTGACTCCTCCCCCCCACCAACGGTCGTTTTCCCGCCAAAAGTTAAAAGGGACGTCATCGCACTCACTCACGTGCTGGCAGAGGTCGCAAACGGGTTTTGATTCCTTACCCGTACCTGTACCCGGCCGCACCAGGGTCGCGAACGGGTACCCGTACCCTACCCGATACCCGGCTACCCGTACCCGGCCGGATACGGGTAGGGTACGGGTACCCGATTGCGACCTCTGGGATGACGCCATGTTGCAGGCGCGGGTGGGTTGATTCTAGGAACTTGAATTGTGAGAAGAGACAAGACGTTGGGAAATGAGTGACAAACGGTGACTCACCAGTGACTCACAGCCTACCCGTACCCGCCGTACCCGGCCGCACCAGGGTCGCAAACGGCCGGGTACGGGTAGCCGGGTATCGGGTAGGGTACGGGTATCGGGTACCCGATTGCGACCTCTGGTGCTGGGGCCACGGGCTACAAAACGTCCAGCAACAAGCAGCACCATAAGCGGGGTTTGATAAGAATTAACTAAGACATTCCTCGAATAGAGCAGGTTTATTAGATGCTTGGAGGGGGGGGGGGGGGGACTAACCTATTTTTACTTTACTAGGTAAGACTCACTGAGCTATACTATTTTTCAGAAGCTACCTGGCCACAAATGACAGTTCAACTAAGTGGCTTATCATCATTGTGTGTAGATGTATTGCAGTAGCCAAATTCTCTAAAGGCGAGATGTTGATTCTAAATGTGGAGGGAGGAAAACGGAGGAAGCTGGAGAAAAATCCACGCAACCACGGGGAGAGACGCGCAAACTCCAAATATACAAGTTCAAATTTTGATTTATTGTTTTATATTATTTTATTTCCCTTCTACGTGACTTTACCGAAAAAACCAAGAATATAAGTTCAAGTTCATTTATTAGGTATAGCCCTGTGAGCCATTCGGCTCTTGAATCGGGTGCAACCGCAACAAACAAACATGAACAAGAAAACATCTTAAAGTGACTTTGTGCAAACAGAAAATCCAAGAAAAGACAGCAAAATATTGCAGAAAAAGCACCGTACACCAACACTGTGTGCTAAAATCCCAGTGGGATGCAAGTCAGCAGGCGTCAGGGTCGGTGTTCGACCCATGCCCTCCTGTGTACCAGGCGAGGTCGTTGACATCTCCAAGACACCGCGGCGGTGATGGGCAGGGAATTCCAGCAAGGCCCTCTCCATGGAGTCAACATTGGGGGGACCAGATCTTCCTGGGGGTCCCAACCCAGAAAAAATATCTAAATTTGAAAACTAACTTCCTATCCATTTCCTACCTAAAATATGAAAAAATTCACCAACACATGGGATGGACTTTTTTTTTTTACAATAATGTCTCATAGTGTATTGTATTACATTGCTGTTTTTACTTTTTTTGTACCATTTCTTGCTTCATTGTATGTAATGTTTGAGATTAGGGATGAATAAAATATAACCACAATCATATAAACAGAAATCTATGCATTGATTTATATGAAGACAAGTCCAGATATTGTGGCCAAGGTTTAGCAAATTGTTGTTTTTATTTACATAGCATAGCAATTATTTTTATATTTTTTAATAGTAATATTGGGGGGGACATTTTGAGCATATTTGAATATTGGGGGGGATGTGTCCCTCCCAATATATATTATATTTACGGCCTTCAGTTTCATTTAGTTTCAACAAACAAAAACATGAACAAGAAACATCTTAACGTGACTACGTGCAAACAGAAAAATCCAGGATAAAACAGAAAAGTCTTCCAGAAAAAGCACCGTATATCAGTGCCAGGCAATAAGCAGAAAGAAAGAGTCCGTATCTGGTGGAGCAAGTCCTCAACATGGGTGATGTTCCCGGGAACGGTAAACATGGTAGTAGCGAGAGAAGTGTGATGAGGCGACTGACCCGACTGCCTCAAAGTGCACCTAGCATGGCACTAGCGCCGTAGTGACGTCAGCACCACTTGGTGGTGAACGGGGGTTTGTAATGCTTGGGGTAAATTAGTGCTATTGTATCAATAAATAAACTTCTGATTCAATCGCCAAGACTGGTTAACAGTTCTTTGGTGATGATGATTGCAACACAAGCAATCATCATCATCAGGTATAATGAAATAGCGACACAAAATCTAACCAGAAAACCACAGACAGACATATAAGCAGACAGATATCACCAAGATACACAGGGAGAGCAACACAGGTACAGAGAGGGGTGATCGTCTCTGTGGGGTGGCCTTAAATAGACAGAGGGGGGCGGAGGCAGAAAGAGGGAGGGGTTAGAGAAAAATTTTACATGTCAATGAGTACGAAGAGACGCGTAGTAAAGTACGCAGGCTTAGAGGGAGAAAGAACACACTAAATTAAACAACCTAGCAAAGTATCGAAATGTTATGTAAAACGACACAGAGAGTCGGTCAACACACAATAAACGTATAGCCTGGTCGATTACGTATTTCAAAGATTGGTAAGTTAGAATTTAAGTGTGAAAATTCCAAAGAAAGACAAAACATAAAAACAAGAGGAACGGAGACACACAGACAGAGCAGAACACAAGAACGACAAAAAACGAGTGTAGACAGAAAAAATCACACCAAATATACAGGCAGAGAGAGAGAACAAAAAAACCAGAGAGAGAGAAAAAGGCAAACTCAGAACTTCCCCGTAGAAGTGGTTCAATCTTAATTTTGGAGCTTTCGTGACTGCAGGAATTATTCTTTGGTTCTTTCGGTAAAGTCACGTATAAAGATAAAATAATAAATTAAATAATAGCATACGACGTTTTGATTGCAACACAAGCAATCATCATCAGGTATAATGAAATAGCGACACAAAATCTAACCAGAAAACATAACATTTCGATACTTTGCTAGGTTGTTTAATTTAGTGTTCTTTCTCCCTCTAAGCCTGCGTACTTTACTACGCGTCTCTTCGTACTTATTGACATGTAACATTTTTCTCTAACCCCTCCCTCTCTCTGCCTCCGCCCCCCTGTCTATTTAAGGCCATCCCACAGAGACGATCACCCCTCTCTGTACCTGTGAAGTATTGGAATTGACGGCAGGAACTTCTTGACGGGAACACACTTTTATTAAATCTTTACGTATCAAAATACAACGTGTAGTCTCCTTTCTTCCGACTTCACACTCCACTACTCTCGTGTAAACTCTAGGCCTCTGGCTACACACGATACCCTTCACTCGTGTAGACCCTACGCCTCTGGCTACACAATACACTCGACTCGTGTAGACCCTATGTCCCTGGCTACACAATACACTCGACTCGTGTAGACCCTATGTCCCTGGCTACACAATACACTGCATTCGGCTCGTGTAGACCTTACGCCTATGGCTACACACACTACACTCGCCTCTGGGTTACACAGAGTCCCGGTCCCGTTAGGACAGCGGGACTAGGTACCGCAGGGCCCTAGGTCTTCATCCCCGTCTTCATTCTTCGCTGGTTACACACTGCCCTCACGCCTGTGTGCATCCCCTTTTATAGCCCCTGCTCACGAGAGGCGGAGCTGATGCGTACTTCAACGTGAGCATCGCTCCTTAATGAACCAATCACGACGCACTCTCTCTACGATCCGTTTTCCCCAGCGCGTGTTAACACTCCTCCACCAATCACACCGCGCTGCCACCCGATCACTCCCTCTCAGCACGTCACCCGTCCACAGCCAATCAGTACCCCGTAACCCACGACCCCGCGCTGACCCCTGATCCTCCACCGTCAGCGCACGTCACCACCTACACAGCCAATCATTACGCGCTGGCATACGATCTCTAATCCCAGCGCGTATCACCTCTACATCACCCCCTCCCACATAGCTTGCAGCCGGCCCGGCTGTTAACCAACAACACAACCTAACGTCAATGCAGTAACAAAGAAACTCCACCTCTCAGTGTGCCCCGTAACGCAACAACAACAACACAACACAACACTTAAATATGAAGCAATATACAGCCCGACGAACAACACAATAAAAGCGAACACCGGAAAACGAACACAATAAAAGCGAACACCGGAAACCGAACGCGCCAAGTGTCTCTGTGACTAAACGCAGTGCCGAGGCGCTCCGGCTGCCTCGACTCCTCACGTGGCAGGTCACACAAAGTAGCGCGACCTAGCGCGAGTCCGTCTGGCCGGTCCGTCGTATGGGACGGGACGTTGGCGACCGTCCGGTGGCTCCGGCTGCTCAAGATCCGGCCGCCGGTGGTCGGCAGCTGTCAGTTCCGAGACACCGGGGTTTGCAGGGACGACTTGGGGCCTTGGTCGTCGTCCAGCCGAGGTCCCATGGCGCGCTGACGTGGGGCGCGGCAACCGGAGGCCACGTGGCCCCGGAGGCCGCAGTTATAGCAGGTGATGACAGTCGTCGGAGATCTCGGTTGCTCCAGCTTGCGGGCCGCTCGCAGAGGCGAACGACCCCCCGATCTCCAGTCCCCTGGTCGTCCCGCGATGAACGCCTCCTCTCGTGGGCTGACGACTTGGGGCACGGTGACAACTGGGCCCGGAGTTGAGGCCACGGCAGCGTTGCAGACGACTCCCTGTTTACGTTGAAGGACCTCGTGCGCTTGTATGCTTGTGGCGACCCGTAAGGATGAAATATCGGTCTCATCGGCCGTGTTGATGGGGACCCCCAGGTCCTGCGCCAACTTGAGCAGCTGCTCCAAAACCATGGCATCTTGGCCCTCCTCGTCCATACGAGGGAACGCGGCGTCGGCGAGAGCAAGCAACGCCGTGCGGTAGGCGAGCACGGTCTCCGTGTCCGCCTTCCGTCTTGCATAAAAATGATGGCGGCACGCGGAGGGAGGACCATAGACCTTGGCCATGAGAGCCAGCGCATCTTTGAGCGTGGAGCGGTCCGACCTGCGTGCGGACGTGAAGGCCGCGAGCGCGTTGTCATCCAGCATGGCAGGCAGTGCCCGCAGTGCCGTAGCGTCGGACCAGGCGGACATCTCCTGATGCGCCAAAAATCTGCGCTGAAATTGGCTCCAATCCCCGCCTTCCGCCTTGAAGGCTGACAACGTGGGAAGGCGCTGCTGAAAAATGAAGTCGTCCTCCTCCTCGTGCTTCCTCTCTGCCGCCCCGCCGGTGTGTAAGATGGCGGCCCCATCGGCGGGTGTGTGATGGCGGTCCGCCGCGCGCGTTGGTGACGTCAGCGGGCGCGCATGGAGAACCGCTGCCACGTGGTGATGGCCGTTCCCGCCAAAAGTCGGTGCAGATGAAATGGCGGCCATCGCCAAATCGTTTTGGCGGGAATCTGCAGGGCGACCCTGCAGAACGTCGGCCGCCGTTCCCGCTCCTCCCGACGAGCTGATCTCCGCCAAGATGGACGCGGCGGCGAGCAGCAGCTCCGCCAGACGGGAGTGCGCTTCGCGAAGCACGGCGTCAGTCCCCCGTGGCTCGTCCGGCGCCGTCGGCGGATCCTGCCCCGTGGGCAACTCCTCTTCCTCACCCCCCGATGCCAGTTGACCCGCAACGTCGAGGTTGTCCCCGTGGTCAATCCCGTGGGTCCGACGGTTCCTCCTTGTATCCATGCTTGGAAGACCGTTTCACTTCTGACGCCAGTTGAAGTATGGGAATTGACGGCAGGAACTTCTTGACGGGAACACACTTTTATTAAATCTTTACGTATCAAAATACAACGTGTAGTCTCCTTTCTTCCGACTTCACACTCCACTACTCTCGTGTAAACTCTAGGCCTCTGGCTACACACGATACCCTTCACTCGTGTAGACCCTACGCCTCTGGCTACACAATACACTCGACTCGTGTAGACCCTATGTCCCTGGCTACACAATACACTCGACTCGTGTAGACCCTATGTCCCTGGCTACACAATACACTGCATTCGGCTCGTGTAGACCTTACGCCTATGGCTACACACACTACACTCGCCTCTGGGTTACACAGAGTCCCGGTCCCGTTAGGACAGCGGGACTAGGTACCGCAGGGCCCTAGGTCTTCATCCCCGTCTTCATTCTTCGCTGGTTACACACTGCCCTCACGCCTGTGTGCATCCCCTTTTATAGCCCCTGCTCACGAGAGGCGGAGCTGATGCGTACTTCAACGTGAGCATCGCTCCTTAATGAACCAATCACGACGCACTCTCTCTACGATCCGTTTTCCCCAGCGCGTGTTAACACTCCTCCACCAATCACACCGCGCTGCCACCCGATCACTCCCTCTCAGCACGTCACCCGTCCACAGCCAATCAGTACCCCGTAACCCACGACCCCGCGCTGACCCCTGATCCTCCACCGTCAGCGCACGTCACCACCTACACAGCCAATCATTACGCGCTGGCATACGATCTCTAATCCCAGCGCGTATCACCTCTACACCTGTGTTGCTCTCCCTGTGTATCTTGGTGATATCTGTCTGCTTATATGTCTGTCTGTGGTTTTCTGGTTAGATTTTGGGTCGCTATTTCATTATACCTGATGATGATTGCTTGTGTTGCAATCGAAACGTTGTATGCAATTATTTAATTCATTATTTTATCTTTATACGTGACTTTACCGAAAGAACCAAAGAATAATTCCTGCAGTCACGAAAGCTCCAAAATTAAGATTGGTTAACAGTTGCATTCTATTGATTGCAATCAGATAGTAAAGTGTCGAAGTGCCTTGTTCATGCATATTAATCGATTTCTTAACACACACGGGGGTGCACTGCATGGACAAAAGCTCTCAGCCTTGTGCAGATCACCATGTCAAAATAACTACATTTGTGCCAAGTTTGTTGTATTAAACCACCACCGTTTCAGGAGCTGAAAACATCACGTCAGTGTGACTCAAGGCTATACAAAGTATTGCATTATTCACACAAAAACTAATTGTACTACTTTATGAACATCGATTTTTAAATGTTTTCATGTAATTGTCAGTTTGAAAATAGGGATGTGGTAAGAAAAAAAAACTACATAGCCTGCTGCTGAAATTGGTTGGGTTGTAGAAAACTGACCATTAAAAGTACAGCAGTAAAACAGTTGTCACTTTGCTTTATTGCCATAAAATACACATTCTTATGAACTTATATTTAGGCTTTTCCATATATTGTCACATCCATACCAACAAACCTGGATAGAATTTTGCCCCACACGTCATTTCACAAGGTCTGTTCTATTCACATTAGCATACTGAGTCATGCTCTCTTATCAAAACCAACGGGGGAGGAGACGTTAAGTGTAGTTAAAATAACTTGACAGTGCCTTTAATGGTTAACAGCTGTAGTTACACGCTTGCAGCGCCTATCAAAAATATCAACAATTCGGCTAAACAATCAGACGGCAGCGAGCCCTTTGCCATGTAACGTATGGCTAATTCAACCTATGCGCATATATATACTTGAGAAATATATCCAGTGAAATATTGTGGAATTTTGATATGTGCAAAGTAAAGATAATAGTTAGGTAGGTCGTCATTTGTAGAATGCTAATTAATTTGTTGGTGACCATCAAGAGAATAACTCTACCTCTTGTGGACCATATAAAAAATAATTCTGTATCAGTGATTCAAGAGTTATGCAATGCTTATCAAATTTAAAAAACTAAAGACGATCTGTTGGCATTAACATATAAGTGGTCAAAGACAAGAAGGCCCTTCTATAGTAGCTTGACTTCAGCTATCTTCCATGTACAATAACAGACAACACTCAGATCCCAAAAACACCTACGTTTAGAAAATAACAAACGGTACCCTGATAATACTCTACATCTGATTTTTTTTTACACTCCTGAAGCTCAAAAATGTAAGATAATTGTTCACTGGATAGCTCGCATGTGATTTTCTATGGGGCAATGGTGTTTTTAAAATTGATTTTGTCGTATATTTGATGTTTTGTAATATAAAACAATCTATAACAATTATAGGGTGTAAATGGCCTAAATCTTATCTTCATGTAAATAACGGATTGGTTGAGAAAAAAAAATTACCAGGGCACTCCACCCCAGAGTTAGCCCGTTATTTTGAAGGCACACTGCATTATGTATAATCGCTACCTAAATAAAGTAATCTACTACTTCTACATGTGGCCCTTTCTCATTACACCAGTTATACAGAAGCACCTTTTCCTTATCCCTGGCTATAAACCGATATATTTGTATTTATTTAAAAGATAATTCCTCTTGGGTACTTCACGTTCTTGGAAAATAAATGTGACATTATAAATAAAGGATTTGATTTGCGTTACCATACAAGGGTGTTTCCTTGTCTCTCTTGGCTATATATTATTTTATAACAATTGCATGCAATAACTTGAGACCTGTAGGATATTTTAAGAATTGTGTATGCCTATGAAAACAAGACACATCGTAGATGCAATAAAAAATAGCATCGCAGGCTGTCTTCAGCCGAGAATGAGCGAGGCGTTGAGTAGGACGTCCAAGCGAGGAGAAAGGCAAGAATGGTGAGCACGCACATCTCCAGAGGTCCATTCCTCCTGGAGCTCCCTGCGTGGATAGAACACAACGTCAGCTCATGCCTCGCCTGCATAGTAAACATTTAAAGTAATCTATACATTAAAATTCATTGGCTAGTAGGTTCAAATTTGTTTTGCTTAATCAGGTGAGAACTCAGGAGACCAGCATAATCTCATTTGCGAGAGTGACCTGGGCCACAAATTATGACAAAACAAAGCAAAGTATAGCAATGAAGCAAACAGGAATTAGAACACAACTGTCTCATGAGAAATAAAAATATTGCACTGATCATAATACAATTACAAAATAGAAAAACATTAAACAGATAAAGGGTGAATCCTGATTTGAAGCTTTCGGGACTGCAGGAATTCATACTCTTTGGTTATTTCGGTAAAGTCACGTAGATAGGAAAAATAACTAATAAATCACGACGTTTCGATAGCAACACAAGCCATTGTCTTTACCGAAAGAACCAGAGAGTATGAATTCATGCAGTCACAAAAGCTTCAAATCAAGATTGAACCACCTCTACGGGGAGGATTTCCACACAACTCAGATGACTTCAACCGAGAAGATGGATGCAAAATTTAGCAATATTTTGAAGGACGTTAATCAACCAGGTTTCGTGTTAACTGTTGTGTTGGCCGACTCTCTGAGTTGCATTATATTTCTAAGTTTGCTAAGTTTGATATTTTTTTCTCTCTATAACCTTTTTCCCTCTGGAAATTTCACCCCCACCCTCTCGCCCATTGCGGCAGCCCCCCCTTCCCCCCTCCTCGGATTAGCCGATCACCCACCCCTACCCTCTCTGCGATTACATTTACTTGCAAATTCCATCCCTAGCCCAGCCCACTTACCCACCACAAACGTCTATAACCTTTGGTTACAGTAGCTCTCTCGCTACATTTCCTCCTCAGCAGTCCGCCTGCTGTATTGTTTCACCTGACGACGGATGGCTTGTGTTGCTATCGAAACGTCGTGATTTATTAGTAATTTTTTCTATTTACGTGACTTTACCGAAAGAACCAAAGAGTAAGATAAAGGGTGACTTGTACAAATATGTAAATTGTCAAGGATATACGAGTCAAATGCAATTTCAAGTGACGCTATCAAAAATAAGCAACAGCTGAGCATCAAATTGTGCTTTAGATGGAAGAGAAATCAAGGACATGTTTAAAGTGATGGAATTCCAGGTGTTTGAGGCATTGACAGAGACTGAATGAGAACCATGTGAGTTTTTTTTCTCTTCGGTACTGTGCACTTAGTGTTGTGTAGTGTCAAAGATTGAGGGTTTTAGTCCTGAAAAAACACTGCGGATAGATAAGGAATTGAGTTACGTGAGTATTATGTATTAGAGATTAACTTGGCCCAATGCATCTCCCTCAGAGTTGAAAGGGGAGGTGATAACCATTTCTTGAAGTAAACATCACAGTGATGAGTAGAGTAGTTTGTACGATCAAGCAGAATAAAAGTTGGCACTTCGCAAATTAATAGGTGCTTGCTAACAGCACTTGGCCTATCAGTCTATGCTAATGGCTCTCAAAGTGTGGTCCCTGGACCACCAGTGGTCTGCGACGGTCCTCCAGGTGGTCTGCGGGGCTGTGATGCAAATGCACAGGTTGATCTGGAAATAATGACAATTTTATACCTTTTGTTTCAGACATAAATTCATATTTTACTTATATTTAATTTGAAATGAAGTTAGGTGAACTACCCTCATTAAACTACCATAACCCTAAGATCTAAATGGCTCCTCCCTAAAAAAACCTTATAGCTGCATAAAAAATTGTACGTTCCAGTAGTATGATTTTGTGTATCTCGTATTTAGAGAGAGAAGTGAATGTGTTTTGAACCAAGAATACGGATTGGCGGGCTGGGTGGTCTGCGGAAATGTTTGCATCGGCTGAGTGTTCCACGGGCCAAAAAAGTTTGAGAAACACTGGTCTATGCTGGCTAAATGTTTTTTTGTCTTTGCGTGTACAATATGTGTGTGATGATGTACGTGCAGAATGCGACTACAAATGTCAAATAACGTGCGTAAAACGGTTTCCTACATTTTCCCAAAGATTATTTAACGTGAAAAATGGAGAAAAAAATTTCCCCACATGCTTGTTGTTACCTGTTGAATTGAAACGTTACCTTTTGGCGGTCTCATCGTCGCCCTTGTGGCGATCGTTCGAGATGCTTGCTGGCCTTGTTCGCCGTACGGTGCTTGCACTCTCCTTCCACCACAAAGGGCGGGAAGCGTCCAGTACCTCTGCGCACAGGGGCCATGTCCTCCTCTCCCTTCGCTTTAATTACCTCGCCCGCACTCGTGGCACCGTATCGAGGGTGCGCGCTGCTAGCTTTGCTCTTGGCTGCGGTGCTAGAGGTGGCCACCGCTTCGTGGGTAGCGTTGCTGGAGGTGACCGTATAGTGTGGGGAGGCAGGACTTACACTGCTCATAGTCTTATTCACTGCAGTGCTCATGGTGATGTTGGTGGTGACATTTGTCTTCGCACCCATAATGAAGTCTCCCTTGCTGGCACTGTTGTCGACCGGCATCATGGTGCTGAAGGTGGCAGCAGCAATTTGTGTTTTTCCGGTGGGGTTGCCACCACAAACTTGTGTTGTGTGGGTGCTCTTCTTCACGATCGTGATTGCATTTGCACCGATGGTAACACGAGTGCTGCTGCTGCTCCTTGTATCGGCACCGTGACTGCCGTGTGTTGTCTTGGCCTTTGCATCATGAGGGCGAGTACTACAAATATCCTCGTCCTGTGGTTGAACAGCCGCCATGCAGGGTGGAACTTTGGTTACAGATTCCTCCTCTTTTTTCTCCATTCCACCCTCTATGGTGACGGCAGTCTCCATTGTAGTCATTCCCCTCTCTTTACTCTGCTCCTCCAAACCCTGTGATGAACTAACCAGCACCGCGGTTGCTTTACCGTTACCCGGTGTACCGTCAGCGCAAGGTACTCTTGGACTTTTGACTGAAATAATATGGGGAGGTGTTTCAATAGCCTGGATGTAACTGTTGGGTCTCGAGTACTGGCATGAATGCTGTGGTTGGGATGGCGCATCAGCTTTGTCGACCGACGATGTTTGCAGAGCAGGTTGATCCACAGTTTGAGGTGTGGCCACGCTCAGGCCATGATCAGTCTTTTCCCTACTTTGTTGTTCCACCTGTTTTGCACTTTGGCTATAAGCACGTCTATTATTTTGCAACACTTGCTTAGCTACAGTTTTCAGTGTCGTGACCTCCGCTGCGTCAGTCATAGATACCTTTTTAAGGGGAATTGGGATTTGACTGTTGGCTGGATTTTTTGGTGAAACAGTATAGACTCTGACCGCAGAATTCTTGCTGGCAGAACTGTCGAGCTTTTTGTAACATATCGCCATCGAATCTACTGCAGAATGTGCCTCAGCAATAGGCTTTGGTGGCAAGAGTTTGGCTGCCCGTTTATGCACACTCACCTGATGCGGTTTATTCCTCCTGTTTTGTTTGCCAGGCTTTTTTACTAACGGTTGGCTTATATTTCTGTGCCGATGCCTGTTAACTGTGGCTGAAGGTAGCCGATTCGTGGACTTTGGAATTGCAGCTTTGGCAGGGTCACATGTAGACTCTTGAACAAGAGGGCTTTCTTGTTTATTTTTATCAAGCCTGACCACTTGTTCCAAGTGAGATGTGACATACTGCTGTGCCTCTGCCAACCCACCGACGTCACTTGGTTCTGTCCCACCTGGCAGTTGAGTGGCCACCGCAGACTGAATGCCGCTTGTTGGTGATATTGGCCTGCATTTTGTTAAAGGCGAAGGTTGGTTGGGTGGTGTGGATTTTTCTGGGGCATCTCCCCTTGTGGTAGATGTATCCGCTGTGCCTTTACAGTGGGTAGAGATGGTGTCGCCTAAATGACCACTTCGGTTCACAAAGTCTGTCTTGATATCCAGCGAGGAAATAATAGCTGCGGGAGGGACAAGGGTTTCTGTCGGCGAGTGACTGGTGATTGAACTGTCTCGGCACTGACCAGGATTACAGTCAGGGTCACGGACACGGTCAGCACACGAGTGATTGTCTGACACAGCAATGAGGTCTTGGTCAGCCTTCGTGTTTCCTGGTAGAATCGAGTTCAAGATACCCATGGTGAGGGTCAACCTGGGGGTTTAATGAAAGAAAACACATCAGTGGATTTGCATACACGTACACATTTTACCAACACAGCCGAATCTACATATAAGCACACCTTTAATAAGCACAGTTGTGGTATAAGCAACGCATTATTCCACACTGGTGGTTGGGAGGGGAAATGAAATGGGAAACTTTTGATCCAAGCATGCTGCTGGGGATAAAACCATAGCTGGCCTTGCTCCCAATTGGTGTGCTTATATCATCATATAGTGCAGCTTCTGCTGTGCAGTGCCAGGTGGCATATTGCCGTCGTTATTAGACAACAACCCGCCATGAAGTGGAGGTGACATCACCACGGCGCTTGTGCCAGGCTAGGTGCACTTCGAGACCATGTGCTCTGCTGCATCTCTCGCCTTTAATTTTATTTTACGAGGCGCAACTACTTTTTCATAATGGATTAGCGAACGCTCGGTACGGTACAGTGTTAGCTCACATTGATGTTGTAAATACACGAGTCTATATGTTACTTATTTTAAAACTGTAAATACGGTGCAATTTAATCACGAGTCCGTGTACGACGCTTCACTGATGCTAATACAATCGTACTTACATTTTCCCATATAAATTACCGCATTGTAAATGTAACTGAGGACGTATTAAATAAGGTGCTACACAAAACTTTCCTCGCACCGCTCGACTTCGGAATTCGTTCGACTCAATGTGTGCTCTTGCAGTACGACTCATTAGTGCTGTGCGTTGCTGGCCGCTTGGCACTTGAAGGTAGCAAAGCCATTGACTACGATTTACAGGATATGTTCGTGTACAACTCGGGAGATTCGTCATACGGTACATGCCTAATATAGCAAGCAACTCTTTATTCACGCGTGCAGTCATCGAGTATCGATTTTGCTGGTAATACTGCACGCACGAGAATCAATTGGTTTATGCCAATCATAAATCAATCGTCGATACTTTCATCGACGTTGACTCGTGATAATGGGACATGAACATAAGCGGGGAAATTCCGCCTCCTTCCCGTATCTGACCCAGGGCATTGAATAAAAACTAAAGTATGTTTCTACACCCATCAGCCGCACGGTCCTTCTGGTGGAGATTGCACAGCGGCATTGACTCAAACTCTGGGCCGGTTTCGACGTCGGGTGCCTCATCAGCAGCGGTGAGACTTGAAACCACCGCTGGCGACGACTACCAAGATGTATGATCTCGTAATAAGGAACCCTTTGCGGACATGGAAGACAGTTTCCATACCTGTTTAACACGTAGTAGGCTTTAGCGACCAATGTTATCATCTATAATATACGTTCTTTGGGGGGGTTAGATCGCGTAAGTATAAATGTGTCGTTAAACCCGCCATCACCCGACACAAATCTGGCTGTTCGCCTGATGATGCTAGTTGTAATTACTGGCGAAACGTCGGACTCGGAATGTAAATGTGGATTTGCTCTCCAATACACACCATGTGTGCTGTACCAGTAACGAATTGGCACGTTCTGTTTATGTGACAACCCTTACTAGTTGGCTGTGTCGGGTGGTGGCGGGTTTAACGACACATTTATATATTTACGCGATCTAACCCCCCAAAAAAACCCCTGCGTTATGGAGTTCCATACTTGTCAACTCGGAAGGTTTACCCCGTAGTCTTGTACAGGGAACTTTAGTTTTCAGGTTCATAAGGCGTACAGCTGTTTCAATACGGGAAACACAATAAATGTGTCTGTGATGAACGTTGATATTTATAGGGGCACGGTGTGACCAATAAGGTCTGAATTGGTCTGCAATAAGCTAGGGCACTGATAAAGGGTTGATAGGTATGCTGTTCACAACTATAGACTGAATCACGACATGCACAAGTACAGTATTCTCAAACAAACATGCGCTCGCCAACAGCGCTGCCCCTCGACAGGCATAATGTGCTCATTCTGGAGGAATCCGACGAGCTATAAAGCTCTTTTTTACACAGACGTCCCGTAGTCTTGTTGATGCTATACTCAGTATTAAACATGCCGGTGTGTGTGTGTGTGTGAGGCAGTATTAAACATGCCGGTGTGTGTGTGTGTGTGAGGCAGTATTAAACATGCCGGTGTGTGTGTGTGTGTGAGGCAGTATTAAACATGCCGGTGTGTGTGTGTGAGACGCAGTATTAAACATGCCAGTGTGTGTGTGTGTGAGGCAGTATTAAACATGCTGGTGTGTGTGTGTGAGGCGCAGTATTAAACATGCCGGTGTGTGTGTGTGTGAGGCAGTATTAAACATGCCAGTGTGTGTGTGTGAGGCGCAGTATTAAACATGCCGGTGTGTGTGTGTGAGAGGCAGTATTAAACATGCTGGTGTGTGTGTGTGAGACGCAGTATTAAACATGCCGGTGTGTGTGTGTGAGAGGCAGTATTAAACATGCCGGTGTGTGTGTGTGAGACGCAGTATTAAACATGCCAGTGTGTGTGTGTGTGAGGCAGTATTAAACATGCTGGTGTGTGTGTGTGAGACGCAGTATTAAACATGCCGGTGTGTGTGTGTGTGAGGCAGTATTAAACATGCTGGTGTGTGTGTGTGTGAGGCAGTATTAAACATGCTGGTGTGTGTGTGTGAGACGCAGTATTAAACATGCCGGTGTGTGTGTGAGAGAGGCAGTATTAAACATGCCGGTGTGTGTGTGTGTGAGGCAGTATTAAACATGCTGGTGTGTGTGTGTGAGGCAGTATTAAACATGCTGGTGTGTGTGTGTGTGAGGCAGTATTAAACATGCCGGTGTGTGTGTGAGAGAGGCAGTATTAAACATGCCGGTGTGTGTGTGTGTGAGGCAGTATTAAACATGCTGGTGTGTGTGTGTGAGAGGCAGTATTAAACATGCCGGTGTGTGTGTGAGAGAGGCAGTATTAAACATGCCGGTGTGTGTGTGTGTGAGGCAGTATTAAACATGCTGGTGTGTGTGTGTGTGAGGCAGTATTAAACATGCCGGTGTGTGTGTGTGTGAGGCAGTATTAAACATGCCGGTGTGTGTGTGTGAGAGGCAGTATTAAACATGCCGGTGTGTGTGTGTGTGAGGCAGTCTGACATGCTGGTGTGTGTGTGTGAGACGCAGTATTAAACATGCCGGTGTGTGTGTGTGAGGCAGTATTAAACATGCCGGTGTGTGTGTGTGTGAGGCAGTATTAAACATGCCGGTGTGTGTGTGTGAGGCAGTATTAAACATGCCGGTGTGTGTGTGAGGCAGTATTAAACATGCCGGTGTGTGTGTGTGAGAGGCAGTATTAAACATGCCGGTGTGTGTGTGTGTGAGGCAGTCTGCATGCTGGTGTGTGTGTGTGAGACGCAGTATTAAACATGCCGGTGTGTGTGTGTGTGAGGCAGTATTAAACATGCCGGTGTGTGTGTGTGTGTGAGGCAGTATTAAACATGCCGGTGTGTGTGTGTGTGTGAGGCAGTATTAAACATGCCGGTGTGTGTGTGAGGCAGTATTAAACATGCCGGTGTGTGTGTGTGAGGCAGTCTGCATGCTGGTGTGTGTGTGTGAGGCAGTCTGCATGCCGGTGTGTGTGTGTGAGGCAGTATTAAACAGTACGGTATGTGTGTGTGTGTGAGGCAGTATTAAACATGCTGGTGTGTGTGTGAGGCAGTCTGCATGCTGGTGTACAGGTCAACGAGATTTAGGAATCCGTTGTCGCGGTTGAATGTTTCGTTTGAATTTCCGTCGTGTGCCGCGTGCGGCTCGTCACGTTTACACTTAGAGCCCTTACCAAGTGGCACAATGTAAACACACAAACACACACCGTGTCAACGCGTAGAGTTTACCCCGCATTCTTGTACAGGGGAACTTGGGCTTGCAGGTCCACACCGCGTACAGCCGTTTCAATAGGGCACGACAAAAACACGTTTCGTCAAATCTAGATTTCGTCGACGTGTTTGTGTTTCTCGCTTGTGATGGGACTTTGTGGGATGAAGCTTGATATTGATCAGCGGCACGGGGTGACGGCGGACGAGGTCTGAATTGTTCTGTGATAAGGTCGGGGACACTGCTAACGTGTTAACAGCTATGCACACACTTCACAAAGAGCCGAGTCGCAACACAACCGCGATCCCCGCAGACTGAATCCGTCGTGCGAATGAAGGTGGAGGCGGTCCATGTTCTCGACGGCCGTCGATTCGCTTCACCGTCGAGGGCCCGATGCGTTGCGTGTGGCGGCGAGCGGCGAGGCGAGCGACTTGCCTCTGGAGTGCGACGCTCCGTGGCCGCCGCGGGCAACGCGGAGCTCCCCGGTCTTGGGGGGAGCAAGTGGGAGGCCACGTGGGGGGGCACGTGGGGGGGGGGGGCACGTGGGGGGCCACGTGGGGGGGGGCACGCGGGGACACGCGTGGGGAGGCCACGTGGGGGGCCACGCGGGGGGGGGCACGTGGGGGGGGGGCGCGGGGGGGGGGCACGTGTGGGGGTGGCGCGGGGGGGGGCACGTGGGGGGGGCGTGGGGGGGGCGCGGGGGGGGGCCACGCGGGGGGGGGCACGTGGGGGGGGGCACGTGGGGGGCCACGTGGAGGGGGGCGTTGGGGGGGCCACGCGGGGGGGACACGTGGGGCCGCTTCCACGAGCACCCCCCCCCCCCCAACTCTGTTACCCCCCCCAACTCCACGAGTTCGATTCAACCCAGGGGCCGGCGGCAACCTGCGGGGGCTCCGGAACCGCGTGCGGCTCTTTAAAAGGTCTCAGCTTCGTGAGTTATTTTTTTTATTCAGGACCCGCCGTCTCGTATTCACCGCACGCATCGCGCGGCTCTTGAAATAATACGTTTGTTGCTAAATTCGAACAAAAATGTGATTTCCTTGTTATTTTGGAAGCCGACCCCTGCAATAATAACTCATTCCCTTCATCAGCAGCAGCCTTGCTCTGAACCCAGGGGTCGGCGCAACAAAAATAACAAGAGACATTTTTGTGTTCGAATTCGGTATTTAAAAAACTATATTTAAAGAGACGCAATGCAAGTGGAAAAAAATGTGTTACATAATGCATGTGGAAAAAGTAATATTTAAATACTTTTTTTTTAAACACGCTTTAATGAAATGTACCGTACTAGTGATGGCAAAACTCCACAACTCCAGGAAGTGGCCCCGAAGCTTGCCATAACGTAAGGGACCGTGGTGATTTACAGCCAACGTAAGTTGAGCGTTGACAATTAGACCTAAGGCGAAACATAACATATAAAAAATTATGTTTAAAAATATTTTTTTTATTTTTAATGATAGAATATAGTATTGTCATCAGTAAGACATAAGTATACGACGTTTGCAGTCGATACCACATTGGGAAGTGGGTTAAAATTGAGTTAGAAGATTTGAGGATACAACAGAGTGAGTTAAATAAAAGCGTGTAATAATAGAAGTATGTTTTACACAGCCCATCGAACAAACGGCCTTGTGGGAGCGCATCATTCAGGAGACCGGTTTTGTGTCGGCTTGCATCTTTTAACAAGGTTACATCTTTGTCGAGGACAGGGTTCGGAAATCAAAATAACAAGGAGACATTTGTTTCGAATTCAGTATTTCAACAAAAAAAACTATTTCAAGAGCCACAATGCGTGTTAATTCGGTTCGGTGGTCCTAAATAAATAACCGTCACGAAGCAGTCCTTAAAGAGCCGCATGACCCCTGAGTTTGAACCCCATCATCATCAGCCTTACTCTCACATCAGCCACGGACACGGAATTGCCAAGGGCCATTTGGATATTTATCAACTTAAAAATTATCCTGTTATATTTGGTCAAACATTTAATTAACTCACCACTAATGTGATGGCTGGAACTGCTTCTCTTTGGTGAGGCGTGTGATGTTAGCTGGTATTGATGATGTTGCTGCTACTCGCAACTGCTTTTCCAGGTTTGCTCCTAGATTTATTGAATTTCGAGTCCCGCCTGCGGTTGCCTTGGCAGGGCTAGACCAAATGACCAGACGTTCCCCACCCCTGGCCTACAACGTATGCGCCTCTCCAAGCTTCGTTGCAACACTTTTGAGCTTTTACTCAGCGTCATCATTGTCCATATTTCTGATGGTTATGTCACAGATAATACGCATTAATTAAACACGTATTAGACCGCGTAGAGATGATGATGATGGTTGAATTGGGTGGAGTTGCCCATGTTTAACTTTGGACGAGAGCTGGTTCTGTGATTTAGGGGCTTCTCGTGGCCGGGGTGATGACTCTGCGTCACGTGGCCTGTAATTCAGCTCTGGACGCAGCGAGGGTTGGTAGATCACACAATTGTTGTGAAACTCCACATCGGCGTCGAGTATGTCACCATACCCTGATTTTTTGTGTTTAGTTGTCCTTCCTCCGCACCTCAGATTAGCACGGTTGGCAACGTGGGGTGCGAAATAATTAGACATACATACCTTCGACACATTGGCATGTTGCTTTGCATCAGGTTCGGTATTCTAAAACCGCTCCTGCCAGCCTCAATTTTCCTTTATTTTCCTTTATTTACCATAAATCTATGCACCCCGAAATCACAATTTTCATTAACTCCATCATCACCTTCACCTGTGACCAGATCACCCAGTGCGCTGATCTCAGAGGATAAGCAGGTTTGAGCCTGGATAGTGCTTGGATGGGCGACCGCCATGTATAACCGGTGCTGTAGGATGCATCAGAGGGCAGTGTCAGCTAAATCCATTGTTGGACTTTACTATGCCCCATCATACAGTATATGCTTTCTGCATTCAAGCAACCCCTGCGATGCACTTTCACTCTTGTTTGATGAATGAATACAATAATGAATGAATAAAAACACCACAATTTAAAATTAAGTAAATTTTACAATGCAAAACATGTTTATTCGTGTAATCAAGTAAGCATTAAGACCGTATAAGGATATAGGTAACATATATGAAATACGACGTAAGCAGTTTTTTACTTAAAAGATAATTGCTAAGATTATGTAAATTGAAGCCATATTTTAAAAACAAAAATCGGTACTAGCAATGTCTTTACCCGTGGCACACGGCGGGAAGGGGTGCGAAGTCAGGGATCTAATGGTTGGGGAGAAGAGAAAGGGACGGGAGAGGGATGAGAGAAGGAATGGGGATTGAGAGGAAAAGAATGAGAAAGGAGTTGAGGAACGGGAGCACAGGGGTCAGGAGAGGGAGGAGTACACGGCTGCAACAGGGACTCGACGCTGCTGCTGGTGCTGCACGGAGAAGCAGCGTCTGTTTTCACAGGGGGCGGTGGGGAGAGGGGAGGGGTTCAGAGTGGGGGTGGCTGCAGAAGTCACTTGATTTATGGGAGGCTTGAGCTAATTCATACACAGATATGTAATGTGGTTATCTAATTTTATAGTAAACAAATGCTGCCATCAACATGCAATGTAAGGATATTGAGAAACATGTGCTTAATATCACAGACAGTTTTGGAAACTTCAATGTGTTCCAAAAGCTTTCACTAATACTACATTACTTTTAGGTTAACCACAATTCATGAAAATTCAAAGTTCATGAATCGCACCCTCTGAATTATTCTATGAAGCTCAAACTCGGCCATCAGATGGCTTGAAGAGAGGGAATGTCCTGAATTTCTCATTCCAATATGTCCAGAATTGACCAAGGGCCATATACTAAAAGTGAAAAAAAAATTAAACACTGTAATACGTTGTGTGTGCAGCCATTGCCTAAGATTATTAGCTTGCACTACTTATGCACCTGATAGTTAGGATCTAAGTACGGTACTGTTCTGAATCTTTGTTCTGATTGAGGCATTATGGTCAATATTTTCGCACTCATTACACCCAAAGTGCTCGCCAGAAAATGAACCACAATACCTCGCTGATCTCGTCAAGGAGCATAAACCATCACGTGAACTGCGGTCATCCTCGCAGCAGCGGCTTTTGGCTAGCTATCGAACAAAGACGGTCACTGCATCGCGCAATTTTAGATGCTCTTTTGCGGCCGTCTGGAACGCTCTTCCTTCCAATATTAAGAAGCCACCGGCTATGCACTTTTAAATCTAAATTTAAAAATAATTTATTATGAACTGCTTTTTGTGTTTAGTGTGTTGTCCTTCCCCTGCACCTCTGATTAGCACGGTTGGCTACTTACAGTGCGAAATAAGTTCAACATACATCAAATCTAACTTTAACCCACCCAGCTATAGCATATGTTTGTGACACTCCATCTCGTTCGTTTCTGTGTTAGCTACTCCGAATTCATCAAGGCTTCTGAGGGATATACGTGGCTGGGAATTTTCCCATTTCTGCTGACAAGTGATGCAAACTTCTCTTACACTGCGGAGCCTCGCCACCTTTGTCTCCGATGCCTTTACTCGGCGGCACGGGAGTCAGAAAGAAGAAGGGCAGAGGCGGCGTGTTTTGATAGCGGGGATGTTCACCCTTGCAGGCGACCGTGGTCAACACCGTGCGCGTGTTGACGTATCGGTCGCAAGAAAACCGCGCTTCTGGCCTTGCAGAGTTGAGCTGGAAGTAGGAGAAGTGAGCGTCGTTTGCCTCGGGGCCAAAGTTGGATTGGCCGGGCTCATCGTCAAGCTTGCACAGTGCCACCTCGTCAGAGTGTGGCGCGTAGCTCTTCTTCACTTGAGGGAATACGGCTTCCCAATCTTTCACCTGACGAGACAATTAGAGAGTGTGCCGCCACCGGCCAGACATCGAGTAAGAACAACGGTATCATCACGCACACACGATGCCTCGCTTGGCCTGCAGAGACTACTGGAGACAAGCACTGTTGTTGAGCATAAGCGATTTGTGGGGCCAGTATTATTCACTACGTTATACATGTACACCTTTTTTACCCAGGAAAGCTTCACTGAGTCTCAAAACTTTTTCAGGAAATGTCCTGCCACGTTCTTGCACTAGGGGGGAGGGGGGGCGATGTTGCTATGTGTCAACTCAATAGAGTAATTTTCAGGTAACATTTCAGCATTGGAATGTTTTGCCAATAACAGTTACATTGTATGGTGGGTTGTTTTGAGATTTTTTTCAACTGGCCAGTATTTCTTGATGGCTGATGTTTACCAATCCATCTCGGCAGGTGCTCATGCTCTTTCGTGTCCCCTAAGAGACCAGAACACACACCCAGTCTTACCTTTGACTCTTTCATCCATTTCCACAAAAGGCTCTTTCCAGGGTCGGGCACAGGAGGCCAGAAATTCTTCCTTATACTGAGTGATAACACGTGCAGTAGGGGGATCAGAAATGAAAGATAATCATACCACCTTACATGTAATTGCGAAAAACGTATTAATAATCGAGTGCTTGGAAATATTTCACGGTACACATTAGTCACCCAAATAAGTTGTACAGCTTCTCACGATTATACTTTGGGCTTTGGAGAGTTTATTATTACTCCGCTTGTTTGTCCAAGAAAGCCTTACTGAGTCTCTCAAGACTCTTTTCAGGATGGTCCTGACAAGTTCTTGCAGTAGGTGGGAAATGTTGCTGCCGTGTGTAATCCCAATTGAGTAATTTGTAGGAAATGTATCATCATTGGGATATTTGACCAATGCCAGATACATTGTGGGTTTTTTTGTTAGCTTTGAGAAGAAACCAGAGAACCCAGAGAACCCAGAGAAAACCCATATAAACTTGGCACAGAAAGGCATCCGATTTGGGAATCGAACCCAGGCCCTTCTTGTTGAGAGACACAAATGTTACCACTGCACCACCCTGACACCCAGAGTCCTAGATTGCTATCTAGAACTCAGAGCTCTCCTCTCTTTACAAGGGCAACCAGATGTGGATTTAACCTCTAATTTAGATTCAGTCCACTGTTTGGTGTGAATAGCCCAGTGGTTGGGGACCCCTCGACTGGGCAAGTTTGCAAAGAGAGTAGCTGTCTGCAGTAATTTCCGTGGGAGGCTACAAAGTCGCACCTCCTGCGGAAAGAATGATTTAGAATTATGTCGCAATACTCTTCATCAGAGTAGGCGCCAGAATGATAGGATAATTAATGCATGAACAAAAACAAGGGAGATCAATAATTCACATTGAATACATGCTTATACTATACTCTTTGACTCTTTCGGGCGCAACACAAGCATTCCGTTGCGCCCGAAACGTCGTGATTTATTTTATTTTATACCTACGTGACTTTACCGAAAGAACCAAAGAGTATGGATTCCTGCAGTCATGAAAGCTTCAAATCAAGAATGCTTATACTACATTCGGAAAAAAATCTGGTAGATGATTTGTACAGCACCCTCCGGAAATTAGCTGAACGTAACCAGCAGAAAACATTTACCATGATCTTACCATGGCAACTGATAGATGGCAAAGAATATCAATGTTATAGCCACCAACGACATTCCTGCAGTAACCTTCAAGCCTGCAAAAGCACAGACAGGGACATGTCACACGTCATCGCCAACAAAGCTATAATTGCGTCACACTGTTCAGTGTTGTGCTCAGCTGTCTCCTCATTTAAATCACGGATTATTGCACAGAGACGGCAGGATGCCCGGAATTCCTCTTCACACCCGAGAGACGCGTCGTCGTTTTCCCAACCGAATTTGAGTTCTAAAGATCGGACGCATACGTGAGCTGCAAACGTGTTCTGATTCTAATGCCGGCTGTAAATACCTTACAATAGAACAATACCTGGGTTTACATTGCGCTCGTAATGTCCTGAAACATCTCGGCGCGCATTTGTATAGCCTAGGAGACCCCCTAACAACAGCTTGTTCCTGTGTGGCTCCGAGGTGAACAAAGCACCGGCCTGACGGTTGGCACCGTTCCCATAGAGCAAACTCGGAATTATCTCTCAGTCGGCCTAGATCTAGCTCGGGCGTCGGTAACCTGCGACTCTGGAGCCGTATACGGCTCTTTCAGGAGTGCTTCGAGACGTTGTTTATTAAGGACCACCGTCTCGTAGTCACATGCTTTGCGGCTCTTTAAATATTGTTTTTTTTTTACCGAATTTGAAAAAAAATTATCTTGTTATTTTGGTTGCCGGCCCCTGGTCTAGGTGAACGAGAAATGTGCAGGAACCTGCAACACATTTCAGCATGATACTGGTACTAGAGCTCTGATATACATCCAACCCTGCCACCCGATTCAGAATTGATGTTTGGGTCGAACCACGTAATGATCTGATCGAATTTTGTGTCGTTAAAAACCCTCCACCATCCGACACAGCCAATCAAACTAAACTGTCATGTCGTGCAGAAGCGCCTAATGTGTCAGTTATTGTTGTTTCAGCTGACCGGTAAGTTGAAGAAAAATTCTCACATCCAAATTTGGCAATTACAGGGACCGTTTTTTCCGGTATTAAAATTAGGAAAACAATCATAGGCTTGACCCTTTCCAGCAGACTTGATGCCTTGCAATAGATGTTGTCTATTTGGTGTTTGAACATCTTAAAACCTCCTGTGTTATTGCCAGAAAGGGTAAATACAGCAGATACGACGTTTAGTTTTAAATTATGCCTACCATGTATTACATATTTGCACGGAGGTGAGATGGAATTGTACACATTGTTGGCTACATATGGTGTGAAATAAGTTCAACATACATACGATGTACACGAGATAGATGGTAAAGTAAAGGAGGTTTAATCTAGGGCAATCGTGTGCGATAAAAGAGACAAGAGCGTCGTAAATGTTTAACAGAATAATCTAACTTAAAGCACGTGCACTCCTGCATGAGTAACCCTTAGCTAATCAATGTGAAGGTGGTGTGTGCGTGCACACGGTCATTCTTACCAAGGTTGTCATTTTCTGGATATTCATTCTGTGAAATATAAACAAAATTAAACACTCGATGACCATTTTCTGACATCTTGCAAACTACAAGGGAGCAATCTTTGGGCAATACAGATAGCAAATACATCCATCCTCCAGGAAATATATTGTCTTATTTATCCCTTATTTATCCAGGTAAGAGACAAAGGCAATTCATGATACATTTTCGCAACAAAAATGTGGGTTATTTTATTCCCATAGCCCTTCTCCAAACCCATTGGTGAGGAAATGGCAGTACAGCAAGTGGGTTTGTGAGTCCATCCGTACAGCTCATTGACCACAATCGCTTCACATTAATGGGCATTTTCCGGGTATTCCTGTTTCTTCCCACATGGGAAACTCATAAAAATTGATTTTGGTTAAGGTTTATTTATTGCTGATCATTGTATTATTATATTTTTTTACTTGGTTTGCTGTTTATTGAGACAATTTTGTATCTTTGCACTTGAGAAATAAATATAACAGATGCCGCAATGCTCACGGGACTGTTAGGATGGTCGATGTGCATTGTTTACGTCACTTGCCAAACAGCACCATCGGCAACACATCCAGCGATTATTGTGGTGCTCTGCTAAGGTCACAAGGCCTTCACTCGTTTAGATCAACAGGGCACCATTGTACGAAACATTACAAAACCTGAGCTCAATAACCACACACAGTGCACTGCCTACAATTTGAAGGGTACCTTTATTTAAAAAAGATATCAGTGAACAGTGAATCATAGAGCATAGACAGCAGAGCATGTAATTAATCCCAGGCAGGTTGCACCCATGAATATTGTTCAGTCTGAGCACTGCTCCTCCCCTAATTCTTTGTTTTTTTCGGTAAAGTCACGTAGGTAAAACATTAAAATAAATGAAAACAACTAAATTAAATCACGACGTTTCGGGCGCAATACAAGGGTCCTTCTTCAGGTGGGGACAACGTAGCGAAAGCACAACCGCTTAGGTATGTCTCAGAGATGGCTGTGACGGGGAATTATATAGTCGCTGAAGCTTTGTGATGCAGATGGTGGAAGTAGAAAAGCAAGCTAGGATTACGCAGCCTTTTGTTATGCTGCCGATGGGGTAAATTGGAGATGCACAAGCTAAAAGAAACATCAAGCTAATAACGAACCACAGTGCTTAGCGCACGGTCAGTGATCAAACGGCGCACAGGCTACACCACCGCGTCGTCGTCCACAGCGTGGGAGGAGACGACCGCAGGTACGTGGCATACGCTGTGTACGGATCGACAGGGGAGAGACGCCTAGCGCAGCGACCTCACGACCCAGCGAGAACTCGTACTGCGCATATGCCCCCGACAAATGATTCCATTCCACCACCTCTGGCAGAGAGACAATGTTCATTCAGCAAGGGGCGATTCAATACAAATAGGATCAAAGACATGCGATTTTCGTAATGAGTTTCAATTTAACAGCATCAGAATCGTGCAGGCTTTTAATTTTTCAAAAGGCATACGTTTAAATGTTTTACCGATTGGAAAATTACTGCGTATCCCGAAAATAATGATGAGTAATTTCTGATCTTTCCTGCTCCTCCAAGCACTCCGTCGGCTCATGTTTGCTTGTGGTACAAGTGCTAAGTGCTGAGTACATATAATAGCTTGTTTCCATAGACAGCAAAATCGAGTTGGCCCGATGCTTCCTATAACTCGAATTGTGGCATTTCCATGAACTTCCAGTCACCCAAGTTGTCGCTTGAGTTGGGGAGGTGGCTATCCCGGATTTAAATTAAATTCCGGCCCTTGTCTGTGTCCCCCCCCCACCTGAATCTGGACGCATCGGGTATATGGGCCTCGTGGATATTCGCGTGCGGTGGTTTTTTGCCGCCCAACGTTCTGCAGCGGGCCTTTGATCTTGTGTACAGCAAAAAATCTAACAATGTTTTTTTATCCCAGTCATCTATGCATTTTTTGGTTGACATGACATCTCTGGGAGAAATCTGCAAAAGTATGGCTCCAGCCCAGATGGCAGCAGACTCGTTATGCCTGAAAACTAAACAGTTTTTATTTATTTTACCAGGTAAAGGCCCACTGAGATATTTAGCTCTTTTTCAGAAGCGACATGGCCTGATACTCTCAAACACATGTTTCTAAATGTGGAGGGAAAAACCGGAGGACCCGGAGAATAATGCACCCAACCACAGGGAGAACACGCAAACTCCAAATATGCAGGCGTCAGGGTCGGGATCTAAGCAGCGACCTCCTGTACACCAGGCAAGGTAGTTAACATCTCACCACAGTGGCTCATGGAAACAGGTGGTAGCGGACAACTGATTTGTGGAAGCACGGTAAATGACTATACCTTAGATTTGCACACAGTGAGAGCACCCATTTAGATACAATACAAAACACATACATGCAAGGCAGACGTGGGTACACGTTGGACGGATGGCGCAGGTTTTGTTCCTATCGAATGGCTGGGCAACTTGTCAGCAATTCTGTTTGACGTTGGGTCTGTCGACACAAAGCGCAGCTGGGAAAGCCTTTTTTCCGTGCAGCCAAAAACCAGAACCTGTCATTCGCCGGAGGAAGCCATGACATCCCATGTTAAAGTGCAGACTCCAAATCAGGAAATGACCCTTATCCACACTAAAAAACGATTTGGTAACTGCAACCAAGTAACAATCTCATCATAATTATCTCCTTTGCAATGTTTCTTCACGGGTCCTCGCCTGCTTAACCCTTTCCCGTTCCGAGATGACTGCAAGTTGCAGGCTGGGTCCCGTTCACCGCTGAATCTCGGAACACGCAAGCGGCTCAGGATAAAATTTATTTAGAGAGGCGTAGCGCCGTTGTTTTTAAAGGCATTGACCTCACCGCAGAGAACTGTAGCAAAACAACCGCACTCGATGATAACTAGTGCCAAACTGTGCCACATACCTTCCCGTATGGCCTTGTGAGAGGTTTGGTACCAGTAAAGTTATTTAATTTTTTCTTCCAACTCAGATTCCGAATTGGAAGAAAAACTGATGAACTACACGTACTGATGACGTACACGTACGTCATCAGTACGTCATCAGAACGGGAAAGGGTTAAGAAAAGCAGAGGGTGAATTTTATTTGAATCGGCCACCCAGCGCGTCTCCCGCATCTCCCCTGCTCCAGCGAGACCCTCCGCTGAGTGACGCACAGAGGGGCGCACGTTCCCGCACGACTCTGTTTCGAACACCTCCCCCCAAACCACCACCACCACCACCACCGCCTCTGCCGCAATGGCAGGAGGCGTGCCATACGCGCGGGTTGCCAGCTGCGCCGTGCCTTCACGGTCTCGCACTGCCGAGCGTGCAGGGGCAAATCTCTTGAACCTGCAGGACAAACGGAGAGGAGACGCTTGTACACACACATAGGAATCGGTCCCATTCCATACCCAGATCCACTTCAATTTAGATTAGTTTTTCAACGTTGATGGAATAGCGGCATAATTTGATCCATATTGCCTGTTGCCAATAGAAACACACAGGTAACTGATGAACGCGTTTTGTTTTTCACAAAATGCCAACCCAGCCACCCATGTCACTGTGCGTTCACATATTACATTCATGGTTCTTGCAAATTAATTCATACCAGACTTCAGCCGAGGATACCAACAGCGCTGGATTAGTCCATAGACACGGTCATCACTTCCCAGATTTCCCGGCCACCCCTTTGTTGTCTTACCGCCGCACCTCCAATTAGCACGGTTGGCTACGTACGGTACGAAAGAAGTTCAACGTGCATACAGTACATTCATAATCTCTTACCGGAAAGACAGCCCTTGTTCCTCTCGCGTAAGGCCCTTGGCCACGGCGAATCGGCATTGGGCTGGGCAGGGCTCACGTGAGACCACAGGCCAAACATCCTGTCCAGCTCCTCTATAATAGCTGGAGTGGAGGAGACTGCTCGGTCTGACGACAGCGCTTGGAGGAGGTCAGTCAAGAACTTGCGTCGCAGGCTTTTCCGCTTCTTATTTATGGTCTGCAGGTTTAAGAAAATGTGTTTGCGTTGACCATGCAGTCTCCTGAACATCTATGGTGAGAAGGCACAAGTTTAGTTCGGGGAATCATTGTCTACCACAAGCTGTGTTATTACATGCACCAGGTGCAGTAGCTGCCTGGTAAGCAATGCAACAGCCAACCAAACTAACTAGGACCCTCATCAAACAGAGTCCCGCTTGGGGAACTGATATAAGAACAAGAAACAAAACATATGCATATGCATTGGTTCTCTCACGCTTTACAATGATGTTTTTGTCCTCTTTTTTTAAATAGCGATATCACCGGTCCATTACATGAATCAGAAACGTGCACGAAGAAACATTCTCGAAGAAATTGAAAAGTGTAAATAATTGAAAGTTTGTTTAAGCTGAAGCGTGGAAAGTTGCATGTTTGGAATTCCACTGAGAGACAGAAAGAAGAGCGTGCGGATCAGATGGGAACTTTAAAGGCATCAATATGACTCAGTGCTTTCCATGCGCCAATAAGTAAAAATTCAAAGCTCTCAATAGAATGCTACATCATATGCCCAATTCATTGTAGAAATGCTTAAATAGTGTCGATTTAAAGCTTTCGTGACTGCAGGGATTCATCTTCTTTGTTCTTTCGGTAAAGTCACGTAGAAGGGAAATAATAAAATAATAAAAATAAACATAATAAAATAATTCTCACGACGTTTCGGCCACAACGCAAGCAGCCGTCCTCAGGTGAAGAACAGGTCTGTCGGAAAGACAGTGTCTGAATGACACTGTCTTTCCGACAGACTGAATGACACTGTCTTTCCGACAGACCTGTTCTTCACCTGAGGACGGCTGCTTGCGTTGTGGCCGAAACGTCGTGAGAATTATTTTATTATGTTTTATTTTTATTATTTTATTATTTCCCTTCTACGTGACTTTACTGAAAGAACCAAGAAGAAGCTTAAATAGTTGTTAGTAGTTAAAAAGTGTCATGGCAGCTTCCCACATTCATGCCTTGTAACCATCATTTAAATGGAATATATTATTACACAAGAGTAAAAATAACAGTACATGATTATTTATCTGCAATCTGTTACAACAACATGAATTCGTTCCGGTAATGATATGTCAAGAAATGTATCTGTAAACAAAATAATATCTGCGTGTTGTTTTGGTTGTCCCGTTACGTTCTAACGGCACGCTGTTCACCAGAATTGATCAGGTGCGTGTCAGCTGACACCCGGACGCCGTTGTTAACGAGACATTCCATGACAAGGCATTGTCCGGGCGAAACGTCGCCATGAATAACAATTTTAAACATTCTTGGAAAGGGAAAGTTTTGCACGTATCCTTGTAGCGTTGTGCGTGCGCGCTGCTTTCAAGCTGACCTGCCCAACAGACGACGTCGTCTGCTTGAGCTCCAGGCGCAGGCGAATTTGCTCGAGGGCGCGCCCGCCCTTGCGCAGCACGCGACTGTACTCGGCGCACATGGCGAGCGACGCCTCGTTGTTCCCGCGAGCACGCGCGTGTCCCCGTCCCGAGTGCCGCATTGCGGCAGTCTTCTTCTTCTTCTGTACGCGACCACGATTCCCACATGCACCAAAAGCCTCCCTCCTCCGGACCCCGTTCGAGGCCTTTTCGTTTCTCTGTACGTCCAGCTCGCTAGGGACGCCGCCCTTACGCTCCCGCTCACGCACGAGACCCAGAGTACGGGCGGCCGGGCCACTCGAATTTTCAGTTTACGTTACTCAACGTTCACCTCTAATTTTGTTTTCTGCATACCGTACTTGAACAAAAGGTTGCGCATAGATGAAGATCTGATGATGCAGGGAGTGATGAGAAGGAATCTGGAACTATTTGGAAACGTACGTAGGATGGACAACAATAGGAATATTGAAAGTGCGTGCAGAAAAATGAAAGGAACTGGAAAGAGAGGAAGACCTTAACCCTTTCCCGTTCCGAGATGACTGCAAGTTGCAGGCTGGATCCCGTTCACCACTGCATCTCGGAACACGCAAGCGGCTCAGCAGAAAATTAGTTTAGAGAGGAGTAGCGCCGTTGTTTTTAAAGACATTGACCTCACCGCAGAGAACTGTAGCAACACGACCGCACTGGATGATCACTAGTACCAAACTGTGCCACATACCTTCCCGTATGGCCTTGTGGGAGGTTCGGTACCAGTAAAGTTATTTTAAAAGTTCTTCCAACTCAGATTCCGATTTGGAAGGAAAACTGATGAACTACACGTACTGCTTGATGACGACATCAGAGATTGGTGCCGGAAAGATGTGGCACCCCTTGAGCATATTGGCACAAGACAGAGGAAAGTGGAAACAAATGACAAAATGTGCAGTGGACACCTACGGGCCATCTGCCTATGGATCGTGATGATACCTTCCTTGTACAAGCGTGTGGCTCTCAACCCGTGGGTCACAACCCCTGGCTTTCAAAGAGTGGGGAGCAGAAGCTTGCGTCGTGGATACCCACATTGGTTCTTGGACGTAACTGCCTCCAGTTACGCCCAAGAGCCAAAAGTAATTCCGTGCGACGTTCCTACAGCGGCATCGAACGTCATTCACGCGTCATCTCACCTCGCATGACAGCTTGTTGTGCGGCTTGAATCGTCACGTTATTACTGCTGATTAAAGACTTCCGAGAGCAAGCGGGTGTTGTAGAGCGTTACGGGAGCTGTGCTTACCCTCGTGATCTTTCCTCCCTGTCATGTTGTGCGTGCGAGGCGTGTGTTGGTGTGCACGGGGCTGACATCAGTTACGAGCAGATCTTTATGCGATTACAGTCCCGGAACCTCACAAGATTGTCCAAGTTATCACACCGTGTACTGATGTATTGTGTTGTGGTTTTTTATTGCCTCTAATCGGAGATAACTAACCATTTTAGTCATATGGATGTATATATGTCTCTGTATTGGGGCTGCCACCTCTTCCACTGCAGACATTTTTCAGTCAGCCTAAATCTATCAAAACTCTGATCTCTACTGTCATAAAAGTTTACCACGACACTGGTACCGGTTATCGGCACAAATCGATTCCTGCCACCCGGACCACAGATGCCCATTCCCTAGACTGTCCGGGTAAAATCCAGGAGCTATGACCCCAGGAAGGTGGGAATCCTACCCCGTGTCCATATCTTTTCCGTAGCCACACGTACCACACTATGGCGATGTTCGAAACGATCAAATGTTTACAGCTTTATCTTAAAAGTTTCCAAATAGACGTGCACATTAAGGACAATTCACGATACCATGATTGCATGTGTGTACGCTGATGGCGATGGACTAGAAATGAATTACAGTTTCAAGCTTATTTTTCCAAGCCAGTTAAGAACTCAAGAGTCCAGGATGAGTCTCATTTGCAAGACTGACCTGGGGCATTAGTCTGCCAGAAGGGTGCGCTGAACGCTATGTCAAATCCCAATTGAGTAATTTGCGGTGTAATTTTCAAATTGATGAAATTTTAACTGTTATTTTTTCCTATTGCTGATGTAGATGCAGAGCAACAACTACAATTTGACATTCAGGTGGTCGCCGTGATGTCACCTTCATATTTGTGGATCGGGCATTGGGTCGTTAAACGTTGTATGGTCTGTTTTGGATGACCACGATCATACGCAGAGTTTTCCATTTTCCATTTGTGCATCAGGTATCTGCATCTACTGCCATGGTTTGTGCAGTGGATGCAATTTAGGGTGGACCATGAGCTTTGGACCCTGATGCCGGCACACAACGGTCTAAGCTCGAAAATTACGTCAGGGGATGTTTTGACGGTTATTTCACACCGCGGTATTAACCAGGGCGGCCGCTGGTCTCGAACCTTGAACCTCTGCATCGAGCAGCGAACACTTTGCAGCTGGGCTGTGTAATTACTGCTCTGTAAAGTACAGCCCGTTTGTCAATCCACTGCTGGATGGAGACATTCCCCCCAATGCCACGTGGGTCGTCAAGAGTTATTTGACCATACTTCACCACATTCGTCAGTGTTGGTTGGTGAAGGTGGATTTTCTGCACTGTCCTCTACTGCCCACAATGCATCTCTCTTTTGTACATGCGGGTCGCCCATCCAAGCACTGTGACGAAATCACGTGATATTTTCCAAGCCAATTGGTCTCGGGCAATTATAACTGTGTAAACTATAATTACGGTATAGTAATTACAATCGTAATCCGTTGCTAGAGAGGTCACGACCGCTGTTATTGCTGTGATAAGCAAATGAAAGTGTTTCTATAGTGAAATGCTCAAGGAAGTATTCCTCTCGTAAATTTGCAATTGTAATTATGATTAGACTAGTCAATTTCTATACTCGTTCTTGTAGTCATTATTATAATTGTAAACTGCAACGCTTTCCAACCGAGGTTAAGAGTATCAAGGCATTAGCTGTGTCTGTCTGTAACATGGGGTCCACTATCACTCAATATGAACTAAACTCGAGTATAAAGCTGTGTTGCGATTAGGGACTCCTCCTACAGAAAACCAGAGGGTTAGCGCACACACAGAGAAAGTGCACTTCTCCCCGGCTCCGGTTGACGGAATTACATCAAGATGTAAATTAGGTCATCACCGATACCGTTAATTGCTGCCGTAGCATATTACTGTTACCAACAATTAATTTAATACAAATTAGAGAAATACCTCCACGGAGTATTTAGGAATTGTCGCTGCACGATGAAGGAATTCACACCAGACCTCGTTTAGGAGTCACGAGATGCCGTATCAATGCCAACGACCAGACCAAAGGTCCTGAGAGTAGCGCTAGAAACGTCTCGAGCCGCCCTGCGTGGCTCCCTTTCTGTCCCCTTGCGCTTAACGGGGGGAGCGTGGTCGAGCGTGGCGCACGGCAAGCCACCGAGGCTTCCCAACCGAGATCCCCATTGTCGGGTTTTGTTGAAGCGCAGCCATTTACGGCGCTCGTCTTACATCACCGACGTTGGCCACGTTTGGCTATCGATCGGCCTTGCGATGTTTGCGTTTTCTCACCTCGTGGGTGGCGTTGCTGCAGAGACTATCCTGATCCACGGGACCACCTTTGCACCCTGCAAACGAGTCAAGCAGCAGCCCTTTTCACTTCGCCGTGGAACCTGCCCACTCACCATCACACTCGGTAAACTATTTAAAAAAATATATTGTTGCCTTGGTAAAGCTCACTGAGCTATGTAGCTCTTTTTCAGAAGCGACCTGGCCACAAACGATAGCTCAACGAAGTGGCTTATCACATGAAAATATATCGCAGCCAAAATGCTCTTAAGTGCATGTTTCTAAATATGAAGGGAAAAACCGTAATACACGGAGGAAAATCCACACCACCATGGGGTGAGCGACAAACAAACTCCAAATATACAGGCGTTCGGGTCGAGATCGAACCCACGACCTCCTGCATACCAGGCGAGGCAGATAACGTCTCACCACCATGGCGCCCTACTAATAACGGTTCGTTCATGAACGGACGTAATTGGTTCCCCAAATGATCTGATTAAATGGGCTGCCCATTATTTAAACTAATGTACATCAATGTTGGGCTCAGATTAATGTTAGAGTGAGAAATGGTGTTAATTTCCTTTTAATAAAAAAAAGAAAAATTTCAATGTGAACTTCTTTTAAAAGGTACCCAGGTAGTGTCTCCCATCCTCGTTCGAGTGCCGATGCTCTTGTTGGATTATCACATTTGCAGATAAAAGTGGTTGTCAAATTTTTAATAGGAACATGTATACAGCGATATGCAGCTTTACAACTAAGGCTACACCAATTAATGTCATCCAAAGGGATTTTCAAAATGGGGGTACGAAGCTATATTTTACACCTGCTCACCTTAACGCCCCTGCGTGCGATTACACTTATGTTTCGGGTCGGTATTTTTGTTCTGAAAAAGGGATTTTTCCAGAAACGGCATTAATTAAAACGATGGTGCGATGTTATCGATTTGTCCTGATGCAGGTTTGCCTGCGCGCTGACTGGAGTACTGTCTGTTGCCCTATAACGCGGTGGTAATTGCGTTCCTGAAGAACACCGCGTTATGGAAAAATTACACTTAAATAACCATTGATTCAATGTGAATTAAGGGGTAAGTCCCATTGCAAGAATAATGTTATATTTTATTTCGTTTCATTTATACCACTTTATCACGTCGCGTTTTTGTTCAAGAGTATTAGCTTTTCTTTTCTTCACTTCACTTCCACTAGCACTACTATCGGAACACGTCCATACCCTTGCCATTCATGGTAATTAAATTCAACAAAGTTGTATGCAAAGCAAGACATATTTGTAAGGCACAGTCCGCAAGAACACTTGAGATGTGTAGCAGATACACGTTGTACTCACCCAGAACTCCTTGCATCCTGAAGTGGGTCTTGGCACCTGGTGGTCCCTCGCCGACCTCTGTCATGGCCGCCACCATCACCGAGTATTCCACGCTGGCAGAGAGGTTCTTCAATGTGTAGACACAAGCGCTCCCACGGATCAGAACTCCTACCGGAACGCGGCACCAAGGGGTGAGGACATCTGGGTTCTCTTACATTCAGGACTAAAACTATGTTCGATGTCGAGAGGGTCCTCGCCTATAAACATCTGGCAATTCGTAGGCATTTGATCAAACAAACCGACTCTGCTAATGATGAGACGCCTGAATGTAAAACCGGTCCAGAGTTTGCCTTGTTGAACTAATGCTATTGACCGGTTGTGTAAAATATAATGCAGGCAGACCTCGCCAAACACGGGGGTTACGTTCCTGGAAAATGCCATGCTGGGAAAAACGGCGTTCGACATAATCGACCTTATGGAAAAATAGGATTGTGTTCTTGGGGACGTAATGGCTACCTCTCCCTCTTTGTTTAACAAAATTTACAAGATTCGTTATTGTACTCAAGGATGCCGAGTCGCTCACCATAACTTGTGTTAGTGTACACTCTTTATTTTTCAATTTCACCTCAACACAAAACATCCATCTCCATTCCTCTTCACTCACGCCCGATGCCTGCCCCTGACACTGTCACTTGAATGTTGATGATTTGATATCTGGGCGCCTGTCTGACGTCCTCAGCGAGTGGACAGCTAGATGCATGCGACAATGTGTGAACATTTGCGTTGCGCCATTGTGCGTGTTGAGTCATATTATCACACTCAAAAACACACTCACACGCAAAAAACACACGTGGTAAATAAATCATTCTCACAGTCAATTAATTCACACCTTACAATGGGTGCAGCTCTCTCACGGGACTACTTTTTGACGCGGAGATGAGAAGTTTAGCTGCGTTAAACCGCATATACCCAAAGCATCACCCGCATGTTCCGGAAAACAGACCTCAGTATGTAAACCGCGTACAGCCGAAACACGCGTTCGATAAAAAAAAGCCGCATTGGGCAAGGTTTTCCCGTATTATATTTTACGTTGAGGGACAAATATGTGAAGGAAGTATGTTGTCTGCTTATGTCTCCTTTTGACTTTACATGAACGCTTATGTCCACTTACTGTGACTCGCGTCGGGACCTTGGCCCCAGTATATAACGTGGCCGGTGATAAAACCTCTCCTCTCTTTGGTTGGGATCCCCATCCAATTGACGTCGACGGATGAGAGCGTGATGTTGGCGACAGAGACTTTGGGTCCCACGTTGGGTACTGTTTGGGACATCAAAAGGGGATTTTAATCGCGTGCATCCTGCGTTAACGCATTCCCCCATCGATCTGAGATGCCTTTGGCAACTACACGTGAGGCAGGAGGCATTCTAGCACCGTATACCATGGTGTTCCAACTCACCAAGTCGAGTTTAACACGTCGGCTTTCGCGACCAATATCCATAAGAGGTTTTTGGGTTAGATTACGTAAATATAAATGTGTCGTTAAACCCACCACCACCCGACACAGCCAATTAGTTAATAGTACAGCACACCAGTGTGTTGGAGAGTAAATCCACAACATTTCCAATTCGAGTACGAAAGTTTCGCCAGTAATTAATCACCAAGTCTACATCATTATTGCGAAAAACATTAGTTTTTGGAATTAAACATTTGCGCTTTAAACACTGCTTTGTGTCTTACTTTCAGCGGCATCTTAAAAGTAGGATAACCCTGGACTGTGCACGCATTTCATGAAGACATATCTCCATAAGACGTGATCAACAGGTGAGTGACTGGTTATTCAACGCAGTACCTTTCGTCCACTATTCAGAGGCAGATCTAGACACTTCCCTAGGGAGTGGGAGGTGGGGGGCGTCCAGAAATCTAAAGAATTTTGAATCGAGCTCTTCATCATTAATATAAAAAAAACATTCAATGCATTTCCTATGGTAAATATCGGTTAAAGTCACATCGGTTAAGGTTTTTTTTCGGTTAACATTTTGCCTCCTATAGGACCCCCATGGTTTCGACTATTAACAATATGATGTAACGTGTTTACGTTGTGTACGCGGCCGCCAATTTCGGCCAATCCAAGCGCTCGTAAGTGGGCTGAGGTATGCATCAGCCAATCGGCGACGCCAATTTATCAGCGTTTAGACCTCGACTGGCTCTGTTTATACATTACGGATTAATGATTTTAACATGTAATTCCTAAATTCGATTAGCAGTCATTTCGGTAATCAGTAGTTTTGGTGGAACAAATTAAAAACGTTAATCGAGGCACTACTGTACCAATTTTAGGGGTCTCGAGGAGGGGGGGGGTGATATCACTCCCAATCACCCTCCCCTCGGATCTGCCACTGGGAGTTTCATCCTGTTCTCTAAATAAAAAAAAAGATCACCAGTTTACAATGATCAAATTTACTACGATCCACATTTACAATGTTTATATAACGCCTCCGTGGATTGATTTACGACGTGGAACTCGATTTACGACACACCTTCCGACACGACTCCGAACGCATTTGGTTTCCGATGTTTCTTGGTGTGGAACTTGTTATTCTGAAGTGGTTTTTTTGTGTGCGTGGATTTGTACCTCTTAAATCCAATTAAATATGGCTGATTAAAGGAAAAAACGAATCGGCAAGTGATGTTTCTACTATTTCTACTGTCTGTGGGAAAATAAGTGTGATCATATTTACGACGCTCCGACTTAAGACGACTTACGACGACGGGGGTTTCCATGAACCCATTATTGTGACGTCGTAAAAGCGGGGACGCCCCTGTGCTGGTGGTGTTTCACGTTAACGGTGCCCTGGGAGGGCAAGTGAACGGTGCGTGCAACCGCATCACGGCACACGCTGCACAGGGACTCCCCGGCGATAAATCATAGGCAGCAGAATAACTTTTTTTTATCTCTGAAAAAAATGTATAACCGTGTTTTGTACTCTTCGTGTTACACGCGCGTCCTCAGCGTGTCGAGTGACCCCCCAGATAACAGCTTGACCTGACAAGTAACAGAAGTTGCGTGAACGATTGCTGGGGATGGCAGGAGTATTACTGTAAACTGAGATAGCCTCAGACCACAGACAAGCCCCTTAGACTTACTAACTAACGATTACTATTTTTTATTTTACCAGGAAAGTACCACTGAGCTATCTAGCTCTTTTTCAGACGCGACCTGGCCACAAATGATAGCTCAACTAAGCGGCTTATCATGTGCGAAATATCGGCAGCCAAATATTATAAATGCAAGTTTGTAAATATGCGGAGGGAAAACCCAGACGACCCGGAGAAATATCCACGTGACCATGGGGAGAACATGGAAATTCTAAATATACAGGCATCAGGGTCGGGATCGAACCCACGACCTCCTGTATACCAGGCGAAGGACTTAACGTCTCACCACCCACTTGGTGAGAGGCTACAGTCTTAGGCACATCCTCGTTGGAATACAGCAAACGCTTCCCTCTCATGGGTTTAGCTGTCACGGTTTTGCACCAAATTTATTGAGGTACAACTTGCCGATCGTGCCTCTGTGGCTCAACCATTCGCGGTTGACCGCGAGATCTTGTACGCATCATGACTGCACTGCCTGCGATGATGCTGCTGCAGCGTAAGAACACACACGCGGTGCCGTCTTGTCTCCCAAGCGGCCCATCTTGGGTCTCAGGTCAAGCGGCGCTCCCAATTTCCAATGAGGAGGCAGTGAGCTTCAGCCACATAATTTTCCTTCTTGCAGTATACATTACTCTACATGAATACTTGTACAGTATTGTACACTTCATTAATTGTTTTTATTCTATATATTTACCTTACAAGGTTTTATTTGATACTAGAAAATAATAATCATATTACATCCAAAATACTTTCTGTATAACGTTTGGGTTGATGATGTAGGGTAACATAAAACAAAAGGAGGGGTTGGTGTCCTATTACGAACCATGAATCAAATCCTAGTCTTCACATTTGCCTTTTAGTTTGCGGTTTGCGGATTTACCAATTTTGGCGATTTTCAGGTACATAACTAGACCCACGATGGGCAAGGGTTTGCTGTCATTAAAGTGAAGAGTCGAGAGAAGAGTGAGAGAGGGACACACCGCCCTGCTGAGCATAGGCCTGCACCACGCCTGACTTTCCTTCTCCCGTCTCGTAGATGGCGACCACAGAGATGTTGTAGCAAATAAAAGGCTTCATGTGTTCTGCAACCACACATCATGAAATACATCATCATCATGATCAAATACATCATCAGTGGGTGGCAGGGTGGTGTCTAATGTTATGTATTATGTACAATGTTATTAAACACATGCTGCATGTATAATGCACACCATTGTACAAACAGGGTTACACTAATTGACCATTGATATGGCTTGTGTTGTTGCCCTGGAGACCGGGAGATCGATGGTCGACGTATGGTCGCCGTGTTGATGGCATTCGTCATTATTTCTGCTCAGGTTTATCAAGGTGGTTGTTGGTCGAGCATACGTCTGGGAGTTTGGGAAGCCATGCACTGAGCAATATTGGACGTGATCGGTGTAAATGACGAGGAAAATCAGAGCACGAACAAGGGCACACTCGCCCGCACGTACGACCGCATACCGGAGAGGACCACATGGGTGGTGTTGGCGGGGACGCAGTGCCAATGCATGGACGGAGTCGTTTGATCGTCGTCAGCGACGACCCACTCCACCACGTATCCCTCCACCGCGCGTCGCCTCTCGTGGCCACGTGGCTTTGGCGGGGCCCATCTCACGGCCATGCCACCACCACCACTGCCCTTATCTTCGTGGGCCTCTACGTTGAAGGGCGCAGGCAGCACTATGGAGAATCAAACGTTATCGATTTATGAGACAGCCAGTGGCATGGTGAGATAATCATACGAATGTGTTCCTTTTGGGGTGCGTTGGCTGAGCCTGGGCAGACACAGAACTTGGTTCCAGTGGCCAAGTGAAGACTGTAAATTCAAAACATGGTTTTACTTACTCTTTGGTTCTTTCTGTAAAGTCACGTACGTATACAACAATACCTATGTGACTTTACCAAAAGAACCAAAGAGTATGGATCCCTGCAGTCACGAAAACTTAAAATCTAGATGTTTTTTCTTTCCAATAACTTTCACTAGCATGTGTATGTGTCATTTATAGGGTTTCTCATCTCTAGGTATAAATGGTGTGCAGGGAGGTTATTGAAGGATTTAATAGTCTGGAAGGTGCATGTTAGATTGGATCTAATAGGTCTCTTAAAAATGAGAATACCAATGACTTTCCAAGATTACCACAGAAAATTGATGATGATGATAGTTGTGGTGGTGTATGATGGTGGTCGTGGTGGTGGTGATGATGATGGTAGTTGCGGTGGTGGTGGTGATGATGATGGTAGTTGCGGTGGTGGTGGGTGAAGATGTTGGTCGTAGTAGTGGTGGTGATGATGTGCACAATAGCCTGGCACAAGCGCCGTGGTGACATCACTGCCACTTAGTGGTGAATGGCGGTTGTTGTTGGTGATGATGGTGACCATGGTGAATATCATGGTCATGGTAATAATCTTGATAATGATGTTGATGATAGTGATACTAGTGGTGATAGTAAAGTTGATTATAGAAAGGTACAACACACTCGGCTGGTCCCCATGTCTCAGATAAGAGGAACCGCATTGAATTTTCCTGGAGGGGCATCTCTAGAGCTGCCTGGAGTGGAGGCTCTCCCCTGCCAGCAGTCGCGCAAGCAAGACACCATAGGGCTGCACGTTTACATTTGACCACCTCCAATCGTGAACGTCGTGCTCTGTTCATTCCTCGTGTACGTGTAGTGACATCGCGGGATGTCACTGTGCTGTGCTGGCCCTTGCGAGGCACGGCGTGCGATGTAACGACATCACAAACACCACTATGATGTGGGTGTAGTACTGGCCCTAGAGGGGCTCGCTCGGTGAGCGCTGGTTGATAGCGTTAGGCGGCACCACGCCTGGCGTGCAGTGCCAGCCCTACAGGATAGGGTGTGGGTGTGCCGGGGTTACTAAAGGCCATGGCACTCTGGTTGACCCGAGAGGACACGTGACCAGTTAAGTCTACAAAGGGTCCCAAGTGGGGGCTAGGGGTGGTCACTTGGTCCGGGTCCAGATCCTGCTCGAGGATTCTGGAAGGTGGTCGTGGCCAAGGGCGGAGCCACCCACGCCGCAGAGAATATAAGACGGGTCCCCCAGAGGGACCGGCGTTGTTGTTCATCCTGAAGAAACCTTTGTCTACGTCCTACGTTCTACCGAGTCTCCAACACGTGGACCTGGTCCCAAGCTGTGGTCTGGTCCATTTTAACTAGTTACAGTGTAATTAGTGTAGTTAGCCTGGTGGCCACCACCATAGGTTGTTATTCTGTTAAGGGGCAGTTACCCCGTGTGTTGGTGTTAAATAAATGTGTTGCCTCCAAGAGTACGTCTGCGACTCGGTTAAACTCACTACATACGTAACAGAACTAACAAACCTCGGGCGGACAGGCGTAGCCAACTGCAGGGTGATGACCCGGCCAGGTTGTTCGCTTGCACGCACCACTCTGAAGGGACCTGCACCTTTCCCAGCTGGAGTGAGTACAGAGGCTGCGACTCCAGCCCATGTTGCACCACCTTTGCTTGGGTCTCCCCGTTCACTCGGTCCATCACGTTGTACGATGTCACTGGGCCCCGCGCCTCCTTGGCACTCAGAGGCTGCGGAATACAGGTTTAGTTGCTGAGCACAGGCTGCCATAGGGGCAGTCAAGACCTCGCAGTCAGCCTAGGCCTATCGAAACTGAGCAGTAAACTGCAATAAAGCTCAACACAATGCCGGTATCAGATATCAGTACAAATCTGTTCATGCCACCAGCACGCTGATGCCAAGTCCCGGAGTGCCCAGGTCAAACATGGACAGGTGGCCGTCCTAGGCAAGTCACCTTCCACAGCAGGGTGAGGTTGAAGACTCCATCCGAGGAGCCTGGGCTGAGGATCCTCCACACCTCTGGGCCAACCAATGGTTCTATGCCGCAAAATGAATCACAAGCATACTCATCGTCATCATCGTCAATGTGATCATCTGCATTATAATCATCATTACATTCTTACTGAACAGATATTTTAAAGGTTAACGATGATCTCGTACAGTGATCCCCATATACAGGGGTCAGCAACTAAAATAAAAAGAAGACCATTTTTTTTCATTCGGTAAAAAAACTGAATATTTCAAAAGCCGTAATGCATGTGAATCCGAGACGATGGTCCTTGATAAATAACATCACGAAGCAGTCCTTTTAAAGAGCCGCACATGGCTCTAGAGCCACAGGTTGCTAACCCCTGCCTATGCAGGTGCACGTTGTGCGAGGTGAGAGGGCGCGTGGGTGAGAGGGTGTGTGGGTGCGTCCTCACGAGCTGGCGGCGTAGAGAAGCACTTCCTTTGTCCCCAGGTCCCCTTCGGCGCCTTAGCCACTGGCTGCGAGCAGCTTATGCGCACGCAGTAGGCGGTATCCGGAGCGAGGCCGTGAATGTCCCATATTTGTGACCGCAAGCTCCTGTTGAACACCTGCCTCGTGACGGCGAGCGGTGGAGAGGGGAGCCAACGTTTGCGCGAATCCCGAGGCATTCCCGTGTACATTGGGGACGGGCAGCGCACCAACGGTCATCCACCAACGGTCATCCAAAAAATCGAGAAAAGGAGTGGCTGGATTTGGTCATGGCCAACATAAAGAACTTTTTTATTTTCCCAGGTAAGGCCCAATGAGCTATGTAGTTCTTTTTTTAGAAGCGACCTGCCCACAAATGATAGTTCGACGAAGTGGCTTATCATGTGTAAATGTATAGTAGCCAAATACTCTAAACACATTTTTCTAAATGTGGAGGGAAAAACCGGAGGACCTGGAGGGAAATCCACACGACCACGGGGAGAGAGACATGCAAACTCCAAATATACAGGCATCGGGGTCGGGATCAAATCCAGGATCTCCTGCATACCAGGCGAGGGAATTAATATCTCGCCACCGCAGCACCCCATATCACCCAATGGCCAGTTTGTTGGTTTAATTGTTGATTACGGCACCGTCATAGCAACATACACCACCATACTCAGGCACACACAAAGACAATTATCCCCCCGTATTGCCTTAATAGACTGTTGGGGCAAGTGCTGTTAGCGAGCACCTATGAAGGCTGGAGCCGCACACGAGGGGGTTGGTGGCCAGCACCATGCCCGGCTGCCTTTGTCTCCCAAGTGGTGATGTTTATACACCACAGCAGGTCGAGTCGCCCTCGGGGAGGCCCAGGACCAGTTCAGATATAATCGTCGCTGGTCTTGACCGTGAGCGGAAATCTAACTCGGATCATCAGGTTCGTAGCGCAGTGCGCCAACTGCTACCCTACCGCTCCCCACAGTTGTACCGTCACACTTGGCCTATGGTTACCGTTCTCCAGGCCTCTTCATTGCCGTAAGCCAGACGCAGATCACATTTGTACTCGATGCTTATGCCCGTCTGTGCTGTCCACTTGACGCTGACGTGGTCGGCGATGTGAGTGTACGTCACAATCTGTAGAGCTGGCGGCTCAATTGTAACTGCACACAAAACGCACAAACATATCACTCAAATGTAAACGTGCTCATGTCGTATTAAGTCGGAGTTAATATCTTGTTTTTAAAGATCCACGGTAACTCAGCTGATACCACCAATCCACTACACACGAAACCCTGGTCTTGGATAGAGTTGATCCTGGGATTCAAGCTAAGGTTGCCACTTATCCGGGTTTGACCCAGAGAAGCCAAGAATTGGTATTTCTATTATTTTCACGCTGCTCCAATGTTAAAGTTAATATTTAGCCGCTGAACACACTAGAATCCGATGAGCTATTAAATATATTTATCACAGATGTCCAGTAGGGGCGGGTAAGAACGTTACAACAACAAACAGTACAAACACACGATAGTAGTGCAAAGTACAAGAAAGCTAAACAAATCACTCAACACACAAATAAAACAAAACCATCCCCATCCTACCAGACAAAGCCCACTGAGATATTAACTTATTTTTTAGAAGCGACTTGGCCACAAACGACAGCTCAGCAAAGTGGCTTATCGTCTGGATAAGCTTTGGGGGCGAGCGGCGTTCACCCACGGTTCTGCACCATTTCTCGCTGCCGAGGGACCATCGCGACAGACAACATTCGCAATCCCCTAGACCGTGGTGGCTCTGCACGCATACCTCCTCCTTGGCCCATCCTTCCGAGTACGCCGGCCACGGTAAGGAGGGAAGGGGCCGTCGGTTCTGCCGGTCGCCCTGCATTTGGCCACGAAGACAGCTCGACTGCAGGCTCGTAACATGGAGTTACCGACCGATGAACGAACGCGTGCGATCGCGTAAGGCCCTGCCGCGTCGGGTTGATGTGACACGTACCTAAGTCGTTGGGCATCAAAGAGAATGCCGGCGAGCGCGATTGTCCAAGCGCGTTATGAACTTCCACCCACAACTCCCAGTGTCTGTGGAAATCTAACTTGGATCCGGGGAGGTCAATGGTTTGTGCTCCCTCCACGCGTTCGCACATCTTGATTTTGTCTTTGCCAACCCTGCGGTGCACAGACATTGCAAGCCACACACCAAAGTTAAAAAAACTGCCAATGTGATTTTTGTGCTCAACAGTTGAAAGTAAAACCAAGATTGTTGGTGGGGCGGCCAGGTGATAGAGCCAATTATCTCGTTTATTGTATGTTGAACTTGTTTCGCACCTTACGTAGCCAACCGTGCTAATTGGATGTGCGGGGGAAGGACATCAAGCTGAAGTGGCAGCCAGTGCGGTCATATTTCCGGTGCAGAGGTGCCAGCGGGGGCGGAAGTAGCCAACGGTGCTGGCCCGATGCAAATGGCCTAGGAACAGCGCCTTGTTATTGGCCAGTGGAGGCATTCTTGTCGCCCCGCTAGCTTAATTTCTTTTGAACAGGTGGCAGTGCCCGGTGGGAGTGGTTTCGTTCAGCCAATGAGATGCAGCAAGATGCATCTCATTGGGGTAGACAAACAGGACGACTCATTTTTATTTTTTTATCGATTCTATCTGAATCGATTCCTATTGGGGTGCTGCCCCAATGCCCCATACAGACCAGCCATCACTAAATTACTGATATGTTGGAAGGGGTTTCTAATCCGGAAAGTTTAGATTTAAATCGAACAAGGATGTACTGTAAATGTGTCCCAGTATCAAAGAGTGTAAATACTTTTGTATGAAGGTCTAACCAGACTGGATGTCTCCTCCCTAATTAGAATAACTCTATGAATTGTATGCGCAGAACATCACTCAGCTGATATAATAGAGGCCAGGGTAAAGGTTACAACGCCAATTAGAATGTACATTTTGCAAGCCTTTCCCCCTACTGGCAGACTAAAGCCCGATTGCAGGACCGTCATTGAGTCACCTTGTGCCCACAGGAAAGGCTGCCACTGGGGGTGAACTTGAACATGTTTGAGATGAGAATTGACGTTAAGTTGCTTGTCGTTGGTGAAGTGCAAAAGTGCTCGTAGATTCCCCGGCGTAAACGTTGCTCTCGCAAAACAAATCAGTGTCGTTATAAAGCAGCCGATTCCCACAGTGGCTGAATACCTTTGCACTTAATTTGGCAATATTCCATCTGTGAAATTAACCAAAAATATTGGTTCAATTGTAAAGTAAGCCTCTTGCTGTGTAAATAATAAAAAGGCCACCAAGGTTTTTCAGCAGCCACAGCCAATCTAACACGTGGGGTTTCCGCGTAGATTCTGCATCTCATGGCACAGTGCCGATAGCACAAATGAAATATAATCGCGGGTTAAAAACGACCGAATTTTTTTGGAAGACAGTAACTTGACTGACGATGGTTACATTAAATATTTGAACTTTGGCAGTGCTGTAAATGTGCTCTTAAGCACAACCCTAAAACACCAACAGAACAGATGAACAATGCCCATAATTGAGGGTTTTTTGGGTTAAATCATGTAAATATAAACTGTGTCATTAAACCCGCCACCACCCGACACATTTATATTTACTCGATCTAACCCAAAAAAAAACCTCTTATGGATAATATTGCTCACGAAATCCTACATGTTAAACAGATAAGCAATGTGTCTCCTTTGTGTATCTTGTTTTTCCACAAAACAATAAAAAGTATTTCTTACACAACCCATTGGTCCAACAGCCTCCAGGGAGTGATAATTTCAACAGCACCGATCCAGCACAAGCAAACTCTGCACCGGTTTTAACATAGAGTGCATCATCAGTAGAGTAGATGTCCTTTAAAAACAATGCATAATGCTGTAGTTGGGACTCAATAATGGCTTTGATGTAAACGTGCTGTTTGAGCCGACTTTCCGGAGGACACATCGACCACGAAGCCAGCCAACTACCTGGGAGTGTTTGCGGCTGCCTGACCTCCCCTAACATTTATATCGGTGGACGAGAGAGCGTTAATGGGAGAGCAACAGCGATTCATTAGGTACACAGAGGTGGAGAGATTTCCCTGTGGGTGTCCCCTCCAAAACCCCTGAGTGTCGTGCATGACCAGGCTGACATGCGCCTGACGTGGCTCACTCTTGGTAGCACAGCTGGGAGTCGGTCTTGAGCAGCGAGTCCTGTCCCAGCTCCCAGTTGCACGACAACGCGCCCATCTCTCCCCCGCGGACCTCACACCGCGGCTGCGATGGGGCGTCCGGGATATCTGCACTCGTCAATGACAAAGAGACCCATTGCTCGGCACAGGGGCCAAGGGGCCCCAAAACGTCGAGCAGCCGGCGGTAAACTGGCACATCCGAAATTGTAATCGAGTGAACAGGTTTCTTGAATTGAGCGAGGTTATTAAGAGCTCAGGGAAGGAGACTATGGAAGGGAATTCCTAAGTCGGGTTGAATCTATGTAGACTGTCAGAGTTATCGCCTACAAGAAAGGACGGTGTGATTGGCAGCATGAACCAACACTCGCATGTGTATCCAAAGTGGTGATGTTAATTCATTGCACGAACCACTCATTGACTACGGGGTTTACATGGGTAAAGTCCAGGACTAATTGAGATACCAATTACTTTGCACTCTGATCGTGTTTTTGTATTGTTTGTTGTTGTAACTTTCGTACCCGCCGCGACTGGACATCTGTGACAAAGAGCTTCATAGCTCATCGGATTCCACCAGTATAAATACATATTCCTATTCTGAATTACCACTGCTGTTGCTGATAGATAGGTGAACCCACGACAGTCTAAAACTATGAACTAAACTAAAAGAATGTCCAGGTAAGTCTCACTGAGTTATATAGCCACCAATCGTATATAGCTCGTGACTCCCATCCTCCCAGACCACACGGAAAATAAAATACTCAACGGTCAAATCCAACACCCCATGCTCACTGGGAGATAGGCAACACAATGAGTAGGAGACGTCTGAAAGTAGTGGCTAAAGATGCTCTGGTCTAGGGGGTGTTCGGACCCCTCGTGTAGTACAACTACCAAAGAGAGAGGAGCCTCAGGTAGGCCAGTGGCACCGACAAAAGGGTCATAGGGATGCTGGATAAGCAAAGCATTGCCAATAGATCATCGTGAGAATCCCCACCCCCCGAACATAACTAATAATAGGCAAGATGCATTGTTCACTTCTCGTTTAGATGAACGAGTCTGAGTTTGAGAAATTCTTCATCCACGCAAATGCACAGATGATAGGAAGAATGGATGTGTGGATAACAGAAAGGTCTGCTGACAATTGATTCGGAGCCATGAATTACAGGAAAGAAGTACAGAGGTGAATATGTATGGCCTAATTTTGAGTGAAACGTCGTACTCAGATTGTAAACGTTGTGGCTTAGCTCTCCAACACACCAGTGTGCTATACTAGTGACTAATTGGCATGTTCTCTTTACGTGACAACCCTTACTAGTTGGCTGTGTCGGGTGGTGACGGGTTTTAACGACACATTTATATATTTATGCGATCTAACACAAAAAAACTTCTATTATGGATGATATTGGTCGCGAAAGCCTGCGTGTTAAACAAACTCAAAAATCACAGGGTGCCCCAGTAAGATGATGGTGTGGGCATGAAGGATTTCCCAGTAGAATGATGGCATGGACATGGACGATGTCCCAGTAGGATGATGGCGTGGACATGAAGGATTTCCCAGTAGAATGATGGCATGGACATGAAGGATTTCCCAGTAGAATGATGGCGTGGACATGGACGATGTCTCAGTAGAAGGTGGAGTTGGCATGAAGAATGTCCCAGTAGGATGATGGCGTGGACATGAAGGGTTTCCCAGTAGAATGATGGCATGGACATGAAGGATTTCCCAGTAGAATGATGGCGTGGACATGGACGATGTCTCAGTAGAATGATGGCGTGGACATGAAGGGTTTCCCAGTAGAATGATGGCATGGACATGAAGGATTTCCCAGTAGAATGATGGCGTGGACATGGACGATGTCTCAGTAGAAGGTGGAGTTGGCATGAAGAATGTCCCAGTAGGAAGATGGAGTGGGCATGAAGGATTTCCCAGTAGAATGATGGCGTGGACATGAAGGGTTTCCCAGTAGAATGATGGCATGGACATGAAGGATTTCCCAGTAGAATGATGGCGTGGACATGGACGATGTCTCAGTAGAAGGTGGAGTTGGCATGAAGAATGTCCCAGTAGGAAGATGGAGTGGGCATGAAGGATTTCCCAGTAGAATGATGGCATGGACATGAAGGATTTCCCAGGAGAATGATGGCATGGACATGAAGGATGTCCCGGTAGGATGATGGCGTGGACATGGACGATGTCTCAGTAGAAGGTGGAGTTGGCATGAAGAATGTCCCAGTAGGAAGATGGAGTAGGCATGAAGGAGCACGTGAGCCATGCAGGCGGAGACTCACAGCCAACGCGAACCGTGGCCTCGTCCACAACCACGGAGCCTTGGAAGTCGCAGTGCACCACACACTGCATGAGGCCCTGCGGCGGCTTCACCGACCCCACCGTCACATTAGCCGACAGCACGTGACATTCCCTCCCCGAGACAGCCGCACGACCATCAGGGGTCCTCGTCGTGGTGGTGGTGGTGGTGCCACTGGAGGAAATCTTTGTGGAGCCGTTTGTGTTGATGGTGGCAGTGGTGGTGACGTGGTTTGTGGTCGTATTGCTGGAGGTGAGCTCGGCAGTGGTGGTGGTGGGGGATTGGCTGGGCTGCAGCCTTAATCCGTCGAGGCGAATGTAGAAGTCGTGATTGAGGCAGTTGTTCGGGCACATTTCCACCGCGCAATGGGCCCAGAGGCTGCCCCCCACACGCATGGGATTGCTGGACAGCTGGAGTCTCGCAGACAGCGGAAGGCAGAAGGTTCCTGACAAAGATAAAGATCTCCCATAAAGCCATAACAGACTGTTGGGGCAAGTGTTGTTAACGAGTAGCACCTATGAAGCCTGGCACGGCACACGAGGGGATTCAGTGGCCAGCACCACGCCCGGCCGCCTTTGTCTCCCCAGTGACGATGTTTACACATCGTACTCATTCGAGGTTGAGTCGACCTAGGTGAGGCCCCAGGAACTGTTCAGATAATCGTCACCGGTGTTGGCCGCGGGAAGGAATCGAACTCGGGTCGCCGGGTTCGAAGCGCAGCGCGCTAACCGCGACACTGCCGCTTATGCGGAACACCTGAGACACGGATGGACACGAGCGTCAGGGTGACACTGCTGTTAGCAGCAGCACGCCAGGGCGTGGTGGCGCTACACAAACCACCTTTGTCGCCGCAGTGCACCTGAGCAGGAGCTGGCGGTGACCTCGGGGAAGTCTCGGCTACGTTTGCTGGAGGTCTAATTGTAATCCATTGTAATTATGATCCATTGTAATTATGATCCATTGTTAATATAATACATTGTAATTATAATACATTGTAATTATAATCCATTGTAAATATAATCCATTATAAGTCGATCCGGTGCGGACAATTCTCCCTCTGCCGATGGTGTTGTATTTACGACCGTACCTGCAATCGCGTTATTCGTCAAGCAATTGCGTAAAATACCGATAGACTGTACAGAGCGCGTTTTTTTAACACCATAACTTTTTTACAACTCCACGAGTCGAAATACAGAGTATCAGAATAAACTTCTAGAACTAAACTAAACTTTGTATTTTACCAGGTAAGGCCCACTGAGCTATTTTTCAGAAGCGACCTGGCCACAAATGATAGCTCAACAGAGTGGCTTACCACGTGAAAATGCATCGCAGCCGAATACTCTAAACGCGTGAAAACCGGAGAAAAAATCCACGTGGCCAAGGGGAGAGAGACACGCAAACTCCAAATATACAGCAGGGATCGTGAGGGTCGGGATCGAACCCGCGACCACCTGCATACCAGGCGAGGTAGTTAACATCTCGCCAACAACCACTTGCGTCGCAGTCGGGAGCATTCGTATCGACACGACGTGATCAGACAGCAACTGCACTGCTGCTACGAGCACTGCGTGACGCTTCCACTGCTCCCCCAGACGCTTCTCTGCATGGTTCCTCTCGGCCGCCACCTGCCTCTTGCTGCAGTCTTCACCCTCACGAATGGCTGCGTTAACGACGCCTTGGGGGGCGTCCATAAATGACGTCACGCGATTTTGGACGATTTTTTACCCCCCCCCCCCCCATTGTCACACGGCGTCACAAAAAGTCAGACTCCCCCCCTCAAATATGACGTCACAAAGCTCTGCCCACCCCCCCCCCAAAAAAATATAAAACATGCTTCAAATCGCTTTAAACTATTGTCATTGCAGTGCGTATTTAATGTGGCGCTGCACTCTGATGTTGTAGGAAAAATATTTATAAAAAAAAGTATATTTAATTAAGTAGAACGTGTTGTCTATATTTATTTAAAATTGCGCATTTTGATGTGACGTCACATTTCTCAAACCCCCCCCCCCTCGTCACAAATCGTCACAAATGTCTGACCCCGCCCCCCCCTAGGTGCGTGACGTCATTTATGGACGGACCCTTGGCAGAACCCCAACGCCCAATGATTTCCCCCTCCGATCCACCGCATTGCCATTCCCCCGCCCGCGGCTCGGCCCTCCTCCTCGTCGCTGTCTCTGCCCCCTTCGTTGGCTTTCCGAGGATCCCACTGCTGCTCCCAGCACCCTAACCCCGTTGGCCATGTCTCCACGAGCTCTCTCTCTCCTCAAAGCCCTCTCGCGGCTAGAAGACTCCGGCGTTGGCATGCAGCTCCTGGAACCTTCTGGAACGTATTTGCCGCCTTCATTCGCATGAAGAGAATGGTAGCGTCGGTCAAACGAGAATGGCTCACCTTGCCAGGCCGCACTGAAAATCACTGCAACGTTCAGGACTGTTGTGTAAGACATGCCACAGAGCAAGGGTCTCCGACCTGTTTGGAAACAAAAGATACAATTTATACAGAACACAGCGTGGGGATGTTCCGAGTGCTGAGTGGGTAACGGTCGGGGAGATTTAGGAAACGTGACCCCGATTGATTCAGCTGCTGTACCGGGAGATCGAACCCGGCGATCTTTGGATTGCAAGGCCATTGTGCCAACCCTTACACCATCGTCCCTCAACACATACATACAAACAAAAACACTGCATGCAGTACATAATAGCTCTACATACAGTGTCCATCCTCTTATGTGCAGCTCTCTTATCCGTAACTCCTATTAATCACACGGTACTTTGGAGTATCGTCCGCAATGTCGTTGTTCGGGAAGAGCCACGCACGAGTCTTAAAATCACAATATCACTTGCAAAAATATCCATGAGTATCCTATTATCCGCGATTACCCACAGATAACAGGAGGACGTCGATAATTGAGATCATGATGATGAATGATTGATTACCATTGGATTGCCACGAGACAGTTCCTGCAGCTGCTGCTTCTGCAACAAATGGTTCCCATTACACTCTGCTGAAGGAAGCGAGAGCCCGGGCTGCCGGGGCAGTACAAAGAGACGTCAGATAAGAGAAGAAGACACAACCATCTTCTTGGTTCTTTCGGTAAAGTCACGTAGAAGGGAAGTAATAAAATAATAAAAATATTATTATTTTACCGAAAGAACCAAGAAGATGAATCCCTGCAGTCACGAAAGCTTTAAATCGAAAAAGACACAACCAGTTCCATTTCCAGCTGGGGAGAGCGTCAAAACTCACTAAATGTAAGATGTTTTATTCAAAATATTGATACATATTAATACATGCGATGAGAATGCAAGAGTGCAGGGCAAAAAATCATAATTAGCTGGCTGCGAATGAAACTTTTTTGTTTGTATAATTGACCGAGAGGCATCAGAGACCCCCCCCCCCCCTTACTGCAGCATCTTGCGATGGTGACAGCCACAATCATAACTCGCATCGCAAAATCATTCTCTCGGGGGATGGTTATTTTTTGGGTGGGAGACTTAAACGGCCACACTGTCCTATGAGCTCGGCAAAATGAGTTTGATTCCTGGCCACGGCTAACATCAGTGGCGAGTGATAGGTAAACCCGTCCTGGGCATCCTCCCTCTGTCACCCTAAACTGAGCTATTTTTAAATCCTTTATATTAAGTTCACTTGCTTGCTTGCTTGCGCGCTTACGACCGTGCAAATCTGTCGGTCGTTTTTTAACCCACTTCCCGTGATCCAATCGAGCTGACATTTTGCACATAGACTCGTTGTGCGTGACAATTTATTTTCCTGAAAATTTTTTTCCAAAATTTTCCACTTTTTAGGATTTTTTAAAAATCCTTTATTTTAAGTTCACTTGCTTGCTTGCGCGCTTACGACCGTGCAAATCTTTCGATCGTTTTTAACCCACTTCCCGTGATCCAATCGAGCTGACATTTTGCACACTAACTCGTTGTGCGTGACAATTTATTTTCGTGAAAAAAAATTCCAAAATTTTCCACTTTTTAGGAAAAAAAAAATTTCACTAACACAATCATATATTTTTCCTAAACACAGAAAATTATTCAAGAAAACAACAAAAATGTACAATATAAACAATCATACAAAAACTGAAAACCTTATAATCCTTATATACGACTTTCCTTATATTTAATTTAAAATACCAATGTGAAAAAATGAAACTCTTACTCAAGAAAAACAGAAATGAATAATAAAATAAAACCGATGCCACGCATATAAAGGATTTATAGTGAAAAACTTTGTTTTTACGGGTTAATTTTGTGTTATTTATTTTAGCAGGTAAGTTCCACTGAGCTATGTAGCTCTTTTGCAGAAGCGACCTGGCCACAAATGATAGCTCAACGAAGTGGCGTATCACCTGGAAATATATAGTAGCCAAATAATCTAAACACACGTTTCTAAATGTGGAAGAAAAAAACCGGAGGACCCGGAGAAAAATCTACGCGACCACGGAGAGAGAAACACGCAAACTCCAAACATACAGCGGACGCAAGGATCGGGATCGTACCCACGACCTCCTGTATACCAGGCGATGTAGTTAACATCTCACCACCGTGGCGCCTTTACCAGCCTGCAGAGTGAACCTGGATGAAACAGCACCCATGTCCAACACTATAGTGGATTGTTTACAGAGGGATGAAAAAAAAATCTGTTTTGTACTGTATTAAAAAAAAAATCCCCAAATTAACAATAATTCTCACTCAATTTAACTGGGTCACGGTTATAATTGAATGATTGGTTTTACATACGTAGCATCGTGCATAAATTCACAATGCCTTTCACAGTTGCTGAGGAACCGCGGACGAGCGGGAATGCAGCAGCCAGGCAGTGATGAGCAGCCGGCGCCACCAGTAATTGCCCATGCTCTGCGATCCTCTAATACACTTAATTTTCTTTCAGACAAATTTATTTGGATAAAATTTTAAACTACAAAGGCCATGCACCTCGAGCTGTCAGTAACGATGCGTGTTAAAAACGAATTTACTGCAATCAGCCACAATGGGAGTAAACAACAAAAATCACGTTTTAAACACAGTGCTTACAGTTACAAAGCATAGCACAATAAATACAGCATACACCATGTATGCACAAACCATGGTCCTTAGGCTTTGACTCCAAGTGAGTTTATGTAAAATCGTGAAGACGCGAACGTGTGTATTACTCACGCGGTTGGACGATTTCCCAGCTGCCTTGTTCTGTCTTTAGAGAGTGACTGGAGGTCGCTCTTATACTAAGGCATGGACGGGGAGGGGGGGGATGACTGACAAGGCGGCTGGGCATGGCTCTGCCCATTCCGCTTTCATTTCTGGGTCACGCCGTGAGAGTCTGCGCCAAACTAGACGCTTAAGCGATTCTGTCCATTATCGTTGCCGCACACTGAAAGCACCCTGGCCAGGCAAGGAGGCCAAAAGTGTGACAAGGTTATGGGGGTGCAGGTTATGGTCGGCACAGTGCGCACACAGCAATGATTTTGCATTTGTTTTCTGAACCGCGTGTTCCTGTTTCCCAATTTCCAAGTATGAAAACCTCCGTATATCGTTGCATTGTGAGGGTCGCTGGCCCCCGAGATCCCTCCCTCTGTACCGCTGACGGCCGGGTTAACCTCATTACTCGCCCCCTCGCTGCTAGGCGAACCGCTGCTGGGTTGTTCACCCATGGGGTGAGAGCCGTCGCTCGAGGATTCCCCTCCCCCGCGGGTCCGCGTAGTAGGCATGGTTAATTACGTACGCGCACACCCACACACAGCTCTGCGCGGCACTCACTCAACACTGACCACTCACGTTAGGATCGCGCACCTGTATTATACACGTAGTGAACGTGCGCGCACACACGCATACAGCTCCACACGCGATACCCACTCTTGCGCCGCTCTGCGCAGCGCTCGCCGCCCGCTGGCCGCTCACGTTATGATCGCGCACCTGGGGTACGCCGATTACGCACGCCGCGAGCTTACGCATACACAGTACCACACGCGTTCACACTTATAACACGAGATCACACGAGGCCACGATCAGCTATTAATGATTTATTGTCTGCTACCTGGGACTGGTTGTTGAGTCAGTATGAATCGACGAGGCTGCCTACTCTACTATCCCGGGACCTATTCCTTATTTATCGTTCACGAAATACTTTTACCTCCTTACTCACGGTTTGAGGCACTCGACGTTCCGTGGGTTTTCCTCGCTGCTTGCCTCGACACGTCGCACGGACGTCCGGAGGGCAGAGCTGGGGGCCGTCTTGGACGCTGGCTTCTCGGAGTAAGAGAGAGCTCTACCTCGCTACGCTCCCTTTTATCCTAATTCCCGGACTCAGGCCCCTACCCCCTTCCCACGTACCGTGCGCCTTCGATATGCTAATCGGATGTGCCGCAAGTGCGACGTTCCGCAAGTTAATTCCTTTCTCACGCATGCCTTTGTTATTGCAGATTATGCGGCGGCGTCCATTACAAAGGTGCGCCGTGGGAATTTGTGCACGGCTCCCCGCGTGACCCCACTCTCCCGACTATTCATACTAACAGCCTTATCCTTTAACTCCCCTAACAATGGTGCCCGCGTGCCCGAGCGTAATTATGCCGTCCCTCCGCTGCCTGTGCGGGGGTGCCTGATTATGCAATTCAGATGCGCTGCGTGTTTTCTAATGATGCTCCTCCATCACAATGCTTATTCCCTCTGCCTGCCCCGTCGATACTTGCGTGTGTGGGGTGTGTGGGATGCGTTTCACCCGCGGTGGCCGAGTGGCCCCTCGCTGCGACCTTGCAATCTTAAGGCCGGTCGCAGCGCCGCGGTGCAAAGTAGCGTCGGGGGAGGTCGTCCAATTCCCTGGTCGCCGGAAACCGTGAAAGTTTAATCCCGATAAGGGCTTCTTGGATAAAAACCGGTCGGCCAGGTGACCTCCCCTCGGAGCTCTATGGGGGGGGGGGGAAATGCGTGCGGGTGTGTTCATGTGAGGTGAGGTGAGGGGGACGCGGGGTCGGCTCCGTCGCTTGGTGGTGGCGAGGTCGTAGATGGGGCGCCTGCTGAACGGCTTCGTGGCGGCGGCATCACAGCATCATCTATTCACACCGACACCAGGGCGTCTTTGCGAATGGTAGGATGACGACCCCTGACGCTTCTCTACAAGTAACCAAAGAGTTACTACCTTAGCTGTGTCCGTCTCGTCTGTTCGTAACTGACAACTCGCGTGAAGATGAGCCACTATATTGACACCATTTTAATTTGAAGTTGTGTTGCTGCTTCTGTCTTCGGGACTTGCTCGTAGAAAACTGGTCCGAATTGATCGATGGTAGCCCAGAACTTGGTGATAATAAAACCAGCGGTGAAAGGGTCGGTTTTGAGAATCAAAGGCACGACGAAGTTGCGTGTGACAACGCACAGTTTGCATCAGCACACGTGACAATCTTCTCGACGTGCGCCTTGGAACGCAACATTGTCACAATTTTGACAATCACCACAGAACCCATG